GATTCTTGGATCAAAGTAAGAAGCGGGGGCTGTGGAGAGTAGCTCTGCCCTTGTTTACCTTGGTAGCCAGTTCCAGCCTCATCTGGGTGGGGCGTGTGTCCCAGGAGGAAAGTCCTGTGATGGAGTGTGCTCTAGAATCACATGAACAGCTTGTAAAACCCAGGCTGGTGGGCCCAAGGATGTACATTCTGACTAACTCCCAGGTGATGCTGCTGTGGGTCCAGGAACCACAGCTTGATAACCACTGATGGTCCTTCCTACTACCTGTTGGTCTTTCCGTTTTTAAGACATTTTATCTTTCCTAAGATTGTGTTGCTGCATACATTGGAACCCATTGTGTAATTGATATAACATCCCTAGTGAGCATCTTTGGGGGAAAATTGGTGAGAAACCTGTGGGTGATTTATATGAAAATATACTGTTTTTATAATAACCATGTGATTTTGGTGCTTCACCAGCCTAGTGGAATGGGTGTAAACATGCTCTTCCATTTTTCTTTTTTTCAAAATGCCATCGGCTTATTGGTCTCGTTAAGGATTACTTTAGTTTATTTTTTATGTTTATTTTTTATTGTTGACCATATTACAGGTGTCCCCTATCCCCCTCTCCATTCCCCACTGCATGGACAGTCTCTCTTTCAATTAAGGATTTTTTCTCTCTTTAGTCTTAATCTCAGTGAACTGTATCCATCTCACGGCACAAAATTAGAAGTTCTCTTTCAAGCCTAAACATTCTACCTAAGGAAAGCTGAGAAGAAAGCTAGGACAAATGTCATTCTCAAGAAAGCGAGAGTTTAAAACAAACTTTGTAATTTTCTCACAGCCTGACTTTCTTCACGGACACTGGGCAGCTAGCCCGACCTAAAACATCAGTTAGTCAGCAACTCTGCAAAAACTTGTGTTTTTTCCTGCCAAACTTTTAGCCACCACACCCATTGCTGGAACTTTCCCTGGTATTTTACCCCATTCAAGTCTGCTCTAAATGGGTCCTACCCAAGCTTGAAATATACCCCAAACTTGCTTCTGTTGGGTCTCTTTTTGTCCCTTACTCTAAAATATGAATATTATTTCCAAGTTCTTGCTTTACTAAGACTATTCTAAACTTATTTTTAATTAAGCCATGGGAACAGGAAACCACCAGATTGAGGACTCCTACAAACAGAGCTCGTCTTCTCTGTTCACATTACACAAGTAAGTGTTTTCTTAGGTTTGAACTCTGACCTTTAACTCAAACCAAATTCCTTTGTTGTGGTGGTTGTATTTTCCGGTGCCTTTTCCTTCAGCAAGTCATTCAAAGAAGTATACGTATATTAGTTATTTAGAACACAGAAATCATTTTGCTATTCCCTGAGAATCATTGGATGTTGAAGTTTTAATTTTCTAAATGGTTTTGTCCACCCAAAAGACCAAATTATAATCAGAATTAGAACAAAAGGACCTGGTTATTCTGTCTCTTATTTTTGGACCTTGGATCTGTACTTGGATTATTCATTATCTTTGATTTGTGATGTATTATCACTATAAATCCATGCTTTTCCTCCATTATATTAATTCATTTACTTATTTAGTTGATTTTAAAAAATACAATTTCATTTTTAATTTCTAAAATCATCTTCATTCCTAGCTTTTAATATTTGAGATGACATTTCCATATATTGAAATGCACACATCTTAAATGTGTAGTTTGATGAATTTGACAAATGTATAAACTGGTGTAACCAACACCTCAATCGACTTATTAAACAGGAAGTTCCCCAGTACCTCCTTTAATCATTTACCACTTCCTACAGATAACTATTATTCTACTTTTTATCACCATAGATTGCCCATTCTTGAATTTCATAGAAAAGGAATCATACAGTAGTACATAGTCATTCATGTCTGGCTTCTTTTGCTCAACAAACTGTTGCATGTATCAACAGTTCAGTCTTTTTTATTGTGTAGTAATATTTCATTGTATTGGAACAACATTCCATTGCATTAAGTATGTGAGAACACCCAGGGGAATTTTCCTCTCAGATGTGTTTTTGAGGATATAGGACAATCTTTTTAAGAGTATGGTATTTTCTGGTCTTTTTATTTAGCCTTTCTATTTTTGACAATACTTTGACCCATTCATGACAGTTGGCATAGCTTTATCAACACAGATGCTCACTCAGGCTGACTCTAAAATACCTCAGGCCATTGGCAAGTCTGAGTTTTAATATATAATGGAAATTCTATTCTTAGTGCTTCACCACTTCAGGCTTCTGTTCTCATTCTTCACTGTAATCCTTTAAAGCCCATTTGGAATTTATTGAGACTTATTTTGTGGCCCTTGCGTACATGGCCCATCATGGTAAATATAACTTGGACTTGAAATGTATATTTTGCATTTAAGTGTTTTGTTCTATAAATTGAATTAGGTCAAGATGGTTACATTTTCACCACCCTTAACAGTAATCCTGCCCTAACAGGTTTGACTCAGTGGATATGAACTGAAGGGTCCCGATTCTGGTCAAGGGCACATACCCTTCAGGGCATATGCAGGAGGCAACCAATGACTGTGTCTCTCTCACATCAATGTCTCTCTCTCTCTCTCTCTCTCTCTCTCTCTCTCTCTCTCTCTCTCTCTCTCTCTCTCTCTCCCCCTCTCTCTCTCTATTTCCCCCATCCCCATCTCTTCACTCTCTAAAAATCAATGGAAAATATCCTCGAGTGAGGATTAACAACAACAACAAAAGTAAACCTATACACTTTAGCTATCACCCACTTTTTCTATAATACGTGCATATTTATTACGTTTTCTGTCTGTCCTCCCCTTACTGTTATAAGTAGCGTATTATGTGATAAATATAGAGATCAAGAGTAAATATTTATAAGGTTTTTTTTAACAGTGAAATATTGTCATCATAGTTTTATGTTATTACACAAAGGATTGGTCTCTAAAGAATTGGAATTTTTTTTTTTAATTGGTTCTTTACTGCTTTGAAAATTATGGCCTTGATTCTTACACCTCCGTGTCATAGTATTTGAAAGGTTCTGGACAGAACAGAGAAGTAGATAATTACCTGTCATACTTGGAAGTGTTTCGTGCCCTACACAAATCATAGTTGCTAGCAAAGAAAATCAATCCTTGTTTTTATAAATTGGTGGGGCAGTGAGAGTTTTTCATTGTGAGCGTTACTTGGTTTTATTAGCATTTCCCATGTTTATTGCTGAACTGACATGTGTTCCTTTCTATATATCTCATCTTATCTAGAGCACTTTGAAGCGCTTTTAAAATGAAGGTAATGCAAACCACTTAATTTTATGAAAGTAAAGGACTGAAGGCTGTTTGGCTTAATCCTTCATGTTCTCAGTTTTCATGTTTTAAATTTTCCAGCCTGAAGTGTGATTATTAAATCTGTGCCCCACCTCGCTGGATTAGCTGAATGTGCAAGTACGTTTTTGAGAACTACCTAGGCTCAAACCTAGCTTGTTAACCACCTGAATTCTGGTAACTGTAAATGCACACCTTGGGCATTTTTGTGCTGTAGTATTTCCACATAACATGGTAGAGATACTTTATACCTTCTGAGGTAAAGTTCTGGGAAATGCTTAGATGAAATCTATAAAAACTATTAAAAAAAAGTAATATTTCACAGTGATTAGATGGCTTATTATTAAAATGAATGTACATAGAATTGATCCAACAAGCTTTTTATCAAAACTGTAAATGTGTTTATAAAGATAAAGTGGTAGCCGAAACCGGTTTGGCTCAGTGGATAGAGCGTCGGCCTGCGGACTGAAAGGTTCCGGTCGGGGCATGTAACTTGGTTGCAGTCACATCCCCAGTAGGGGTTATGCAGGGGACAGCTGATGGATGATTCTCTCTCATTCATGTTTCTAACTCTTTATCCCTCTCTCTTCTTCTCTGTAAAAAAAATAAATAAATAAAAAAAATCAATAAAAATAAATAAATAAAGTGGTAAGTGAGATCTGGCTGCTTGGAAACAAAGGGCAAAGGTTTCTATTAAACAGCAGACCCTTCATGTCCCATCTGCAAAGTCGCAGAAGCCTTATTTAGCCTACTGGGAAAATTTGTATGCATACTTAGTCTGGTACCTGAAATACATTAATTAATATTGAAAAACATATAATTTGGCTTTTTTCTGCTTTAACCAAATTTCTTGCAAGGCTGTAAGTTCAGTCAGTTTTTTGAATAGGTAAAAGAATGAGTAGCCTGTGACAATTTTAGCATAAACCTATCTTTCAGCTACAGAATCAGTTAAGCAAATATAATATTGTTGAAATTAGACCTAGGCTAAAAAACTGGTCTTTGATGTATTTACGTGACATGTTTCCTTGCAAAAATCAGCAAACATCTCTGATTTCATTTGTAAAACAAAGATGGATGTATCTGTTTTATAGGGTTACTGTTATGATAAAGGATTGTGGATAATTTATGTAAATGTATAGGGACCATGGTAGACACTTGATGCATGGTAGCTATTGTTACATTCAACAATAGCAGTCGATGTGTGTATGTGTTTACCATATATGCACACAATGAGAACCACTTTCTTACACATGTCTTATGGTAATTCTCATACAGGAAAAAGGGGGCAAATTAAGAGAATAGAGATTGGTTTGGGCTGGAACAGGGAGGCAGGAAGTTCTAGTCTACCCAGCATTCCTCAGTGCCCCGAGCAAGGCTCCACAGCCAGGCCTGATACCCCTCATGGAGACCTAGAGCTCTACAGAGGGTGGCATGGAAAGCAATCTTCACTTTAAACACCTTGAGTGCAAGAACTGAGTCTTGTTTTATTAACTGATACAGGTATAGCATGTGGTCTCTCAGTGTAGTAAGCGATGGTTGGCCGCAGCTCGTTAAATGTTCCAATTAATTCAGGTCTACTACTTCAGAAATTCTCCCTCTTCGCCTGCCAGGGGGAGTTATCATTTGGAGTTGAATGATCAACCCTGCCAGGAAGCATGAGTCATTTAAAGGATGTCATGATAACATCATTATTTTTTCAGATCCAGGTTGGAATTTGCCCTCCACAAATAACAAAATGATGAGTGATGCAAGTGACATGTTGGCTGCGGCGCTGGAGCAGATGGATGGCATTATAGCAGGTAATGTGCATCCTCTGACATATGGGATCATGCTATTTATTCTGCTCTCTTGGCTTTTTCATTGGCTGTTTTATTACCTTTTCACTTTCCTATTTTCACTTATTGGCTCTCTCCAATGCCTTTAGGGCCCCCATCGTTTATCCTTGACCCTCTTTGCCAGTTTCATCCAGAATTTTAATTTTTCCCCCCAAAAATGTTCAATTAGTGTTGACATTCAGTATTATGTTATGTTAGTTTCAGGTGTATAGCACAGTGGTCAGATGATTATGTAATTTAAGTGATCTGTCGATAATTCTAGTAATCATTTGGCACCATACCTAGTTATTATTGACTGTATTCCCTATACTATACTTTACATCTCCATGACTATTTAGTAACTACAAATCTGTACTTAATCTCTTCATCTTTTTCACCCAATCTCCCTAATCCTCTCTCCTCTGGCAACCAGCAGTCTGTTTTCTGTAACTATGAGTCTGTTTCTGTTTTGTTTGATGATGTATTATGTTCTTTGGAGTCCACATATAAGTGAAATCATATGGTATTGTTTTTCTCTTACCGACATATTTTACTTAGCCTAATAAGGTCAATTAATGTTGTCACAAATGGTAAAACTTCATTCTTTTTTTTTTATGCCTGAGTAATATTCGATTGTATAGATGTGTCATATCTTCTTTATCCAATATCTATTGATGGGCACTAGGATTGCTTCCATATCTTGGCTATTGTAAATACTGCTGCAATGAACATAGGAGTTGAATTTAATTAGTGCTCTGGATTTTTTCAGATATATATTGTATATCAAGTAAGTGTAACTGATGGGTCGTAGGTAATTCTATTTTTAAGGAACCTCCACACTGTTTTCCATAGTGGCTGCACCAATTTGCATCCCACCAACAGGGTAGGGAGGTTCCATTTCCTTCACATCCTCACCGACATTTGCTCATTGTTGATTTATAGATGATAGCAATTCTGACATGTGTGAGGTCATAGTTCATTGTGGTTTTAATTTAATTTAATTTCTCTGGTTAGTGACATTGAGCATCGTTTCATATGTCTATTGGTCATCTTTGTATCCTCTTTGGAGAAATGTCTATCATATCCCCTGCCCATTTTTTAAACTGGATAGTCTGGTTTTTTGGTGTTAAGGTGTATGAATTTTTAAAAAATTTTGGATATAAACCCCTTATCAGATGGATTATTGGCAAATATCTTTTTCCATTCAGTAGATTTTATTTTCATTTTGTTATTTGTTTTGTTTCTTTTGCAGTGAGTTCCATTTGTTTATTTTTTTTTCTTTTGTTTCCCAAGGAGATATATCAGAGAAAAATATTACTAAGAACAGTGACAGAGAGTTCACTGCCTAAGTTTTCTGGTTTTATTTATTTGGGTCCTGTCTGTTTTTTTTTAATGAGTATTATTAAAGGTTTTCAAAGAACCAGCTCTTGGTTTCATTAATCTTTTGTATTTTTTTTAGAGTCTATTTTGTTTATTTCCACCCTGATTTTTATTATTTCCTTCCTTCTATTCACTTTGGGTTGTGTTTGTTACTGTTTTTCTAATTCCTTTAGGTGTAAGGTTAGATTGTTTATATGTGATTTGTCTTGTTTCTTTCTTTTTTTATTTTTTATTTGAATCTCAGAAAAACAACAAATAATTTGATAGTATATTTGTTCCCAATATTGTATAGGATTACTTAACCTCAACCTGTATGTCTATTTTCTTCATTATGTTAGGGAAGTTTTTAGTCATTTTTTCAGTTAGGGTCTCAATTCTTTGCTCTTTCTGTCTGCTTTCTGATACCCTTATGATACAAATGTTTTTATGCTTGACATTGTCCCAGAGGTACTTTAAATATCTTTGTTTGGGTGGGTGTTTTTTGCCACCTTGACTTCCAAATCACTGATTTGATCCTCTGCTCCATCTAATCTGCTGTTGATTCTTTCTAGTGAATTCTTCATTCCTGACTGGTTCTTTTTTATGCTTTTTATATTCTTTTTTATGCTTACTCTCTTTGTAGAGGTTCTCACTAAGTTCCTTGAGCATCCTTAAAAACCAGTGTTTTAAACTCTAGATGTGGTAGCTTGCTTGCCTCTCTTTGATTTAGTTCTTTTTCTAAATATTTCCCTTGTTCTTTTATTTGTGACATGTTTCTTAGTCTCCCCATGTTGGCTGTCTCTTAGTGTTTGTTTCTATGTATTATATACACCTGCTACATCTTCCATTCTTCATGGGATGGCCTTATGTAGTATGTGTTCTGAGGGGCCAAATTGGACAGTCTCCCTGACCATTTGAGCCAGGTGTTCCAGGAGTATCCCTTGTGTGGGTTGTATGTGCCTTCCTGTTGTAGTGGAGACTTGATTGCCATTGAGACTTCAGTAGGTGCAATTGACTCTCAGGTTTACTAGCAGGAAGATTGGCCATGACCACAGTGTACATGCTGCTGTGCAGTGTTGATCCCAGGGAGGAGGATTTGTCCCCAGAGGTGCCTGCTGACTTCTCTTTGGGCATGCCACCTGTGCAGCTAATCTGGTAGTGTTCCATTATGGTCTGAAGCTAGCCACTAGGTGTGCTCTGTGTTGATTCCAAGGCTTCTTGTGAGGATATCCAGTGCAGGTCAGTGTTAGACACTGCCTGCAATTGGGCTACCTGTGGTTGGTGGCTGTCTGTATTGGATCTGGATGTACATGCAAGGCCAAGGCCAGCTGAACCAAGGCCAGCTGCCACCAGTATTGGGTCTAGCTAGGGCAGTTCAGCAAAAGTTCCCAAGGCATCCTGAGACCTGCCACTGCCTCTGGCTACCTTTAAGGCTCGGCTGCTGAAAGAACTTTCAGTGGTATGTGAGCTTGGTGAGGCAGGGTCTCAGGGAGTCACCAGGGTTGGGTGAGTGGTGTGTTCCCCAAGTTAATACAGATTCATATTTGGCACCAGTGCTGACCCTGAGGACACTCAGCAAAAACCTCACTGGGGCTAACCACCATCTGCCTGAGGCCTGGGGACCTTTGTGGACAGTGGGGGTGAGAGGATGGCTCTCAGAAGTCATCAGGGTGGAGTTGGTGGAGTTCACCAGGCTAATACAGGTTCAGATTTGGCCAAGTGAGAGTTAGGGCTCAACACAGGAACAATGGTAGCTGTCCTTCAGCCCTTTCTCAAAAACACACAACTCACTTTCTCTCTGTATTTCTCTGGCACCCCTGGAGTGTGATAAGAATTCCTGGAGAGTTTTTAAAGAAAGACTGTCATGTGGACTCAGGTGGCTGCTGTTGAAAGAGCCTTAGGGCTTGTGCAAGTTGGGCAGGGCAGGGTCTCAGGGAGTTGTCAGGTGGAACGAGTGGGCTCTTCACCAGGTTAATGCAGATACAGATTTGGCCTTATGGGAGGAGGACTCAGCACATGGGCCTTGGCGGCAGTGCCACACAACCCAGTTTCTCCCTGTATGTCTCTGGAGCCCCCCTCTTCCCAAGCTGCTGTCTCTCCACCAGAGCCCAAGGTGAGTGCCTGCCAGCAAGAATTTTTTTGCATGGGTGGGCCCTTTAAGAAGATGCCTGTGTTTCTAACACTCACCCAGCTGTTAAGTGGGCTCCTCTTCCCAGCACTGATGTTTCATGCTGGGAAGCCTTGTGTGGAACTGAGACCCCCTTACTCCTCAGGGAGTACCTCTGCAGCTGAAATATCCCTCTGGATTTTCAACCGACACCCGTGGGTGTCCAGCCAGCCTGTTCTACATTTCCGCCCCTCCTATCAGTCTCAATGTGATGGCTTCTTTATATCCTTTAGTGACAGGGCTTCTCTTCAGCCAGTTTGCAGGTGGCTGTCCAGGTTGGTTGTTCTATAATTTTGTTGTAGTTTTATGTGGTCATGGGAGGAGGTGAGTGCACTACCTACCTACCTACCTACCACCATGTTGATTGGAACTCCTCCTGGTTTAGTATTATGTTTAGGTTAGGATTTGGTTGAGAGTTTGGGTTAGGCATGAGGTTAGATTTAGAGTTAGATTTAAGATAAGGGTTAGTTTTAGTGTTCGTGGTGAGTTCAGTATTAGGTTTAGGGTTAGCTTTAAATTTTGGGTCATGGGTTGGTGTTAGGATTAGGGTTAGGCCTAGGTTTAAAGGTAGGGTTAGGATTACAGCTGAGTTTAGAATTAGCATTAGGGTTAGGGTAAAATGTTTGTGTTTATTTCAGAATTGTGGTTAGGGGGAGATTTTATGTTAGGTATAGGGGAACCTAAGCAGCTGAGATACCTCTCAGATTCTTAATCGCCATATGTGAAGAGGTAAGTACAGCAGACACCTGTTCTGCCATTTTGCCTGGACTCCCATTCCAGTAGTATTCTTAAATTTTACTTTAAGATGTCAAAAGTCCCGATAGCATCTTGGGCTTCTGATTGAGGTTCCTGGCAGTCTGTGGACCACACTTTGAAAGCTACTGCTTTTCCCAGTATCCAGAGTGTTCCAATCTGTTTCCTTGAATTTACCATTCACTTTAGCACAAGTGACTCACATCTCCTTACTTTCCCAATTCTTTTGTTATCTTTCATATCTCTGTCTCTTACTGCCAGTAAGGGATTTCCCCTGAAATATCTCATAGACACATCAATGTCAGTATTTTAAAAAAATATTGAACTCATTATATTTCCTCAGGAACCTCTCTAGCAGTCTTTGGCTAATTCCACAGCCCTTCATCTCAGCTTTACAGGAAATTGATAGAGAGGGTTATGTGAAGCTTTTAGCACTGTGTTTAGCCTATTGGTGGTAACTATTGTTAGAGTTTGGCAGATTTGAGTCCAGATCATCTATCCGGTATTAGGAGGCTCAGTGGAATGGACTAGTAGAGAGAGTCTCTCCCTTGTTGTTAGAATTGATCAAGCCAGACAGCCAACTGGAGAGACAGCTAACACAGTGGTTCTCAAGTATCATCCAATTGTAAGATTTTCAGATTTATGAGGCGATAGCCTAAATATTGTAATTATTGCTATTTAAGTGTGAAGTTTGCATTTATATTTGACAGTATGTATATTTAACAGATTAGAACATAAACACCAAAGAGATGAAGAGGTCTAGACGAGTGCTTTCAGATGGGCTGTGGGTCAGTTGTGTGGATTTAAGTAGCAGAATGTTTTCTCTTATAAAACTAATTGAAAACAACAATGGCTATAAAATTATTTTTAAAGCTAATTTTAGCAAGAGCATTTGATATGAGGCTGCAAGCAAAATCATGGCGGAAATGTGGATACACACTTGCTCGCACATCCACCTACTAATATATACATGTAATTCATTGCACTTTTTCAGAGATTAAGTTCTGGCAAATACCTGGGAGCTGGCCCTCTTGCCTTTGAAATTATGCTTTGCAATTTCCACCTCAGGGTGTAGCTTATTTTTAGGAAATGAAACCCTTTACGGTCCCTAAAATTCATTCTTGGTTTTTGTAATACATGGCTCATGCGAACTGATCTGCTGCCTTCTTAACCCCATGTTTGTGAGGTTAGCACAGTGGTTGGCAAACTCATTAGTAAGCAGAGCCAAATATCAACAGTACAACGATTGAAATTTCTTTTGAAAGCCAAATTTTTTAAACTTAAACTTCTTCTAATGCCACTTCTTCAAAATAGACTCGCCCAGGCCACGGTATTTTGTGGAAGAGCCACACTCAAGGGGCCAAAGAGCCGCATGTGGCTCTCGAGCCACAGTTTGCTGACCACGGGGTTTACACCGAAGCCCACCATATTCTTACTGTACCACACAGTTGGTGGCCCACCTGTTAGATATTTGACCATTGATATTCACCATCTGTTATATTGTTTTTATTTTGGCAACAAATAACTATGCCTGAGAGATGGACGTGATCCAATTATCTCTTCCTTCTTTTTGTTTCCTTTTTACTGGGTTTATTGGGGTGACACAATTATCAGATAGAATTATCAGATTTCAGGTGCACACTTCTGCAACACATTATCTGTACACCATGCTGTGTGTTCACCACCCCAAGTCAAGTTTCTGTCCATTGCCATTTATCACCCCAATACCCACTCCATCTCTCACCTTCCCCTGGCAATCACCACACTGTTGTCTATATCCATGAGATTTTGCTCAATCCCTCCATATTTCCTCCCTCCCCCGGTGACTGGACTGCTGGATTTGCTTGCCACCTACAGCTTTGGTGTCTTATCTAACATAAATCCTGTGGCTTTCTTTGATTTTTTTTTTTTTTTAAACCTAGGTTCTAAGGCCCTGGAATATTCCAATGGGATTTTTGATTGCCAGTCCCCCACCTCCCCGTTCATGGGAAGCTTGCGAGCCCTGCACCTTGTGGAAGACCTGCGTGGATTGTTGGAGATGATGGAAGCAGATGAGAAGGAAGGCCTGCGATGTCAGATCCCAGATTCAACCGCAGAAACGCTCATCGAGTGGCTTCAGAGTCAAATGGTAGATTTCTTCATGTTGCAACTCCCATGCTGCTTATTCCAAAATTTAGAACATAGAACAGCCAATTAGGGCAAGAAGAAAAAATATATAGGGCAACCCAAGTTTCCCCTAAAGAGCTCCCAATTCCCTTTTGACTCTAAGGATTATTTTTACAAAGGGCTATTTATGTATATTTCTTGGAGGCCCAGCAAGTCACCTGATGATTCTCATAAAAGTGGACTAGCCTTTGGATTGTGGCCGAATGACCTACCGTGGCTTTGGACAAATAGTCCTATAAGAGAAGGAACCTTGCACATAATAGATGCTTAGCAGTATTATTGGACGGTTTTCTGTCAAAAGGACCCAGTGGCAATTCTAAATAGACAAGACTCTCAAAGAGCAAGTCTTTGGTATGAAGTGCCATCTAGTGGCTAATGGTGGTCATTTCAATTCCAGTGTACAAGTTAGTGCATTATTGGGCTTTTAAATGATGTTTGTCTTCACTGAACAGTGAGGACTCTTTCTAGACAAAGGATATCACAAGCACAGATTCAAGGGGAAAGATAGGAAGGGTGTTATTTTGTAAGTATTTAAAGAATACTCAGTTTTCAGGAATTTACATTAATAGGCTTATTGGTTAATTGTGTTAGTATAAAAGCTAATGATCATTGTATGAAAGGATTGAGATATATTTTTGGGTCTGTTTGCTGCTACCTTAATACTACATCCTGAAGCTAAAACATGTTCACATGATGTGACACGAATACTTGTGTCCCCAGCCAGTCCCATGCCGAGTGTTCTCATGTTCCAGCCAACATGCCTCCCATTTCTGACGGTTTTTTAGTGGTGGTGGCTCTACACAAACTTAACAGTTGGAGATATTTTATTTTTTTGTAATACGTGATACCTTATTATTATACTTTTTCCTTTGTGGTTAATCCTCACCCGAGGATATTTTTCCATTGATCTTTTTTAGAGAGAGTGTAAGACAGAGAGAAACATCGATGTGAGAGAAACACATTGATTGGTTGCCTCCTGGATGCATCCAGACCAGGGTCCAGGCCAGGGAGGAGCCTACAGCCAACGTATGTGCCCTTGACCAGACTCAAACCTGGGACCCTTCCTACACTCTATTCACTGAACCAGACCAGCTAGGGCCTTATTATTATATTTTATATTTGCTCTGCAAGTTTCTTCTCTATACCTTAAACAATAAAAATAAAACTGAAAAAACAAGTTTCTTCTCAATAGATTGAAGTATTCAGGTTTTGTTTTCTTTTCATTTTAAATATATATTTTATTGATTCTTTACAGAGAGGAAGAGAGAGGGATAGAGAGCTAGAAACATTGATGAGAGAGGAACATCGACCAGCTGCCTCTTGCACACCGCTTACTGGGGATGTGCCCGCAACCAATGTACATGCCCTTGACCAGAATCGAACCTGGGACCTTTCAGTCCGCAGACCGACGCTCTACCACTGAGCCAAACCGGTGCCGGCAAGGTTTTCTGATTTCGTTGGGGAATTGCTTCATGCTCTAAAATTAGATGTTTTCTAGCTATTCCCGAGGCTATTTCTACTTCCTATCTCACCTGCTTTTTGCTCCACATTTTTCTGATAATTCATCACCTACTGGGAAAGGAATTTACTATTGGCAGGAGCACCTCTTCCTGGCTCACACCCAGAGGCTGCCATTGGCAGCCATAGCTTAAGGTTGAATTTTTAACTTGTGTCCAAAAATAAGTGTTATCTAAAACAAAAATTGTATGCCCCAAAACATTTCCATTCGCACATGCTCCATCTGTTCTGTTCAAGTCTTTCTGGAAAAGAGTGAAAATGATCATGATGCTATCTGAATATAAATCAAATCGTGTCCTTCACTCCTTTTTCAGAAATATCCCAGGAGTAGTCACATCGCACTCAGAGGAAAAGCCAGATGCTTTTAATGTTAAATTGAGGAAAAGCTCTGGATTGCAAGGTCTTCTAGGCATTGCTCCTCATTATTCTTTGACCTTATGTCTCACTAAACCTCCCCTCTTTCACTTCACTCTATGTACACTGGCTCCTTAACTGAGTCTCAGACAGTCTCACTGGTTTGGAGACGTGCTGGGCAAACTGGCCTCAGGACCTTTACACTGGTTATTCACTCTGCCGGGAAAGCTCTTTTGCCAGATGTGTGTATGGTTACCTTTCTCATAGTCTCTGATATTTGAAAGTTGTGTTCCACATGAGGCCTTCCCTGGACAGCCTATCTAAAATTTTACCTATTTATTCCTGTTATTACATCTCTCTGCTTTTTTTCCCTTAGCACTTACACTTTCTTAGGTACTATAGATTCGCCATGTTTTATATCATTTATTTTCTGTCTGTCCCACTGGAATGTAAATATCAAGAATATGAGAATTTTGCTTTGGAGTTGGGTTACAAATTACTCATACATAGTTCACTTTTTTAAAAAAGTATATATTTTTATTGATTTCAGAAAGGAAGGGGGAGAGAGAGAGAGATAGAAACATCAATGAAAACAGAGCATCATTGATTGGCTTCCTCCTGCACACCCCACACTGGGGATCCAGCCGTGACCTCCTGGGTCATAGGTCAACGTTCAATCACTGAGGTATGCTGTCTGGGCCATAGTTCACTTTTTTTGACAAAAGAATACAGGCAATTGTCAGACTGTGAAGAAGTTTCCATAATAATTTAGAAAAATTTATTAACACTAGTTATATAATTAAGATTTAGTGATGACCAACTTGACTGTCTGTTACTAAGGCTGATACTAATGTTCTCATTAGTGCAACTGGGAATTTACAGTTCTTCTTCTTATTTTGCCTGGGCCAGAGAGAACCCCTGGTTTACTGTAGGATGCAGGCCCATGTAATGGTTTTATCGGATCAGAAGCTGGATAAGAAAAAAGAAAATAGTAACACTAACTGCCTGTTATACTGGAGGGAGAGTAAATCTACCAGAATGAATTTGTGTTAATAGGGTGCCTATAGCTTTAGCCTTCTAGGAATGAATAGGTATTTTTTTTTTTTTTTTAAGATTTAAAAGTTATCACAAACATTTAACAATGCTTTAGCAAACTCCAAGTCTAAGAGGGCAAATAGGAAAACATGTTTGTTTGAGCCAAGCCAGTGTTTTTGGCTTACCTTAGGCCTAACTTGATGAGTTGCCTTAGTGCCTTTTTTCGGTAAATGAAACTGAGAGTTTCCTGACCTGGGTCAGGTCAAGAAATCCCCCAAGTGTCTGGTTATTTGGCAGTTTTAGTTATGAGGCAATCTCAAAATCAGCAGAAATTACGAAAAAAAACACAAAAAAACAGTTTTCAACAGAGAGGGTGAAAATGCTGATGGTAAGAACTTCAGATCAGGTATCATAACCCATGAGATCTGTAGAGTATAATAAATGGGGAAAACGAAGAGTCCTTCTTGCCCTGCCATCTCATTTCCTTTTTTGAACTGCATGAGAAATGTAGGAGGGAAAAACCAGCGGCTGTAGGCAAGACTGACCCAGTCGCAGGTGCTAGAGGACACAGGGACCCTCGCGTTTGGGAGGGATGCTCCACTGGCCCCGAAAGGCAGCGCTGTTGCCCCAAGATGATTATTTATTTGCAGCACCGGGGTAGAGCCTCACCGCCCTGCTTCCCTCAAGTCAGGGAGAGAACGGGGGCAGAGCAGGGCCTTTGCCTGGGGTTTGACTTCCACCTGTTGGTGTCCTGTTCTCTGACTCCGGACAGTAGAGCTCTAGATGCTTTATTGGGTTGGCCACAAATGAAAGGTGACGGCGATATTCATAGTCGAGGGATTCAAATCTTACCTCAATCTCCCCTCCTCGTACAGTGTTGAGTGGAGAGCAGGCAATCAATGACCGCATGCAGCGGTGGAGATCTAATACCGATGAGGACACAAGAGACCCTGGTGTTAGATGCCCTTTTGGAAGACATGTTTAAAGGAGCTTTAGTGGACTGAGCCTTCCTTTTTCTTCTCTCAGTACCGAACTTTAAAAACTCAGATCATGAAATCAAGAGTGTATTGGTGTACAGCACATGATCTTCTAACCAGTGTGCTGTACATCTGCAATTAACACAGAATAATACTGATTGCAAACTGTAATTGAAAAATAAGAAAAGAAAATAAATAAAAACTTCAAAAGATAGCAATAAGTAGCAAATGGGATGAAATAATATATTCATAATAAAACTACACAGTGTTGACGTAAAAACTAGATTATAAAACCTCTGTCTCACAGTACTGCATAGTTCAGAGTGTGTGTGGGATTTGGAGTCACACCACTACATTGTGAAATCTATGTACCTAATTGGGTTAGGAGGATGAGCGGAGATAATCTATGTAAACCATTTAGAACATTGGCCTGGGTTATTAAACTCTTAAGCACTTAAAAAAAAAAAGTGTGCTGGCAGAGAGACATGCATGTAACCAGCTCTAACCTAGTTCATTCAGTGTGATGTCTGCTGAAATGGAGATGCATCCAGACGCTGTAACTGGCATGTGAGGAGGACTCCACGGAGGTGGACCGTAGGGATGAGGAAAGAGGGAGAAAGGGTGGGAAATACGGTTTATGCAGAAGGAAGGCAGTCAGTGTTGGAGAGAATTCTATGTTCGGGAGGTTTTGAGTGATCTGGTAGGAAGAGCACAGGTGTTGGGAAAAGATAGAGGAGGCAGGGTATTTGCCTAATGGGATTTACCTCTCTAATATTTTTAAGGCAAAGGTAACAAAATGGGTAGAAGTATAAATAAGGGTGTGAATAGGAGGGACCTTGACCTACTTGAGTAAGTCAACAGTGTTTTAAAAGTATGTAACTAATCCAGTGGTAGTTCTTAACTTTGGCTTAATGCTCCTATAGTGGCTTTTCGTGTGAGTGGTTTGTTTGTTTTTTAATATATTTTTATTGATTTCAGAGAGGAAGGGAAAGGGAAAGAGAGAGAGAAACATCAAAGATGAAAGAGAATCATGAAAGAGGCTGATCGGCTGCCTCCTGCACGCTCCCTACCAGGGATTGAGTCTGCAACTGGGATATGGGCCCTTGACCAACTGGGAATTGAACCCTGACCTCCTGGTTCATAGGTCCACACTCAACCACTGAGCCACACCAGCTAGGCTAAATTTTCATGTGTTTTGTTTTTTTTTTTTAAAAAAAACCTAATATCCTCCTGGGCATTATGAGCTCTTGTATATTAATACAGTATTGAGAAACTAATACAGTGAGCATTCTCATTGTGGGCCAATTTTTAGCATTTGTTTTTCTCTCAGGATAATTCTGTAGAACTGGTTTTGGATCATTTCCTATTTCCATGTCATATGCAGTAGCTTTAGAAAACACTTCTAGAACTTGCTATAGAAATACTTGTAACCTTGCTATAATTTTCTTCAGGCAGAAGAAAGATGACTTTTGCTTTGTACCCTCCCTGAGCAGAAAGCATTTTTTTGCTACTTAATTAAGTGTGTTTTCTTATAAAACGTTGCCTGTGTGGGGATTGAAAAGCAGGTGCCTGCTAAGATCCTTAATTAAGATGAGGGATTTAACGCTATGGCAGGCCCGTCTCAGCACTGGCTTAGATCGAGAACACGCATTGTGCATCTGGCTTTTTTCCAAAAAGCTGTCCTCAAGAAGCTTCATAAATTTCACTTCATGGTAGTCCCCAGGGATGGAAGTCGTCCAGGCCCCTCCACCAGGCTCCTCGTCGTACTTGTCACTTAATTCTGGGCACTTCGGTTTACAACATGAACAGAATTATGCTGAGGTGGTGGTGCAGGTATGTGGTCAAGCAGCTGATGTTAAATTCAACATGTTATCCCTTCTAAATATACATCGTACACTTACTAAATTCATTTTCAGATTTTTTTTGTGTGTGTGTGGCCTCATGGGAAGTATATCCAGTGTGCATAGATTTTAGAAGAAATCTCCTAAAATTTTATTTTTTGTTAAAGCTTCTTTTTGTGTGGTGTGTGTGTGTGTGTCCCCTCCGCCCCCCAACTTTTTTATAACTTGGGTTATTCTCAGAATTTATACTGGGAAATGCCACTTAATTCTGGAAAAAATAGTTGATGTCACATCAGATGTGAGCTGGGTGGTAGGAAGTACAGTTTATATTTTACTCTGATTCTAACTTGGAAGTTGTTCTTTGCTGTTTTGATTGGACTCTGGATGGCTTCAACTAACCATTTTGGACTTCACTGGCTTTTATTTCTGTTGTCTTTGAAAGAGGAATCAAGACATTCTATTGGGATTACCTATTATATGGTTGTGAACTCTTTAAATGAGATAACAAGGGGCATAGCACACATGATTATGTTAAGAAATGACATTTTTATGTTGTCTGCTCTCTGTCAGCCTTTTCATGTGTCTCGGCAAAGCCTTGCATCTGTAAGATGACTGAGAAAAAAAATCTCACTTGCTTTCCCAAACTATACTTTAGCATTTAGACCATACTGGAATATGCCCAAGTCTGATAAAGAGGCGTGGGGAGGCCCCTAGCCTGTTTGGCTTGGTGGATAGAGTGTCAGTCTAAGGACTGAAGGGTCCCAGGTTCAATTCCAGCCAAGGGCACATGCTGGGTTGTGGGCTCAGTCCCCAGTGTGGGGCATGCAGGAGGCAGCCGATCAGTGATTCTCTCTCATCATTGATGTTTCTTTCTCTCTCTTCCTCTCCCTTCCTCTCTGAAATCAATTAAAAAAAAATTTTTTTTTTAAAGGTGGCAGGGAGGGATTTTCAGGGAGAAAAAAAAAAAGTGAGCGTTGGTCTAAGCAGAGCCCTGGGCCAGGTGCTATGGAGGTTTCAACATGATGCCTTGTATAGGCTCTGCCCTGGAGCTTGCATAGAAGGAAAGCAATAAATCTCCAATGAGCTCAGCTGGCCAGGGCTGCCAGAGAGGGGTGTGGGGTTCTTGCATGCTGAGAGTGTAAGTTTTAGGGGAGAGAGAAAGGCATCAAAGAGGAAGGAGGGCTTTGTCCTGTGATTGGGAGACTGAGTAGCAGGAAGAAGCCTGTAAGTTACGCCCATTTAACAGGCGGCATTTGCAGTCCTGCATTTGGGACTTAGGGGGGAAAGGGGAGGAACGAGAGGGCATCCCGGGTCAGTCCCGCTATCTCCACTCAGAATCAGTGGCATTGAGCATTCGGGGGAAATAGGGGTTTTATTCCCGACCACACACTCGCAAAGCTTCGTGTGCCCAGGTGTGCCCCTACTTGACAGTGAGTGTTCCTCTTAGCCGCTGTTCCTTTTAGCTCATTGTTTTCTGCTTGATGAGAAGTTGTGTGGTTTGGTAAAACATGCCTTAACGTGCCCGTCGTACCTATTTTGAGGCAAATGAACCACGTTTTATTCTTGTGCTTCCTGTTCATGGCCGTCAATCACAGCTGTGCTATTGTAAATTCAGTTCAGATTCCTTGAATTAAAAACAGATGCAAATGTTTATTTACCCACAGTGGTTCAAAGGGAAAGAGGGCCAGACTCACCCTAATTGTTTTTTTGTTTGTTTGTTTTTTTTTCTCAGACAAATGGACACCTACCTGGGAACGGAGATGTGTATCAAGAAAGGCTAGCGCGGTTAGAAAATGATAAAGAGTCCCTCGTCCTTCAGGCAAGTGATTTTTTAAAGGCTGTTCGTTCCTTATGACATATTTACAAAGACATTTAAAACTGGGATGGCAAATTCAGCGCTCACAGGAGCCAGATTGCTAGTAGATGTAAGTGCGGCCGGCTGTCTGTGCTCGGTAGGGAGTGGTGAGGACTGTGGCAGAACAAGAGTGTGCGTACCCGGTCTAGCATGAGCAGCCTTTAACCCGCCACACTCTTCCAGGGCCAGTCTATGACTGGCACAGCCATCTGATGTGATTTTTAAATATATACCAGAAATTCTGATTTGATACTATATATCCTATATAATAAGAGGTAATATGCAAATTAACTCTTATACCCTCAAAAGATGGCTGCCTACAACCAGGCCAGTAAGGGGGTTAGTGAGGGATTACCAAATGACTGAACAGCAGACTGCGTGGGGCAACTAGGCTGGTGCAGGGGAGGGGTGGGCAGTTGGAGGTGACTAGGCCAGCAGGAGGAGCAGTTGGGGGTGACCAGGCTGGCAGGAGGGCAGTTGGGGGTGACCAGGCCAGCAGAGGGGGGCAGTTGGGGTGACCAGACAGGCAGGCAGGTGAGTGATTAGGTGCCAGCAATTCAGGATTGTGAGAGAGATGTCGAACTGCTAGTTTAGGCCCCATCCCTGAGGTCGGGCCTAAGCCAGCAGTTGGACATCCCCCGAGCTGTTCCGAATTGGAGAGGGTGCAGGCTGGGCTGAGGGGACTCCCCCCCCCCCCCATGCATGAATTTCATGCACCAGGCCTCATAATATAGACTTATGAATCTGAATAAGTACTTTCTAAATATATATTTAATATTTATATATATTTAATACTTAATTTAATATATATTTAATATTTAATATTTCAGTTTTAAAAAAATGATACCATGGGCCAAAGTGAGTGGTGTAGACCTATTTGTAGACTGAATTTGATTTTTCTTGTTCAGAATGTTATTTTTCTCCTTGTAATTTCTTTGTATATATTTGTTTTATTAAAGTGTAGTTGACATACAATATTATATTGGTGTCAGGTGTACAATGTAATGATTCAGTATTTATACACTTTATGAAGTGATCACCACTATGTCCAGTAACCATCTGTCGCCATACAGTGTTATTTCTGTATTGCTGGCTATATTCCCAATGCTGTACATTTGCAGTCTGTGATTTATTTGTTTTATAACAGAAAATTGTAATCCCCTTCACCTTTTCACTCACCCCTTACCTTTCTCCCCACTGGTTTGTTCTCTATACCTATGAGTTTGTTCCTATTTTGTTTTTATAGATTCTACATGTCAGTGAAGTTGTATGGTATTTTGTCTTTCTCTGACTCACCTCACTTAGCATAATACCCTCTAAGTCCATCCATGCTGTTTTAAATACCGGACAAATACTTTCACCAGCCTAGTGTGCTTACCAGGCTGATGCCCATTGCGGGGAAGCTGTGAGTGTGCAGAAGGCTCTGAGGGTGAAGGACTAACCCAGCAGCTCCTCGGGGGCCTCGGAGTTACACCCCGGCTTTGAACACATGTGTGGATATGTGATCATGAGAGATCTCGTGGAATTTGAATTCTCTGGATTATTTTCTTTATTTCTCCTGAAGTACCAAACTTGAGTTGTCCTTGATAACTTCTCCTCCAAAAGTTAACTCCACTTTCTCTCTTAATCTCTAATACTACCTCCTACCCTCACCTCACCCAAATTCCCCTAAAAGCTAATCTATGTGCGTGCTCCCTCTCATAAATGGTTGAAAGGGCTTTAACCTATAAACATTGTACACCCCCAGTGAGCCCGGCCTTTCTTAAGTATTGAATAGGAGTCCTCAGATCAATAAGCACCACATATAGAGGAATATGAAGGGCTGCTGTCTTAATAAATCTCAGATCCTCACCCCACCCCCCTTACATCCAAATGAGTGGTGACAGTTTTTGATCTATTTAGAGAAATCAAGTTTGCAGTGGGACCAAATTCCTCCTAATCCATTGAGATGTTTTGCTCTAAATACAGGTCAGTGTGTTGACAGACCAGGTGGAGGCGCAGGGAGAGAAGATTCGAGATTTGGAGTTTTGTCTTGAAGAGCACAGAGAGAAGTTGAATGCCACCGAGGAGATGCTGCAGCAGGTCTGTACGACCCTGGCCCCCATGGGATTTTCCTGCTGAGCTGTGTGAGATGTTCCATGTTGTGTTTGCTCTGATGGAGCAGTACATTTCGTAGCTCACTTACACTGGCATCTTTTAAGTAAAAACCTAGGGTAGCAGGCCCTCAAAACACATACACACAATAAAAATGTGCTCATGTAATTAGAATCTGAAATAACACATTACTAGGATTACAGATAATTTTAATTATCTTCTTTATGCTTTCATATAGTTTCCTAACTCCCAATGTGAGCATATTTATCTGATTAAGAAAAAAGATAAATACCACATGTGACCTTTATTAGAAAAAACTTGTATACACACACACACACACACACACACACACACACACACACACACACGGTGCTCACATCTGAGAGACCTATAATATAATGGACAGAGTATACACTGGAGCAAGACTGCTTAGTCTTGAGTCCCTGCTCTGCCATTTCCATGCTGTGTGGCTTTTGGCAAATTTTTAAGCTCTCTGATCCTCAGCTTCCTCATCTGTTGAGTTCCTCATCATGCATTATCCCTATGAATTTCTACCTCATAAGGTTGTTTTGAGACTCGAACCACTAAATACATGTCAGAATAGTCCCTGGCACATGGCACACGTAACATCATCATCATCATCATTAGTGTTATCAGGCATCACACTATATATAAGGTTTACATATGTGTGTATCTACGTAATGTATCTCCCCAATAAGCAGATATGTGTTTAGTGCTGCTCAAAGAGGGTTAACTAAATTGTATCTATTTAGTAATTAATCGTCAAATCCTCTATTTGATAGTTACTGCTTTACAGTCATAAGTGAGGCACATCCTTATGTGGCTGTTTATAATAAAACAACTTCTGAATGTATCTCTTAAATTCTAATAGGAGCTTCTGAGTAGGACATCCCTAGAAACTCAGAAGTTGGATCTGATGGCTGAGATATCTAACTTGAAGTTAAAACTGACGGCTGTGGAGAAGGACAGATTGGATTATGAAGATAGGTTCAGAGACACAGAGGTAAGCAGCACCCTCTCTCTCTTTACGTACATATACATACATATGCGTATATATCACACACATGAATTCCTAGAGCAAGTTGAAATTCCTTGGAGGTGTGAGGGGGAGGCAGTTAATTACATTTGCCCTCATTCATCTATGCTTCTTTTTTAAAAAAAAAATCTTAATTGTTGAAAGTATTACATATGTCCCTTTCTCCCCGCCATTGCCCTATCCCACCCTATCCCCCACTCCCTGCCCCTCAAGCCTTCATCACCCACACTGCCTGTGTGTCCTTGGGTTATGCATATACACATGTGAGTTCATTGGTGGATCCATCTATGCTTCTTTTTAAAAATAATATTTAATTAAGTTGACTTTTTATCATCAAGTGCTAATGGCAGTTTTTATTTTCAGACTTTTTAAAGAACAGTCTTTAAACAGTCTTTGAAATTGTTATTGATTTCAGAGAGGAAGGGACAGGGAAAGAGGGAGAAAAACATCAATGATGAGAGAGAATAATTGATTGGCTGTCTCCTGCATGCCTCACACTGGAGATGTAGCCCGCAACCCAGGCATGTGCCCTGACTGGGAATGGAACTATGACCTCCTGGTTCATAGGTCAACACTCAGCCACTGAACCACACCAGCCAGGCTATTTTTAGATTTTTGGTACGAATTAGTAATTCTTTTATTGCCTTTAGAAGTACTTTTGACTTTAAGCTTTTGGAACTTGTATCTTTCTGTTTGTCCATTCTCTGTCCATTTGTACTGGTTTTCTTCATTGTGGATATAATGGGTTTAAGTGCATGATTTTACTGTTTATTTAGCTACTAGTGGCCCGGTGCATGAAATTCGTGCATGGGGCATGGGGAAGCGGGGGGTGGGGGGTGGGGGGGGTTGTCCCAATCTGGGATCCCTCTTGCAATCCAGGATCGCTGGCTCCTAACTGCTCACCTGCCTGCCTGATCACCCCTAACCACTCTGCCCGCTGGCCTGCTTGTTCCCAACTACCCCCCCGCCACACACACACACCAGCCCGATCACTCCCAACTGCCCCCCAGCCAGTCTGCTCACCCCTAACTGTCCCCGCCTGCTGGTCTGATTACCCCCGCCTGCTCCCCCTTGCCTGTCTGCTCACCCCAACTGCCCTCCCCTAACCACTTATGCCTTGGCTCTGCCACCATGGCTTTGTCTGGAAGGACGTCCAGAAGGTCACCTGGTCTAATTAGCATATTACCCTTTTATTAGTATAGATTATTTAGGCACACTGATTATTTATTATATAATAAGATTTTTAAGTATATATAAAAAACATACTTTCATTATATAATCATAAAAATCAAAGCTCTTTAGAGGTCATTTAATTTGGCCTTCTACTTTTGGTCTATTCCACTCATAAATCATTCCAATTAAATAAAACTCACTATTTGTGAAATTCAAGTAGACTTTACAACTTAAAGTACCCATTTTTGTGGCCAAGCATACTCATTTGTTCCATTTTATTGTTAATCCAGATCTTCTAATTTATTTATTTGCTTATTGCTGTGTTGCGAAGAAAGGCATATCCATTTGAAATTTATTAACTTGAAAAGAAATATTAAAGGCTGTGGAAATTCCTCCTCTGCTAGGGCCGTTTCTTCTTTTTTCTCTATTTTGTTTCTTTGGTTGGGGTGTGGAGAGATGTCATACTTGATGGGTACCAAGGAGAGAGGAATAGAAATCATTTACTTTTTCCCCCTCCCATCTTCATTTTAAACATTTATTTCATGCCAACTACATGCCATCATAAGAGGTACATACATTGTATATACTAATCACTATCTAAAAGCCCTTCATAGGTTTGAATTAAGTGAGGTTTGCTCCATTGCCTTTTCAAAATTAAAATGTCTGTTATGGAAAGTCTTGTCACATGTTTTACTTCCTTTGGAACAAAAGGAAATCCCTAACTTGGTGCATGTATTAACAGTAGAGCTTTTTATCAAACACCTGTATGAGCATGTTTTTCTTTTTATATTTTATATGTATTTTTGTATTTATTTCAGAGAGGAAGGGAAAAGGAGAGAGAGAAAAACATCAATGATGAGAGAGAATCATTGATTGGCTGTCTCCTGCACACCCACTACTGGGAATCAAGCCCACAACCAGACATGTGCCCTTAACCAGAATCGAACCTGGGATCCTTCAGTCTGCAGGACAGTGCTCTATCCACTGAGCAAACCAGCTAGGGCAGCATGTTTTTCATTTAATTGAGACTGGGACTCTTAGAACTTAGGAAGTTACCCAATTTCTTTAACGTTGCTCTTGTGCTTTTTAAAAAACAAAAACAAATAACATTTGACAATGTTATTACATGATGTCAAATAGTTCTTGTCCTCATTCACAAAAGGAGAAAATAGACACCCTCTTATTGAAACACTATATTAATAATATTAATAAGTAATTATTATATGATAATGCTGGGTAATACTCTTCCCCATTTTACAAGAAATGCCTTAAAACAGGAACACTTTAAAAGCCTGTGAGTTTTCTGGAAAGTATATTTGATTGTAGCATCTCTTTTCCTAGCCTTTGTGAGGTTATATTTGGAAGTTTAGAGTAATTCCTTATAAACTAAGTTTTCCTTCTGCCATTCATAACACAATAGTAGAATTCAGTCCGCAGGTGGCACAGCATGGAGCTCACCGTGCTGCAGGGAAAGAAGTTACACTGTTTGGGGATTGGGAGATGGCTTCTATGTTACACACACAAAGTTTAGGGGATGGCTTAACCTGTGTGACTGTGGGTAATTTGGATATGAAATATTAACGAAACTAAATTGAAGTAGATGTTGTGTGATTTTTTGGTAAGACCCCAGAGTAGTATTTACATCTTTTGAGTGTGTCTGCATTTTTATAAAACTGTTTTTCCCTGGTGCTGCATTCTCAATCAAGTAATCCTGTCATCAACTTCCAGTAAACTCGATCCCTGAAAATTTTCAATAAATATTTAACACTATTGATAAAATGTAGGGTGAGCATTCCCAGAGGTTATGGGATGTTTTATAAACTTTGTTATATATGAGCATAATTAAAATAGTCTTCAAAATTAAAACTGAATTGAATATGCTCATTTTCCTATTATTGTTCCCTTGATAAAAAATAAAACGTTTCCCAGGCTGTTTCAGAAATCCAAAACTCTTTAACTTTGTCTTAGAAGTTTGGAGATTAAGTTCTAAGAATATATTGGAATGGGAAAGAAGTATCAGTACTTCCACAGACTGGGGGTAAAAGTCTTAAAACCTTGAGGATTGAGGAAGTGCCTGCCCCAGGAATTGCTGACAGATGGTTAACATTGTTCCACAGTGCCCCCTTCTGGTCACAGCGCAGACGGCAGAAACTGAATTTTTGTGGAAGTCCAAAAGAGTTCTCTAGAAGGGAAAAGGGGATGGTAGCAGGGATTTTCTTTTTAAAAAGGACTGAACTTCTAGTAAGATATTAGCTGGAAATCATTTGTATATCACTTTCTAAAGTCTCATATTAAGGAGTTGGAAATCATTTGTATATCACTTTCTAAAGTCTCATATTAAGGAGCTAATTTCAGATTTTCAAGCTTGTGTTATCATAGGAAGATACATGGCCAATGTTGCCACAAAAGATAATTGGGTAGTTTTGTCTTTGTTTATTTGTTTGCTTGCTTGTTTGTTTTAAATAGAAAAATGGTCTCAATTTATAATTCTGTTTTCTTCCATTGTTTCTTCTTCTTTGCAAATTGCTAATATTTCTAAATGAAGTGGTAAATGTATACAGTCCCTAACAGGAAATCAAAGCTGTTTCTTGCCAAGACTAGTTTGGCTCAATGGATAGAGCATCGGCCTGCGGACTGAAAGATCCTGGATTCGATTCCAGTCAAGGGCATGTACCTTGGTTGCAGGCACATCCCCAGTAGGGGGTGTGCAGGAGGCAGCTGGTCGATGTTTCTCTCTCATCGATGTTTCTAACTCTCTATCCCTCTCTCTTCCTCTCTGTAAAAAACAATAAAATATATATTTTTTTAAAAAGCTGTTTCTTAGCAATGACAAAGTGGGTAAATATATATTGATATTAAAAAGACCAGATTAATGAGGGAATATCACTGAGAATTCGTATTATGCAAGGATGATTGATAGATGGGAGATTATAAGTGGGGTAAACTGACATTTTTCTCAACTTGAATTCTGAGTTTATAGATTAAGAATCACAAACTAAAATGTTATTACATGATGTCAAATAGTTCTTGTCCTCATCACAAATGGAGAAAATAGACACCCTCTTATTGAAATATTTTCTTAATAATGTTAATAAGTAATTATTATATGATACTTTTTCCCATTTTATAAGAAATGCTTTAAAAAAAAGAACACTTTAAAAGCCTATGACTTTTCTGGAAAGTGTATTTGATTGTAGCATTCCTTTTCCTAGCCTTTGTGAGGTTATATTTGGAGGTTTAGAGTAATTCCTCGTTAACTAAATTTTCCTTCTTATAGCATTGTTCTATTTTAAAATTTGTTTTTTATTGATTTCAGAGAGAGGAAGGAGAGGGAGAGATAGAAACATCTATGAGAAAGAAACACCAATCAGCTGCCTCTTGAAACCCCTTCCTTCCCCAACTGGGGATCAAATCTATAACTCAGGCCTGTGAATTCTGTTGTGTCGTCCATGAATTTGTGGCTCAGGAATAAATGTCTTGTAAAAGAGAGGAACAAAAACACATTAGCCATAGGCAGGGCGGGGCCTTCGTGGCTTGTAGTAAAAAAATAATCTCCTTCACAGAGTATTTGAGCCCTTTTTTGGGGGGGAGTTGGGGGGAAGAGTTGCTATTTAGAATTCTCATTTAATTGTCCTACTCTCTGAGCTCTGAACAAAAAAGTATATCACTGTTTCTCACAATACTTATCCGAATTTGACAAGCATATAAGTTTTTTATAAAGGTGGCAGTAGAAAATTTATCTGATTATACTGTATTTATATTATGAAAACATTAGGATTGTTATTTTTTTCATTTTCCAAATATAAAAATCCATTATGACACTGAATATATTTTTAGATGACAGTGCCCTCATCCATCCTCAGGTTGAGAAGCTTTGGTTTAAAGGATTTAAATTTCACTCCATTGCCGAAACCGGTTTGGCTCAGTGGATAGAGCATCGACCTGCGGACTGAAAGGTCCCAGGTTCGATTCCAGTTAAGGCATGTGCCTTGCTTGTGGGCACATCCTCAGTAGGAGGTGTGCAGGAGGTGGCTGATCGATGATTCTCTCTCATCGATGTTTCTAACTATCTGTCCCTCTTCCTTCCTCTCTGTAAGAAATAAATAAAATATATTAATAAATAAATAAATAAATAAATTTCACTCCATCCTCCCAGATTGGGTTGATGGATGGTCTGTATTTATAGACAAATGAAGAAACGATAAAATATATTTTTATAAACATCTACCATATCACTGAAAATACCCTGAAAAGTAATTGGTTTTACTACAGAAAATTTCTCTGGTTTATTTTAAAAGTGAAAGTTTATGTAGTGAATTTTAGTCTAGAAATATCTGATCAATGATAGTAAGTTATTAGCTTCCCCTTAATAAATGATCTCATCATTGTAAGACAGAGGAATTAGGAATTTAAAATAGTGTTTTAAGTGGAAAGATAGTTCTCCAGGAGGAACACTGTTTTTATTTGTCTGATCTAAGGAATTGTGGATTTAAGATTTCCAAGCTGCCATGTTGGTATGTTGAAGTGTACTACCGCTTTCCTAATGTACTTTCCTGTTTCTTTCCGGACAGGGGCTGATGCAGGAGATCAATGACTTGAGATTAAGAATCAGTGAAATGGACAGTGAAAAGCTTCAGTATGAAAAAAAACTGAAATCAACCAAAGTAAGTTTTCTCAATGACAGCAGTTTTTAAACAAATGGCTCCATTGCTTATCTATGATTACTAATATATAGATCAATGTGTTTTCCACTCAGTATATGATAAAGAAGGTATTTTACAAGTCAACTTTTTCTCTGAGCTGGAGACCTTCTTGATTTAAGCACTATTCTGAATAAAAGCCAGGGCTTAACTAATCTGATAGAACATATTACCTGTCATTTCTCTTACTTATCTAACCTCCTGTGTAAACTGATACTGTTTTCTTGTTATTTAGCTTATCTTTTTCTATCTGTAGCTTTCTTTTACTCCTCTGTCTCTCTACCAGTCCTTAATGGCCAAACTTTCTAGCATGAAAATCAAGGTGGGTCAGATGCAGTATGAAAAGCAGCGGATGGAACAAAAATGGGAGTCCCTGAAGGTGCGGTAGACATTGGGGAATGTGGGTCCATGGCTTGTTGCTTTTTGGCTTGTGCTGTTTTGCTGTGATGGTGTTTTTAGTGGTGTGTGCATTTATTTTGTCCGTGTGCCGCCTATTTTTTAAAAAATACGTTTAAAGCTAATTAAAGGGACAGTATGATCCTTAATTTGTTTTTAGGGACCTATGGAATAACTAGTAAAAAATAAAATCTTATTCTGTTAGGCTCTCTGAGATCCAGGCTTGGCAAAATAATTAGAACAAGTTCACCTGTGAAAGAATTCTGTTATGTAGCAATAGTAGACATTGCTTTTTTCCTTTGGGATTTTCTTGAAGGTAAATGCACTCAGCAGTTAACTATCATGGCAGCGAATGGAAATTACTGCTGAGAATTAGCGCAGTAAGAACAGGGCCGCACTCCTTGCCAGTGCTCTGGAAATTTCTTGTGCTTGATATTCACGCCTTCCATAAGGAAAAACCTGTTAGCTTCCTTGGAGAGTTACATCTTTTCATAGTACTAACTGTAATCTATTATCTTTAGAAAAGACTAAAAGAAAATGTTTGAAAATAAAATTATTTTATGAATATAAAATTAAATTAAAAATAAAGGTGCATTTATAAGCTTCAACTAGTATTATTTTCGGCGTTACATACAGCCAGCAAAACTGAATTTGCTAAAGCTCTTTACCAAAATGAAACTGAAAGTGAAAACATTAGTAAATAGGTAGAACATTGGATATGGGATCCTTAATAATAGTCATGTAGTTTTACAAAAGAAGAATAAAATTTGTTTTTTAAATCTTTTTTTTTTTTTTTTTTGCATTGTTGTAGGAGATTCTGTTCCGTTATCTTAGTAACGAGGATAAATATTCACTCCCAAGCTACTTTACCCACTAATTAAGCTCTACCTTGTCCAGGGAACCTAAGTGCCATCTTTAAATGCTGAATGAATGTCAAGCAAGTCTTGATATCTATTTTCCAATTTGCATTTTATTTTGCTTTTACAATACTAAGCATCTAATTTTTTTATATTAGCATGGTCAAATTTTTTTTATTTAACATAACATATATATCTTAGGGCTACACTAAAAGGTTTATTTTTTATACTTTAAATGATTTATTTTTTTAATTTGTTCACAAATGAAACTTGAAATAATTATACCATACTTATTATAAATTAGATTTTAATAATTGCCTTGCTTTTTGTTTATCATCACCACTGTCTGATTTCTGAAGTTTGCATCTTTGCACCTAAATAACTAATTATTGACTTAAGAACATACTCTCTGATATTCTCTTTTATTCATAAGCTACCCTTTTGAAATGAATTATCATTTGTAGGATGAACTGGCATCTTTAAAAGAACAACTGGAAGAGAAAGAATCTGAAGTGAAAAGGCTACAAGAAAAACTGTTTTGCAAGATGAAAGGGGAAGGGATAGAAATTTTTGACCGAGGTAGGAATATGTATTTAATATTGGTTATCTTATTTTGTTAAAATCCCCTAAGATCTGAAAAAAAAAAAAATCTGATGTTATTTGATGTGTAATTTTAGCAACAAAAAAAGAATAGCAGGAGCCATCTGGCCTAGGGCCTCAGGGAATCCTCCGAGACTCTTTCCTGGGCCTCCCAAGGGCAACTCTGTACTCTTCTGGGTGTTTCGTTGAGATGACTAAATTGTAAATCACCATCAGGAGAGAGTTATTTCCAAATTGCAAAATAAAAGCAAGTGTCAAAAAAGAATGAAAAGGAACCATGACGATCTTCTAAGACTATTTCCCTCTAACCTGAACTTGAAACAGAAAGACATTTAGAAACCTTCTCTGCCCTGTTGAGAGAAGAGAAGACTCTGTCTTTGGAAAACTCAGTGGGAATTTCTTATCATGCATTGAGCTCTTAACCTTCTAGTAAGCAAAAAATTAGGCTAATTTCATTTTTAGAAAAGTGCATGAATTTATCCAAAAGTTGTTTTCATAATTGAGGAGGCTTGTCCTAGAAACTACGTGGACTGTAGTTTTTGATAATGTAGCTTCTACTTGGTAGAAAATACTGTGAATGCAATGTGTTTTTCTGAATTATGTTTGGAAATATGAATGCATGTAACAGCTGACAAAACTAGATCAAATTTAACCTCTTTTTGTTATTACAAATGATGACTGGGGCAAAAGCAATTTCTGATCCAGTGGAAACAGAACAAATTTCATTTAGTATAGCTTTGGTACATTTTTACCTGTGATGTGAACACTGGTATTGTTATTGTCTCTTCAATGAGGAGCTTGAATTAGATGACCTGTAAAGTCTTCCTGGCTCTGGAATATCCTGGCTTTATATACTCACAGGAATCACAGTTTTCTACCCATTGGGGAACTTAATTCATCAAACATCCCGAAAAATGGATTCCCCCCTCTGTCATTTGACATATGTGGAATTGTATGTTCGGAAAGGACATTCACAGACAGGTCATGCTTTTAGGATTTTAAGATAAAAATGGAATCCTAGGACTTGTAGGCTAGAGGGTATGTTAGAATAGTGCTACCCAAATTCCAGTCCCAGGACTAGTGCCAGTTTGTGAACAGCTTGCTACCAGTGCGCCACCAAGGAAATAGAGGGACTGAGAGCAAGTTGACATACCATCTAACTGCATGATCAGTGGACTCACATGGATCAGGAGCTACGCCACTTCAGTGTTATTGAACTTGAGTGGTGAGTTGAATGTGACAGAAGCCATGTAGTGGTCATGTCCAGGAGGTCCAATATCTGGCTATAAAGGAAATGTGAAAAAAAACAAACAAAACAAAAACAAAAAAACAACCAAGGCAACATTAACCGGCTGTTCACCACATACTGTGTGAGGAGCACTGTATTCCACAGGCCCAATTTCAGGGTGAGAAAGTCAAGGTTCAGAAAGTTGAAGTAACAGAGGCAGTAATTCAAAGTTAGGCCTTCTGAATTAATTACATTAGGTTCTCTTTTTAACTGCACACAGAGCGTTATGTAGTATAATTCTAGTCCTGACGTCACAAAATAGTGCTCGGTAGTCAGTCTGTCTTTGTGAGTTTAGAGTCTCTCTATTTTAGGTAAAAGAAGACAATAATAGCGCTCTTAAAATATTATTTACTGTTGTAATGTATGCTAACTTCCAATTCAATGGGTTTTCCTGCACAGATGAAAATTTTAAAAAGAAGCTCAAAGACAAAAGTAAGGTTTTTGGTGTATTTCCATCAGCCTTTACATTCACCGAAAGCAATACTTGGACTGTTCTTTGCATGTGTTTTTAAAACATTTCTCTCACCAAAAATGTGAAGTTGCTTCATCGATAAGCTCTCCATTTCCTTGGAGCATACAACATAGAGGGTAAACAAACCATACAAAGGAGGAGTAAAAGGTCCCTTAGCAGATCTCATCTGATTCGGCCTGTTGCTCCTGGGACTCAGCGGGGCACCCCGAGTGGTGAAGGTGAGGAAGCACTTTCTCCGGGGTCCAGGAGATGCAGGGCCAGAGAAGGAAATAATGTTTACCCTCCTATGAAAACTACTGTTTTTGAGGTTTGCCATAGTTGAAAGATCATTTTGAACTTTGCTTTTCAATATTTTTAGCCCACTTTTTCACTGAGATCTACTTTAGGAGATTTTGGTGTTTTGAAAGAGAATGCAATTATTTAATTGCATTAAGTAACCAGGATGCTTCATGGAGCCTGGATTCTTTAAGGCAGCATAAAGAATAAACTTAAAGGGCTCTCTCCTCCAGACATTGAATTCTTAAGTCAAGGGAATTTGCCTTTTTTATTTTTTAATTAAAAAATATATATATTTTATTGATTTTCCACAGAGAGAAAGAGAGATGGATAGAGAGTTAGAAACATTGATGAGGGAGAATCATCGATCAGCTGCCTTTTGCACACCCCTTACTGGGGATGTACCCGCAACCAAAGTACGTTCCCTTTACTGGAATCGAACCTGGGACCTTTCAGTCTGCAGGCCGACACTCTATCCACTGAGCCAAACCGGTTTCGGCTTGCCTTTTTTAAAAAAGTAAAGAAAAGAAAGGCAATTCCTATAAAATATACCTTAATCAAAAATAGTTCTATCAGTACTGAATGATCCATCACTGTTTTAAAAATTACCTTTAGTCGTTTTTTTGTTTTTGTGTTTCTTCTCAAAAGGCGGAAATTATAGCTGATTTTTTTTTTTCTCTGTTTCAAATTTTTTAATTTGTGATTTCATTCTAGGTTGACTTTTGATCTTTAGAGTATTTGCTTTTTAGTATTAAAGTAACATGCTTTTGTATTTGGACATCAAATTTTAAGTGAAATGACAGTCATCTCACTCTGGCCTTTATGTTTTCAATTATAGCATTTGGAAATGAAGTTTATAGATGAAGCAAAGTACTTAATATCCTTTTGTATGGAACCTACAGCTTAGCATGACTACTCCTGTAAATATCACATTCCATCAGGCTCTTATCATTTGTGTCTCCATCTTGGTTATAACTGAGTATCATTTTGTCTGCTTTTGTCATGTGCACTTTGTTCATTGCTCTTACCCACTGCTTTTTTGAAAAGTCTGTGTTTTTATTGTTAGCACTGACATTCCATTGTTCTCTTGAAGATTTTGTTGTTGCTTTGAGAGAGGGTAGTTAGCTCTCACTTGCCCTGTGACTATTCAGGCGAGATAGAAAGGTGTTCATTTTTCAGATTTTTCCCTGAAAGACAACATGTATGGCAAATGTGCCCTTTTAAAAACAAACAAATAAAACAGATCAGTAACATCTTTACCTTAAAACATTTCAATCTGGAGAGTCAGTAGCTTCTCATTACTGTCACACACGTTAACTAAACTGACTTCTGATTTGATGTTGTGATATTTTCAGATATTGAAGTACAAAAGATGAAAAAGGCTGTGGAGTCTTTGATGGCAGCAAATGAAGAAAAGGTATCTCGATGGAATTTAAATATTTATTTGGGTGTGTAATAGCACCATTTTGATCATTCTGTGCATTTTATTGAGATATTGCCGTTTGAAAGAACACACCCTATGCACTAACTGACATTGAGGGGCAAGCTTTCTGCCTTCCTGCTCAAGTGTGTCCACTGTCAGGGGGTCACACTTGTTACTGTGCCAAGGATAGGAATGGAGACCAGCAGCACTGGCTTCACCGAGAATTCTCTCTCTCCTCCCTGCATGAATTCAGAAAATGCTTGAGCTATCAAATCTGGGCTATTGTATGAACTCTGAACAACTTTAGCTTCATGGTCAAGTCCATTTTTTTCTCCTTCATACTGCTGACCTCTTTTGCATTGGGGATTGTCTCTGTTCTCCTGAGTAGTGAGATACCAGAAAAGAGAGGCCCCGGCACCATGAAATCAGTTTGGCCCCCGGCTCTGTTTTAGCTGTGGTGGCCCAGTGCCATGTCTCCAGAAGTTTGTTTCTTCCGGTTGTTCCTCCTCACTTCATCCTGCTCCGAGCAGGGATGCAGTTACTCTACTAAAGAAATGCGTTTCTTCCCGGCTTTCCTGACCCTCCAGCCAGCAGGCAGCAGCAGCTGGGTCCAGCTCCTGTCATCAGAATTGCTCTCCTCTCGTGTCCCTAAGTGAATGGAACAAGAAGGCATTTTCCTAAGAAAAGAGTAATTTCAAGGAAGTGAAAATCAGGCCCTGCCAAAAAACTTTCTCTTGATCTTTTTCTAATTGATCAAAAGTTTCTTTTTCTAATTCTTGCCTACTCTGTTTTACTTGTTGATTTATTTTTGCCTTTCATTCTCTTCATTTGTTCTTTACTCCTTGGTAATAAACTCATTGTCTTACCCACCCAATCAGTTTTTTATATATGCATATTTGCAAGTTTTTCCTACTATTGAATAAAAATAAAAGTCCTTAGCAAGCTGCCAACAGAGCTTTTTTTTTTTTTTTTTTTTTTTTTTAAGAAAATCGCTGAAATTCATTTTCTTTTAATTTTCCTCCCTCAAAATGCAACCATATCAAAACTCCCAATGTTGAAGGAGGGCTCACTAGATGCTCAAACTGCTACAGGTGCACCAAGAATGACATAACTACTTAGTAGTTTCAGAAGGTTCCAAAGAGGACATATTTGAGCAAATTCTGAAGAATAGCAAGAGTTGCTCATCGGGAAAATGAAGGCTTCTAGAACATCCATGAGTGAAAACATGTTTCAAAATCAAGGCCTAGTGCATTCTGGAAAAGATCTGGAACATGAGGTATAGGTGAAGGGGTGTATAAGACTAACAAAAGAGCTACAGTGAATAGTAGGCAACCTTGTATGGCTAGGCTAATGATCTGGGACCTTAGGTTGTAGGTGTTGGGCAGTGACATAATTAAAATTGCCATTTGGAAGCTAATTCTGGTAGCAGAACAGAGGCAGGAATAAGGGAGGGAGAGTAAAGATTGAACAATTAAGAAGCTAGATGAGAAATGAAGAGAGGTTGAAGTAAGGCAATGACAGTGACGTGTTAAGGAGGGGAAGGTATTTTAGAGAAATTTGTAGGTTGACAAAATTTAAAAATCTTGGGACTTTAGAGTTTCTGGTTTGATCAATGGGGTAAATGATGGTGCCCTCCAATAGTTAAGGGCATCCAAGTGAAGCTGAAGTACTAGAAGCAAATAATGAGGTTCATTTTACATATGTTCTATTTGGTGTGTTCATGGGACATCTAAAAGGAGATTTCTTATAGAAAGTTGAAAATAAATCTAAATTTTAGGATTAGTATAGGATTATAGATTGGTAGGCAGTGAATCGCTTCAATTTTAGGAGAAATGTATAATTAGTTGTGGATTGGTAGAAACTAATGTATCAGTTAGCTTTGGCTCCATAACAAGTCACATTCATTATTTCCCATGCTTGTGTGGGTTAGCTAGATGGCTCTTCTGATCTGAGCTGGCTTAGCTGATATCAGTGGTTAGCCAGTGGCTGAGATAGGGCTGAATGGTATAGGATGGTCTGACTCACCTGTTTGTTGATTGACCAGTCTTGGTCTAGGTTGGCCCAGTTGAGATATCTCTTCTCTCAGTGGTCTCTCATCGTCCAGGAGACTAGCTAGCCTATGCTTCTTCACATAGTGACCTTAGAGCACCAGGAGAGGGCAAACCCTAAAGTTCAAACACTTTTCAAGCCTTTGCTTAAACCACATTTATTGATATCTTATTTGACAAAGTGGGTCACATGATCAAGTCCACACTCAGTGTGGCTGGAGCTAGAGAGTTCACTTTTATAATCCACCACAGTTAGGGCATGGGGAAAAGAGAAGAGGGTAAAGAACAAAACTGTAGGCTCTATATTTTATTGTCTGGGTAGGGTAATAGTGAGGTTATAGAAGTAGAATATCTTATCTCGCCAACGGATTAAGAAATCAAAATAGAAGAAAAGAGAGTGGAAGGAAAAGTAAAAGAGGAAAGAAAGAGTAGTCAATCAAGTGCCAAATAGAGGTCAAATTAGAGAAAATATAAAAGTGTTCATTGTTTTTAGTAAATAGGTCTCTGGTGACTAATTGAAAGGAGTGTTTTGAGAAGGGAAGAGCCAGATGGCCATGACTGAAAGCTGATAAAGACAGCAGGTGTAGATCTGTTTTTCAAGACTTGGCATATAAGTTGAAGAAGAAAGTAATTAAAGTTGGCTTTTTTTCTTTCTTCCTTTCTTTCTTTCTTTCTTTCTTTTTTTTTTTGTATCTTACTACCTTGTTTTTGTTTTTTAAAGATGGCAGCTGAGTGATATGATCTCTAAATTTAGAGGTACTTTTTCTATATCTCTTATGTAGGAAAGATGTTCTAGATGTTACTAGTTTTACTAAAATTTAGAAGCATTCTTTAAATAATATAAATAATTCATGTCTACTTGTCTTTGTGTTGCAATTACTTTTACCATTTTAAAATCATAGCATTAGAGATGATAATTTATTTTATTAATAGGATCGGAAAATAGAAGATCTTCGACAGTGCCTGAACAGGTACAAGAAAATGCAAGATACAGTGTTACTGGCCCAAGGTAAAAAAGGTAGAGTAGTTCTAAATGTCTTCTACTTAACTGGATTTTAAGTGGCCATAATCCTTTATAGTTGGCCTTGGTTTCTTTTTGAAATATACCCATTCTCTCTAATTAGATAGCTCACTCATCCATGCAATGATATTGTTCAGCATCTGTTCTCTGCCTGAAAGCATATCGGCTAAAGAGCATACTGTAGACTGGTTGGCCAGGGACAGCCTCTCTCTAAGGAGTCTATTAGATAGCATTCCATAAAGAAAGTACAACATTCACAGGCAAGAACTTTTTTGGGGGGTGGCGGTTAGGGAGGAGGTGATATGTTTAAGAAGTAAAAGACCAGTGTGACTGGAGGTAGTGACCAGGAGGAAGAGTGAAATGGGATTCTACAGGTGAGTACCAACCAGGTCATACATATGGGGAGTTTTCACTCTTACTTGGCCCCCAGAAATCCATTGAAGGGTCTTAACAAGTTATTGGTAAGATCTTTGTAACAAATAGACCCTAGTGGGAGGGAATGGTGTTGGAAGGAAGGAAAGCTATTTAAGAGATCATGGCAGTATTCCAAGTGGAAAGATCTGATGGTTCTGACTGGAAATATATTTTGGTGTTAGAATCAAAATAATGATGTGTTGAACAAGTGGGGGAGTGTGAAGAAGAGAGAGAATTAAGGAAGATCTTTGATTAAAGCAACTAGCTGGATGATAGTTCCGTTTTCCAAGATAGAAAAACCTAGAGAAAGAACATTGGCATGGTTAAGGGACATCGTGTTCAGTTTTGAAAATGTTAAATTAACAGAAAACACACACACAAGAACCCCGTAAGACATCTAAGAAAAGATAGTTATACAGTTTCTTATATTATTATTTTATTAGTTGTCCTGAACTGTACAAATTTTTGGAGTAATTAAAAACAAACAAAAAATGTTAAGGACTTTAAAAGTTCTCTTGTTTATTGTCAATGCATAGATGGGGTTATTTGTTCTAAATATAAGCACTGGAGATTAACAAGTCTTTTGGAAGACACTCGTGGATGCTTTTTCCCGTTATGCTCTTCTTTCTGTTTTAAGATGAGTAGAATAAAAGGCTCCTTTTGGGTGATCAAAAGGACATTATCTTTTTCTTCACTTTTTGTGTGTGTGTGTGTGTGTGTTTTGTGTGTGTGTGTGTGTGTGTGTGTGTGTGTTTTGTGTGTGTGCGTGTGTTTTTAGGAGCTCAGTAGTGATGAAATGGAGTTGATGAAATGGTGACTCTTTTTGTACCACTGGTATTCCTCAACTTGGTAATTTCTGAATTGAAATTTGTATAAAGCCTCCAAATTTTGAAACAAAATTACAGGGGAGTTGTTAAACTGAATTCACTTTTAAAATATATATATATATTTTTAAAATTGATTTCAGAGAGGAATGGAGAGGGAGAAAGGGAGAGAAACCTCAATGAGGAGAATCATTAATTGGCTGCCTCTTGCACACCCCACATTGGGAATCAAGTCTGCAACCCAGGCATGTGCCCTGACCAGGAATCGAACCATGACCCCCTCGTTCATAGGTAGACTCTCAGCCATTGAGCCACGCCAACCTAGCTGAATTCACTTTTTAATTTCAGTCTTGTGAGTCTATCATTGCCCCTGTTAACACCTCTATCAGTTAATACCTCTCTTAATACCACTGCTGGGTACTCACGTGGCCCAAAGCCCCAGGGCCTCAGATGCTACTAGTGAAGGTGTTGTTTCCTAGGTCCCGTGTATTTTCAAGTGATTCCAGAAGCTGACTGTTTGATTATTTTTTTTTTGATTATTTTTTTTTTTAGGATCAGAAAATTTTTTCCATTTAATACATTTGGGATTCTTCTTCCAAAAGTGAACTATAAATGAAAACTTGCTGTTGGTCCTCTGTTTTCTTCATCTTTTCCTAGGCCAAGAGAGTGACTATGATGACCTGCCCACTTCCAGTTCCATCTCCACTTTGCTGGAAGCACCGGGTTTTGGGGAACTGGAGAAAGGTCTATCATCCACACCAGTGATGGGGTCTCCCACTCGTGACCCACTGAACACCAGTGTTCCCGAAGAGGTATGTATAGATTCCCAATAGCCTCTTTCTTCTGGGGAAAGTGTGTCAGTGAAAGTTAAAGTGCTGTGGACAACACGAAAGATGTGGGATTTTTTCCCTCAGTTTGGTTACTGATGATTTGGTTTGCCCTGGAAGTTTTTGTGTCCTATAGGTTTTCATTTGAAATGTGTGTATGTGTTTGTTTGTTTTTTCTCTCTTTAATAAATAAATGCCCCGGGCAGTGTCAAAATTGCTTATGTAATTCAGGAAAAATATAAGAATCCCTTGGGGGATAGATGTCCTCTTAAATACAGGATTCTAATCTACATATTAAATAATAAGTAGGGAATAAATAAAGGGAAACTATATAGGGAAATAGATTTGAATCACCTGTGATGGAGACTCTGTAAGACAAGCATGTCAAACTTGTGGCCTGGCGGGCCGTATGCCTCCTTTAAATAAGGCATGTGGCCTGTCAGCCCGAGAGTTTGACATGCTTGCTGTAAGATGATGGATTGAAATTCCCTCTAAATTCTTTAAATTTGGAAGAAGCAACTGGAGGGGAATAAAGTCTTAAACTCATTTACTTTACTTTCACATCCAATTGCCACTGATACCTTTCTCCATTAACTATTGCACCCCACCCCACAACTTTGTGTCTTGAATGACAACATTTATTTTGCTGACGAATCTGCCCTTTGGACAGGGCTCAGCAGGAACATCTGGTCACTGCTCCACTTGGCAGCAGTGGGAGTGGCGCAAAGGCTGGGGCTTCAGTCACCTTAAGGCCACTCATTCATCTGTCTGGTGGTTGAGGCTAGCTGTTGACTGGGACTTCAGCTGAGACCCTGACTAGACCCACTATCTGTGACTGCTTGGCCTCCTCTTAATACAATGGCTGGGTCCTGAAAATGAGCATCCCAAGAAGAGGACTAGGCAAATTCGTATCACCCTTTGTGACGTATCTCAGAAGTCACGTAGCATCTCTTCTCCTTAGTCATAGGCCCACCCAGATTCACGGAGAAGGAGTATTAATTACCTCTTGATGGACAAGTGGCATTATCACATTGCAAGAACATATGAGATGGGATATATTGGAAATATATGGGAATCATATTTGGAAAATAAATCTGCCCCTCACTCCCTGGTACAACAGTTTATATCCATCTCCCATTCACAGTATACCCACCCCCTCTCCAAAGATCCCTTAGTTTCATTCCAATTAGGCATCAGCATCCCAGGAACTTGTCATCCAGACCAGGTCATAATGTAGGTGAAACTCCTCAGGTGCATCTTCTTAGACACAGCTTCTTGGGTACCCCTCCATTCAGTTTAAAAAACCGGGAACTTAAGAGACAAGCTCTCTGTTCCCCACACACCTGACATACAGTTGTGGGATAGGTATAACCTAACTGCTACAGGCCCTCTCCTTTAAAAGAGGGACAACAGAAGGCACACAGGTGTTACTAGTTCAAACAATTCCAAAATCCAGCCAGGCACGTGGTGCCAGTTCCTTTGTTAGGACTCAGTTCTCTGGGCTCTTGGTTTTTCTTCTGAGTCATCCTTCCTTTTCATACAAGAAGGGGATGTGCTTGCAGATAGTAGTTTTCTGTAAAAGTGTCCATATAGGTCCAAAGTCACCTTTAATTTTTTCCTGTCTTTGTCCCTTTTAGTCTATCTTGGTATAGTATTTTAAACATTCAGAATTTCTTATGAGTCAATCTATTATCCACTCCATTAGATAAAATCATTATCAAGTTAATTTGATACCTTCACAATAAACCTTCTCTACTTTAGGTTCCCTGTAAGGCTATTGTGGGATATCCCTTTATTTTTAGAATTTAAGATCTTTTTGTAAGGGTTCAGTGAGACAGCACCCCCTTAAATTTTTCCTAAGATCTTAACAAAAACACACACGTCTTCATTTTAAGACTGTCTTCCTGATAACACCCTGAAGCCATTTCTGAATCTATATATATAAAAGCCTAAGTGACGTTTGACTGGTAGCTGTGACGCTCACTGACCACCAGGGGGCAGATGCTGCATCTGGTAGGTTAGCTTGCTGTTGGGGACTGGCTGATTGGGTCTGGGCCGGACATGCTCTGGAGCTCTCCTATGGTCCCTCCCTGGTCCCAATTGTGCATGAGTGTGAGGGATTCCTCCAGTGCATAAGTCCTTGCACCGGGCCTCTAGTTTTAATATAATGTGCTATCTGGAGAGACTGGGAATGGGAAACAGTTTTATTTTTTAACAAAACAACCTTAGATTCCTTATATTTAACAGTTCCTTCTTTGCTCATCTCTGTAAGTAATTAGAAGAAACCAAATGGCATCTTTACTTTTTATATCTGTTGCTGATAATTACATCATGAGAAGATGAAACTTAAATTGAAAGAGAATGAATTCAAGGAGATAAAAATTAACATTTCTCTTAAATATAAGAAAAGGCTAAAATATATCATTAACAAGGAGTTAGTAGTGGTTCGATTGGTGGTGAAAAGCTATAAATTTTCAGTTATAAGATAAATATAGGTACTGGGAATGTAATGTACAAGCATATGACTGTAATTAACACTGGTGTGTGGTATATTTGAAAGTTACTAAGAGAGTACATTCTAAAAGTTTTCATGACAAGGAAAAAAAACATTTTCTTCCCGTTTTAGTATCTGAGGTAATGGGCATTAACTTATTGTGGTAACCATTTCACAATATAAACCAGTCAAATCATTATGCTGTAAACCTGAAACTTATACAGTGCTATATGTCAACAAAATTGGGGGAAGAAGGGGAGGGATTAGCTAAGGAAAAGAAATGTTTTAGGGGGGGAAAGTCCCTAATTATTAAATATACATTTACACTTGAGGGAAAGCTACACTCAATAGCCGTTGAGTGGGCTGCATTTATAGAGAGAGGATGCTGCTATATGTAGGATGTACCCAGATAATCTCATATCCTTATAAAAGTCTTTGCTGGGTGCCCTGCAGTTTTTTTCTTTTTCTTTTTCTTTTCTTTTCTTTCTTTCTTTTTCTTTTTTTTTTTTTTTTTTTAAGTGGGGAAGAGAGGTTTAAAGAATAGTTTTATTTATTTTTAGAGAGAGAAGAAGGGAGAAAAGAAACATCCAGATGAGAACGTAACATTGATGAACTGCTTCCTGCACACCTCCTCCCAGGGATGGAGTTCAAAACCTGGGGAATGTGCCCTGACCAGCAATCTAATTGGCAACCTTTTGTTGCATGAGAAGATGCTCAACCAAATGAGCCAGCCAGGGCCAAGCATTTTAGTTTTAATGAGAGATTTTGAGTTTGGAACAGGGATGATTTGATGGGAAATGAAGGTGATCAGTCACATCTATCCTATATAATAAAAGTATAATATGCAAATTGTCCCCATGGGCAGGAGTACTACCAACTGAGAGTTAGATGTGCGCTAACCACTAGGGAGTGGCGGGGAATGAAGGGAGGCCCCAGCCAGCAGCCTGCACCTGCTAAGAACCCTGCCCATGCATGAATTTCGTGCACTGGGCCTCTAGTATATATCCTATTTAATAAAGAGGGAATATGCTAATTGACCCGTTTGCCATTGCAAAGATGGTGATGCCCACGGCCAATAAGGAGAGAATATGCTAATTGACTGCCCCGCCCTCAAAGTTGGTGGTACTCACAGACATAAGATGGTGGTGTCCAGTCCCCTAAGCCCCGGTGGGGCAGGAGGTGCATGGCAAGGCCAGGCTCGCCCCCAGGCGAGCCCAGCCACTCTGTGCACCTGCCTCTGGAGTCCCTCAGTCCCCTCAGCCCCCCAGCTGCCCAGGGGCAGCCTGAGGTGCAAGCAAGCCTCAGATATCAGTTGCCCAGCTGCCCAGGGCTGCCCAAGGCTCAGGTAACCAGAGCCAAGCGAGGCTTGTACTGCTGGCAATGGCAGCAGCAGAGGTGTGATGGGGCATTGACCACTGGGTCATCTCCTGCTCCTGAGGGCTCTTGGACTATGAGAGGGGGCAGGCTGGGCTGAGGGGGCCCTCCCTTCAATGCATGAATTTTCATGCACCGGGCCTCTAGTGTGTGTGTGTGTGTGTGTGTGTGTGTGTGTGTGTGTGTATGATTAATAAGCTAAGTGTCCAACCATCCTACCAGTCACTATAGCGCGTAGTGATCACCAGGGAGCAGATGGCTAACAGGAGTTTCCAAGCTGCAGTGACTTGGCAGTGGCAGTTCTTGAGTGATGCACCCTGAAACCAGAAAGGAAGGAGCCCTATTCTTCATGGGGCCACGTAATTCCACCTTCAGCCGTGGGTTAATGTTGTTGCTGGGGCACTGTCAGCCCTGAATCTAGTTTACTGCACACTTGCATTTGCATTCCACACCCTGTATGATGGCAAGTTTGCAGAGTGCCTTCTTGCACTCCAGTTATTCCTTGGGGGATGTCGGAGAACCGGTTTTGGCCTGATCCCCACAGGCCAGGTCCAGGTACCCCACCTGCCAGAGGGACCCTTCTCACTCTGCAGACACGGGGGGAGAGACCACAGGAGGTTGGCTCCAGGGCCCTATCTTACCCAGTCCTGCCCTGATGGCCACCTTCTAATTAATTTCCTTTCAATGTGCATGAATCCATGCACCAGGTCACTTGTTTTAAAAGAAAAGCCAGGAGGGAGAGTTGAGGTTGGATTTAAAGCCCTGAAGTTTGAAAGGAAATAAAATCAGTCTGCTGATTTTATTTCCTTTCAAAAGGAAGTAAATCAGAAGTTTATTTATTTATTTATTTATTTATTTATTTTCACGAGTAGGAACCCAATGAGATAAGAACTTAAGGAAGCAGGGATGATGGCTAAATAAGTTGTGCAGGATAAATCATAAAGATTAAAACTGGAGAAAGAAAAAAAAAAAGATAGTGAAATAGTCTATTTTATAATAAGGTGACTTGTTAAAGAACAAAATTTGACTGAGTAAGTTAAAAGGTCTTGTTGGCTTAATGCAGCAATTCATGAACCCAGCAGCATCCAGTCTAGCAGCATCCAGAGATAGAAAGGCCCAAGGAGCTGTACCAGATGAAAGGCTTTGTGTAGAAGTGAGCAGGGGCAGGGAAGTTATGTGTGGCACTTGCTGATTGGTTAAAGCAGGGTTACTTTCTTTACATGGAGCAAAGGGAACTCTTGGAGTCCCGTCAGGTCACCTGTGGGAGCAAGGCAGTACTGCTTGGTTGAGGCCTTTCTTTTCTGGGAGAGCTGAGCATAGACATTTCCTTCAGTTCAGGTTTGCTGATGCGGGGCTCAGTGTGACCCACACCGTCTAGGGCCCCAACTGGTTACTTGAACAGATTTCACATTTTATAACCTTTGATAGTGTTCAAGGATGAGACCACTGCTCAATAACTGAAACAAAACTCACAAAGCAGGATTTATTGCTTATTTAAGTGAATGGACTTTGTTGGTCAAGGACACTCTTTCCAAGCTGATCCTAGAGAGGGTTTTAGGATGCTTGGAGCTCAGGGGCTGGTGGGCCTTCAGAAGAAGCAGGAGTGAGTTGACAGCAGCCGGATGTGGTTATGAAGGTGAGGCTGTTGAATGGGTGGCCTTTCGAGGTGTGTTTGCTGGTGTCAGTCCCTACCTGGCTGGCTGACTTCCAGAGGTGAGTCATGGTTGGTTGACTTGCAGAAGTGAGTCAACTCCCTGAGGCGAGTTTTGTTCTTTTTTTTTTAACTGGAATATTTGCTAAAGTGTTTTATTTATTTGTTCATGATGTATTCAACCATTTAATTGCTCTCTGGTGGTCAAAAATTATTGAAAACCAGAACACATGTTTTTTTTTTTTTCAGAGTCCATCCTTAGGATACATAAGGCATTTATGTGGGAAAGTGTATTGTGTATTTTCTGTTGTAATATTAGTACTATTAAGCAGAGTATTTTAAATATTATAATCACAAAGTACATTAGAAGTTGTTTTAAATATATTTTTCATCAATGCTGTTAATTGAAATTAGCTTCTTCACACACAGAGTAATAATTAACTGGAGTGACCAACATTCTGTTTTAGACTAGCAGCAAAGACTAAAGTGAAAGTAGTGCTCATTTTACAGAGAAGATTGATGCCCCCAGTGAAGTGACTTGCCTTAGGCAAATGTTAGGATGTTACTATTAACTTAATTAATGGTATTTATTGTGTTTTACAATACTCAGCATCTTATTCAGAACCGGGTTCAAAACTACCTTCCTCCAGAATGTTTTCTCTGATTAGCACTTCTAGCTGTCTTTATCCTGATTCTGGTTGCTCTGTGGCTTGTATTTTGTCTGATGTGACTCACTTTTGCCTTTTTATTATTATATTACAGTTCCACACCAGCGTCTTGCAGGTTTCAACCCCTTCATTATTACCAGCATCCAAAGGCTTGGAAACTCCCGAGAAAGCAAAATTGCCTAAGTGTGAGACTTCATTTGAGGAAAAGTATGTCATTAATGTCCTAATGTTGCAAGTATAAATGTTTGGAAAAGTAAATCAACCAAAAGCAAGGGTGCTTTGCATTTATTGCCGACACGAATTTTTACCCAGAGAAGCAAGAAACAGCAAGACATGCGCCAGGAAACCATATCAGTATTGTGTTATTTCTAGCCAGAAGTAACTGGAGATGCGGCTGAGGATGTGTTGTGGTCAGGTTAAAGAGGGAGTGTATGCTTTAGGTCCTGGGTGGCCCTCAAAGGGCTTGGAGCAGAATAGCGACAGTCCTGTGCCTGCGGCTCTTTGGACCATGGCTATGAAAGAGATGGGACAGGGATACAGTAGTTTCTGCATAGGCAAATAGAATCTGGGGGTAACATATTCCCAGGTTAATTGCTAATCTTACAATTAGACAAAATAAAACAAAACACAATACCAAAATAGAGAAATAACTTTCCTTGCACCATTGTTTTGTTTTTGACAGTTTTGTTCACTTTTAATATCTATGGTCTTAAGTTCACAAATACTTTCTTTTTTTAAATTTTAGTGATGGAAAAAGAACCCTTGGCGCTGCTGTTGAAACCCAAATGTCTGATAGCCTTTCGTAAGTTATAAGTGATTGAATGTGAAAAATGTGGTTGGTACTTGGGGGAGAGGAAGCTTCCCTTACACTAATAATAACCAATGCTGAAAGTGAGTGACTATGAGCCCTGAATTAATAACTGAAACTGTAAAGTGGGGGTGATATGAGGGTGTGGGATGTAAGTTGACAAAGAAATATTTGCTTGCTTAACATTGTGTCATGCTGAGTTTCTGTAGATCTTTAGCATTCTTTACCAGTTTCCCCCTGAAATTCAGTGCTTGTCATTTCACTTTTGGCTGATATTTTAAGTCTTGCAGAAGAGAATCAGAGTAGTGTGGTGGCTGGAAAGTCTGCACTGGTTTTCTGCACTTTCAAATTGATAAACTGACCTACTATCTATGTTTATCCATGTTCACATCTGGATTAAATTAGGAAAATGTATTCCTCAAAAAGTACTCAAAGATAAGATTTTTTTCACCATCTATTTTACTTTATTTGGTGGTAGGCACTTCTAGCAATGTATTTACACATAAATACCTGACAAATGCCTTTTAAATGTTTGTTTGTATATTTCTATTATTCTGTTTCTTTGAGCAAAAGTATTACCTTTTTTCTCTCTCTTTTGAAACTGGTCTTCAGTTTTAAATAAGCCCAGCTCTAAAAAACTGAATGCTAATCATGTGAAAGAGTCTCCAAATGTTTCCAGTGTCACTTTGCCATCACGAGGATAGCACATGAATTATATGGACAGTAATAGGGATTCCTTTCCTATGCTTTGATCAGAGTTACAACTGAAGTGCTCTATCAGACTCAGAAAACTGGTTTCTTTGTGAATTGAAAAGTAAAAATTGCATCCTTTATTTATTTTTTGAAAGATACTTTAATTGATTTTTAGAGAGAGAGAAACATCGATTGATGTATGAGAGCAAAACATCAGTGGCTGCCTCCTGCACTCCCCCTACTGGAGACCTAGTCCAAAACCCGGATATGTGCCCTGACCGGGAATGGAACCAGTAACCTTTCAGTGCACAGGATGACACCCAACCAACTGAGCCACACTGGCCAGGGCTTCATCCTTTATTTTAATTAGAGGACTACATGTATTTACACATGTACTACCCTGTTTACCCAAAATAAGACAGTGTCTTATATTAATTTTTTTCTCAAAGTTGCGCTAGGTCTTATTTTCAGGGGATGTCTTATTTTCGGGGAAACACGGTAGTACATGTGTACCTAAAAAAAGTTCCCAATGTAAATGTATACATGCAAAGAATCTGGCAGTCGGCCTCGGAAAACTGGTTTAAATTTTCTAATATTGACATCACAAGGACAGTGTTAAGTGTTTTTCCAGCTACTCAAATGTGTGCGGGACATTTACAGTTATTGGCAGGACAGTTAACCACCCCTGTTCTTAAAGGAACTAAATGTTATAATTTTCTTAAGCACATAAGTGACTGCCGGAATCCAGATGTTCTTTTATTACCAGGATTCAACCCACACGCAATTTTAGTTTCTTTCCACTATATCCTACTTAAAAACAGTGGCACCAGAGCCACTTATTATTAATCCTAATTATTATTATTGTTATTTTTAGAACTTCAAGTCTGCAGAAGTCTAGCAGCCTGGGCAATTTGAAGAAGGAGTCATCAGATGGGGTTGGTTCTGTGTTGTTTTTTTTCCTGTCTGTTATCCTGAGGAGGAAATATTTGGGGACCTTCATCTTTTCCCATGTTGCAAGTAAAACTCTTTAAGAAGAGCTTGTGGTTTCTCTGACGGAAAATTATTAGCTAATAGAAAATTATGAAGTTAAGGATAAATATCAAGAAGTATGATAGGAAGGATTGAAAGTAGTGCATAAAACCAAAAATAGAGACTTTTAATAGTAAAACATTGCTGGAAATAAATGAAACTGAGATTTTTGTAGCTGGGATATATATATGTAAATTTATTTTAATTTATGGAATTGTATGTGACAAGTTATGAATATATAAGGGATTCCTATAACAACCTTAACTGTTGTTGTTTTGAACAGGAAAAGGAGTCTGTTCAGAAGCCTCCAGAGGTAATTTTTATGTTCCGATTGCAACGTAAAAACGCTTTAGACTTCTAATGCATAAAATTGCTTAAATGCCTTTAATAGACAGAACTCTCAGCAACATGCTAAATGAAGGAAGCCAGACACAAAAGATCACATATTATATTATCCCATTTATGTGAACTATTCAGACTAGATAAATTCATAGAGACAGCACGGAGGTGGGTGGTGGCCAGGGTGGAGGAGAGTGAAATGGGGAGAAGCCGCTAAATGGTAAGGACTTTTCCTTAGAACATGGAGGCCTTTGGGAACTAGATAGAGGTGGCTGTTTGCAACACATTGTGAATGTACTAAATGCCACTGCCTTGTTTACTTTAGAATAATTTTATGTTATATGAATTTCAGCTCTATAGGTTATTGGAAAAACAAAAAGAAAATGCCAAACTCTCCGTCACACAGTTTAACGTTCTTAGCGATTGTCACTGGGCTTCCTTTGACCTCACAGAAAGTGCTTCTTAGATTCCCAGAGGTTTATTTTATGCAACCACTGTCCCCCTACAGCAAACATTTCGCTGTTTAAGAGGCATTATTAAGATGTGCGCGAGTCCTTCTTTCCTCTGGTTTTTGACCAGTAACCTCGTGGAGGTTACCGTCTGGTAGACAGGCTACTTCCAGATGCAATTTCTTGACTATTGGCTCTCAGCGCCTTGAGTCACAGGGTGGGTAGAACAGAGGAAGCACAGACAGTGGGCACAGCTATGGTTAAAGTCATCCTCTGTTCTTTTCGCCCCGCCAATTCAATAGCGGAGTGCTTTTGACATCAGTGTTAAAACATGAATATTTTTATGCCACTAAACTGAGGCATCTGTAAATGTTTAGTGACTATGAGCAGTCGGTATGTAGAGTAAAAGAACCAACCACCTTAAAAGCCTATATTCATCCCCTGGCCCTTTTCTCCACTTCAGAAGTAACATAGGGCAGGAGATGTTAAGAGAAATGAGAGCATCCAAACAAAAGCATTGTTGCATAATACTGAAACCAAATAAAAGACCATGTTACTATAATTGCTAGTTCAAACATTGAAAGCATAATTTAATCACAGCTGAAGTTCTGAAATATTATAGAAATCTGAAGTAGCTTCTGAATCAACCAAGAAAAATTTAATTATAGTGAATTTAGTTTTAGGTAAGTGTATCTGAATATATCACAGTTTTTGAAAATTGTTGATTCAAATTTAGTAACTTCCAAGCAGGATATGAATATATATCCCAGAATCTCATTTCAAAAATATTTTAAACAGTTGCTGATTATGCCTTCATTTTATTAATTCTTTGAGGAGAATATTTAAAATAATTGAAATACCGTCTCCTTACGCTGCCTGTGTAGAATAATGTCTACTTCCTTGAGCAATTATATTATGCTGTATTGGGCTTCTATAGATGCAGTTATATTATAAAGAATGTGGACTGTCTCATATCCAGATCTGTGTCATAATTGTTGGAAAAGAAGTCTGTTGCTATTCTGGCTTTTTATTTCTATGTTTTTTAGGGGGGATTAGGCAAAGAACACTTGAGAATTTCTGTATCCTAATATATAAAGTCCCTAATATTTAAATAATAGAGGCCTGGTGCATGAAATTCATGCACAGGTGTGGGGGGAGATCCCCTCAGCCCAGCCTGCACTCTATCCAATACGGGACCCCTTGGGGGATCAGGCCTAAACCAACAGTTGGACATCCCTCTCACAATCCTGGACCACTGACTCCTAATTGCTCACCTGCCTGCCTACCTGCCTGGTCACTCCTAACTTTCCCCCCACTTTTGGCCTGGTCACCCCTTATTACCCTTCCTGTTGACCTGGTTGCCCCCAACTGCCCCCCCTGCTGACCTGGTCGCCCCTCATGGGCCCCACACAGCCTGTTGTTCAGTCATTTGGTCATCCCTCACTACCCCCCGTGCTGGCCTGGTCCTAGGCAACCATCTTGTGAGGTCGTGAGGGTTAATTTGCATATTACATCTTTATATACGATATATATACGGATTATAAGTTAGTGACAAGCATGTTTTTGTTGTTGTTTCTTAAGTAGCTTTCAGAATTGATTTTTTAAACTTCTAATGTGGCACCTGATATTCATAATTTATTTAGTTATCCCTTTAAGTACAATCCCACATGTGTAACATATTTAGTATTGTGCCTGGCAGGTGCTCATAGTTATGTGCATTGGTGTTGCCTCATTTGTTTCTACTTCTCTCTCAGGATAAAGCTCTAGTAGAAAGCAGCCCGTTTGGGACCCTCCCACCTAAACCTCCAGGGCACGATGCCTGCATGGATGAGAACCCCTTTGGCACCCGAAAAGGCAGATCTTCCTTTGGTCGTGGCTTCTTTAAAATAAAAAGTAATAAGAGGACAGCAAGTGCGCCGAACTTGGGTACGTCTGGCCAAAATGCCTTTACCCGAATTTCATCAGAACAAGGAAGAGAACAGTCTCTTCCCTTCCCCAACTCATCTGTTTATGCCTTTCTCTTAGAAATGACGGTGAACGACGTAGGGAGGAAATTAGCAAAAAAAAATTCTCCCGTGGATTTAATTCGGTTGTCTACCTGAAGGTAGCTCTGGGTAGACTCTCTTGCTCTCTTGCGGTGTACACAGAAGGAAGACCTGAAACCATGATTCCCTCTGACTTCATTGTAACCAGCTTCCCATCTGTGTTTCATGTGGACAAATTAACCCCATGTTGACACTGCTCACGGAGTCGCGGGGAACTTGCCGTCCTTCCACCGTGTGTGTTTTGGGAGTCGGGAGCCTGATCTGTGTTTCATTTTGTCATTCCCCTGTGTTCTCTCCATTGGGCTGCGTGTGATTGTGTGCATTGTTGGAATATCTGAAGATCGTAAACGAAGTGCCAGTGCACCCACCTTAGGTATCGTACCCCTGCATGCCAGCCTCGGCTAGTGCTGTGCTCCAAACCGGGCTAATCCCTGCTCTTGGCATCTGTGATCTCTAGAAAGCGCACTGGCAGCAACCAAAAAAAATGTAGTTCTCTGCTCCAGAGGGTTCTTTCCACCTTCTGCTAAAAAGGACTCTCTGTAGAACCTTTGCTTTCAAGCAGAAATGCTGTTGTAAGCAATGCTAATGACACCTTGTGAGCAGCACTGGGGGGGTCCAGAGCGCACAGCATCCCTCTGAGTGCAGGGCAAGTGTGTCCCGGCATTTACACAGCTTCCACCCTTGAAGCACAGTTCCTCTCTCACGCTAACTCCCAGGTCCTCTCAGTTCCTTCTCCATGTTTCCATTTTCCCCAGCCTCCAAAAAGAAATATTTTTTGCCAAATAGAGAGATCTGTGGAAGAGTTTGAAAATGGCTTTTTAGACTTAATTCTCTTAGGGGAACGTTCTTCTGACATTTTATTGTTTTGAAGAAAGAGGTAACATTTCGTGATGACACAGGTCACTCAATGTGCTCTTTGAGGAGTTGCCCCGAAAGGGATTTTACTAAGAGGAATTCAGTTTTCCTCTTTAAAGGGCAGGCTTCCCAGAGGAAGAGGGTGGGGGTGGGGGGGGAAGGTCTAAATATAAAAATGAGATGCTTTTGAAATGAGGATAGGATAGGCAACTTTTCAGGAACATCAATACCCATCATGACTATAAGGATTTGAATGGAAAGGTTCCTTTGGGTTTTCCCAACAGGCTCTGTTACCTTACATAGATATCCACATATCTATTCACGTGGGTCATCAAAGGGGATTCCTCTCTCTTTGTAGCTGTAAATGTCTAAAATGAACACTGGATGAATAAAATAAACTGATTCATCCAGATAACTATTTCCCAGTGTTTTGTTACCTTTCTGAGAAGAAAGGTATTGTCAATGCTAAGAGGCAAATGCTGCTTACTATAACCTATAACCACAGCTCTGCTTCATAGAAAAGTCAACCTCTGCAACCTTTCCCACTCTCTAAGACACTGCTCCTGTGATTTTTGTACATTTACTTTCCTCCACAAAAGTGTGAAATCTCACATCGAAGAAACTGTAGCCCTTATGTTTGCTAGAGTGGGATCAGTTCCTTCTCCATGTTTCCATTAAGGAACAGCTAACAGCTAAAATAACTAAAATAGTTAATGCTTGGAGATCCAAGAGTAGCAAATTTGGATGTTATTTTTGTAAGGCAGAATCAACAGACATGAATTTTATATCAAACGAAAAAATTACTCATATTAAGTTCATTCTTCTCTCAGTACCTCAGATGTAATAGGTTATAAACAAAAATACATTTCTTGGACAATGAATTGCCAGAAGTTGGTAACCGATTTGAAATAAGTGCCAAAGGTAAAGAAGGAATGAAAAGGACAAATAGTTTGAACTGGAGTGCAAGGAACATATTAATTATTATTAATGAAATATTAAATAACTACATGAAGAGAAGATTCAGAGAAAAAATTGTATGGGAATTTTGCTGAGTCCAAGATATCCCTGGCACACTGAATTGGGAATATACACTGCAGATACTGAGGCTGGAGAGAAAGATGAGGCCCATAGATATTGATGCCAACTGCTTATCAATGAGTGAAGCCATCATTTAGTGCTGAGCATAGAGGAGGTGAACTTGTCAGGAGATCCTGAAGAGAGAACTTAGAAAAGAATCTTGGAGTGGAGTGGAAGAGGAAGAGAAAACAAGATACTATCGTGAAGAAGGAACTATCAGATAGCAGAACTAGGAGAGGGTCATGCCAAGAACCTAAGGGAGATGATGACTCTGAAGGATGTAGGAGATAGTCAACAGTATCAAATGGTATAGCAGTATTGAGAATAATTTCATTATGCATTAAATTTACTTAAAAGAATATGGCAATCCTATCACACCTTGAATCTCAAAGGTATTGTATTTCTTAATTGACTTTATACGCAACTGATATAGAGTAGGACAGGGTGCTTTTGGTTTATAGGCCAACAGAAGAATTCTTACCGGTTTTTAAAGCCCAGCACCTAACATCTAATCATGCTCATTTTATATATTAAAATTCACTGAGTTTGTTTTCTTAGCTGAAACAGAAAAGGAGACAGCTGAGCACCTAGACCTGGCTGGTGTATCTTCTCGGCCAAAAGATTCACAGGGGAGCAGCCCCTTCCAGATGTCCCCGTCATCTCCAGATTCCAAAAAGAAATCCCGAGGCATCATGAAACTCTTTGGAAAGTAAGTAACAGAGTGAACAAGTGGAATGGACTTTGTCTTCTGTGTTGTTCATACGTAGGAAGAAATGGACAATTGGCTGAAAATGGATATGACATTTTCAAGCTTCTGTGTTCTTCTTCTGGAAGGAAGATTGTGATTTGGGATTCATTAACTCATTGGGTCTCAAACTTTAAATCCAAATGTTTATTCTAATGACATAGAAAGAGGAGTAGCTCAAATGTGTACAACAATTACAAATGTTCTGATTAGTCTAAGGCCTCCTCAGGTCGAATACAAGGCAATGTGTATTGTATCTTTTCTTCAGACTTAGGAGAAGTCAGTCAACTACATTCAACCCAGATGACATGTCTGAAACTGAATTCAAACGAGGAGGGACGAGGGCAACTGCTGGGCCCCGATTGGGTTGGTCTCGAGATTTGGGACAATCTAATAGGTAAGAACCACCAAACTAATGGACTTCTGCATCTCTTCCCAAGTATCAGGGGTTCTCATGAGCACCAACAATCATAGTATTGTGCCTGAGTTGCACAGTCAGATCCATTGCTAACTGCCATGCCTAGTGGAAGGGTCCACCATCTTTAGAGCAGTGTAATTTGGCAATGGTCGGTGAACAACTGTGCAGCAAATGTGGGCTATCTGGGCTAGGTAAAGAGCCACACCTGAAGTGCCTGCAACATCTGTATTAGAATGACTACCAGACTTAAATTTTCAAAGAAAATAATTACAAGTACTCTAAAGCATAGCCTTACAAAGATAGTATAGTATAGTGTTTATGAGTAGGTTCTAGAGGCAGGTTGCTTGGGTCTGATTTCTGGTCTTACCACTTCCTATAAGCTGGATAACGTTGAACAGCTACTTTCATGCTTTGTGTCTCTGTTTCTTGTGGTATGTATTAGTACCTTACCCGAAAAATGGTTTTGAAGATTAAATTAACTTATATGTGCTAAGTATCTGACAGATCACTGTTTAATAAACAATGGAATTTGTGAAAGCATCTGAAGTTATAGATTCTATCAGAAAACTTAAATTATTAGGATTGTGTAATGTTTTAGTTATTACGAGTCTAGGAACTTTTCCTACACCTTTCCCACAGTTCAGGGCTGATTTGGAACTACCTGTACTATACTGACCTCCCTAGCATAAAAAGGGTGGGGCTGGCAAACATATAGCACCAATCATTGATACTAAATCTTTTAACTCTGTTTAGCCTTCTTCAAATACTGAGCAGTCTCATTTGCCATATGTTCTCTTTGTACACAGTAGAGGACCTCCTTGTGCTGATAAAAAAAAAAAAAAAAAAGGTCTTATCACCACTTTAAAAAAAAACACCAGGAGTGCTCTTTGTGTATCAAACTGAAAAAAACAGAAATTTGCTTTGATTATACTTTCTTATAATCAGAGATGACATATTGCCCTCTTCTCATTGATTACCACCTGGAAAGAAACCATTATTTTGCTAAAATGAATTCAAATTTGACTTGAGTTTCTTTTCATCTGACCTAGTGTATTTTGTTTGTGAATTTAGTCTTCAAACAACATTGGTACAATGACTTGACTTGGTTCAACTCGGTCTTCTACAGAACATGTTTTTGTTAACCACATTGCATCTTTTGTGGTTTCATTTGAAAGGAAGATTGGTCTCACAAGGTCACTTTCAACTCCAGTGCCACTTCCTCTTCCAAATGTGTACTGATATTAAGCTTTGCACAGTCAAATGTGTATCACCAGGAAATACCCATATCTGTTGAACATACAGTTGTTCAACTTTAATGATAAGCCATAGGATTGGCTTTGAGTTGTTTTTCACACAATTGTTCATTTTCCTATAGTGACTTGGATATGCCATTTGCCAAATGGACCAAGGAGCAGGTTTGCAATTGGCTTGTGGAACAGGGCTTGGGGTCCTACCTGAATTCTGGCAAGCACTGGATTGCATCTGGCCAAACCCTTTTGCAGGCTTCTCAACAAGATCTGGAGAAGGTGACTGACTGCTTCTTTGTTTTGTTTGCGTAATGAATTCTGAGAGAGAAGTAGAGAATATGAATGTAGGATTGTTTTCTACGCCTTAAATGGGAATAGGGGGAGCCAGTAAGTGCTCTTGGAAAAATCTGGGTTTCCTGCTTCATGCTTATTTTATTTCATGGACTAAAAACAAAGGATCTGGTTGTAATGATTCCTTATGGAACACTTAAGCCACTGGGCATTTTAATGAAAAATAATTGTATGGCCATAATAATAAACCTGAAGCTCATATTTCTCAAAATCATTCTGTGGCTTTGTCATTATTAACCCGTCTCCCCAATGTAATATATGCAATTCAACTTCTCTTTGCAAAAGGCAACAACAACAAAGAAAGAGCCCTACATTTTATGTTCCATTATTTAATATTTCCCAATTATTTAATAAGAGTAGAATTCCTGTTCTGCGTCCTACAGTTCCAGTCTTACTCAGGAAGGAGCCTACTCCTGAATGTCTCACACCCCGACTAAACTAACTCCAGTGGTCTTGACCTTTTAGGGGCCTTTTATTCAGCAACTTTTTACTAGCCAGAGTTAGCATTCTGATTTAAATGTCATTGTTGGCTCTTGGATGTTCGCTTCATTTCGGAGGAATTTGCATCCATTGCCAGTGGCACCCAGCCCGTATTGACAGGATTGTAAAGCCAGTGCTTCTGTTTATGATTTCAGGAACTTGGAATCAAGCATTCACTTCATCGAAAGAAACTCCAGCTGGCATTGCAAGCTCTGGGATCTGAAGAGGAAACCAATCACGGAAAGCTGGACTTCAACTGGGTCACTAGTAAGAGGTTTTAAATTCTTAAACCCATAAATAAGGAAGCAAGCAAATAAAGAAATAATGCCGCTCTTCCTTTTTGAACACAAGGATAGGCATTCTGTGGCATGTTAACAACACAGATTTTTGTCCTTTAGGATGGTTGGATGACATTGGCCTCCCCCAGTACAAGACTCAGTTTGATGAAGGCCGGGTAGATGGTCGAATGCTCCACTACATGACCATCGTAAGTGATTTCCTTCTGGGGTGTGGGGGTTTTCACAAGGATTCACCAGAGTTTGAATATGTTGCTTTAACTTGAAGATAGGGGCAAGAATATTTCCCATTAGGTTTAAATTGTAGGATTTGGTGGTTGCAACAGCGTTGGAGGATTTGAAACGCAATTTAAGTCAAACTTTCCAGAAAACTGATTTCATGTATAATCAATATTGTAGACATTGAAGTGTACCCTTTGAATGAGTGAATTGTATGGTGAATGAATTAAATTTTATGTTTCTTTTAAATAGAGTATAGAGATTTTAATCCTTGGCAGTTTCTAAATTTTATATTCCTACTAGAGTCCCAGTGCACGAAATTCGTGCATGGGGGGTGTCCCTCAGCCATGGCTGCACCCTCTCCAATCTGGGACCCCTCTCACAATCCAACCGCTCACCTGTCTGCCTGCCTGATTGCCCCTAACCGTTTCTGCCTGCCAGCCTAATCACCTCCTAACCACTCTCCTACCAGCTTGATCAACACCTAACTGCCCTCCCCTGCCGACCTGGTCACCCCTAATTGCTCTCCCCTGCCAGCCTGATCACCCCAACTTCCTTCCCCTGCAGGCATGGTTACATCCAACTACCCTCTCCTGCAGGCCTGGTCCCTCCCAACTGCCCTCCCCTGCAGGTCTGGTCACCCCTAACTGCCTTCCCCTACAGGCCTGGTTCCCCTCAACTGCCCTCGCCTGCAGGCCTGGTCCCCCCTCAGTAGCCCTCTCCTGCAGGCCTTGTCTCCCCTTACTGCCTTCCCCTGCCAGCCATCTTGTGGTTGCCATCTTGTGTCCACATGGGGTAGCCATCTTTGACCACATGGGGGCTGCCATCTTGTGTGTTGTAGTGATGGTCAATTTGCTATATTACTCTTTTATTAGATAGGATGTGCAGTGACCACTCAGAAAAGGCTACGCTTCTGGCTTGAAATCCTCAGGGATGTATACTCTCTTCCCTCCCACATTTGAGAACTGTTACCTGGAACCTTCTTACTTCTGCCCAGTTCTGCTAGAGCGGAGTCGCCCCCCCCTTCCCCTTTACCTCCCTAGTAAAGAAGTAGGGGAAAGGTCAACTTTCACTCTGATTCCTTCGTTATGGTTTCATATGTCTAGCCTTTTGCCCCAGGAGTAGAAGGACTTCTCCCTGATTTACAACAGTGGGGAGAGATGGATTCCAGGAGAACATGTTCTAGATGCCACCGTACTACCAGGGTTCTACCCGACATACTTTTACTGGAATGTGTTTTTTGTGTGTGTGTATGAGCTGGGCTATGGATTCAACCACTGTATCTCCTTTAAATAAATTGAAAGTTTCAAACAGCTAATTTAAATGGGAATTTTCCAATATTAAGAAACTTGGAGATCAGCTCATGGGATTTGCTTTATTCTCTATCATTGAACCAAGTCCATATCTTGGTGCATACATCATGTAACACTAACAGTTGGTATGTTGCACATTTGCTGTGTGCCAGACACTTTACTGGGAATCAATACTGAAGTCTCAGCAGTCCTTGAGTTAGCATTCTTATTATCCTCAGTTTTTATATGAAGAAGTGAAGGTACCCACAAATCAGGTAACTTGACCAAACTTCCACAGTTACAGAGTAGGAGAAGCATCATACGCCATTTGAGCCTTCACAGTTTCCAGACCCCTGCTCTTGATATTTTACAGCTCCACCTGGAGCAAACACAGAAAACATTGGCTTGCCTAACTAGGTCTAAGTATGCTCCCCTGGGAATGTGAGCAAATTTAGGCTTAAAATCTTTATAAAAAGCATATCTATAACTCTCATAGTTATCTTATATACTAAAAGCATATTGACCAAACAGCCAAACAGCGAAAAACCACCCGTACGACCATCCAGGACCACACTATGACACGCCCTGGCACCAGGCCAGCCAAGGCGAGTGCGAAGCAATTGGTCAGGGGTCTGACCATTGCCCCAGGATCACTCTGCAGAGGGAGGCATGGGCCACTGGCCGGCAGGGCAGTCAATCAGGAGGGCTTCACCCAATCACTCCAAAGAGGAAGGCCCAGGTCTGTGGCAGGTGGGTGGGACCTCCCTCGGTGAGGGAAGCCTAGGTCCCGGGTGCCAGTGGACCGGAGGGAAGCATGGGTACCGGGAGAAGGAAAGCCTACTCTTGCATGAATTTCATGCACCGGGCCTTTACTAAATAAATCAATTACCTTATAAAATTGGATCCTGGAAGTTCTAAATCATAAAACATCTGTTTTTAATGTGGTATCCTGGATTGGATCCTGGGACAGAAAAAGGACCTTCATGAAGAAAAAAAAACCTGTTGAAATATGAATGAAGTCTGTAGTTTGGTTAATTTTATTATTGTTTATGTTAATTTCTTAGTTTTAATTAATATGCTATAGTTATATGTTAACACTAAGGGAAACTGCATGAAAGGTAGATGGAACTCTCTGTACTATTTTTGGCAACTCTTCCGAAAATCTAAAAGTACTTAAAAATATTTTTAAAAAGATTTTTTAAAAGATTTTTAAATTTTTTTATTAAAAAAGGAATGGTCCCTACTTTTGAAATCCCTTAAGCTATTAACGTTTTATTGACATTATGAACATTATGCATTTATGTGTTTTTTTTTAATCTGATAGATTTTAAGTTGAAAATAGCACACAAGCAAATGTTTTAAATGCTCAATCTTAAGATTGTCAATTGTCTTTTCTAATTTATAAGATACTACCTTTAAGAAATTAATCCAGAAAAACTTTGGAAAGAATTCACTTAGTAGCCTTTAAGGATTTAAACTGATTGCCTAGCATTTAAAAACTATTTTTATAATAGATTAATATTTTTTCCTGATAAGAAATGTTATCAATAAGATGTGTCTAACATGGTTGTTTTCCTTGTTTACCTTCTGGGTGTATTTGGATGTAGACCTGTGCTTATGTTGACACTGCCACCCAAATCACCTTCTTCTACAATCATTTGTTTTGGTGTGTTTGGTATGTTTGAAATGTGCCCAGTAACCACAGACTGGCCAAAGGTATTCCTTGAAGGAAATGAATGGTGATATGTGTGGATACTTATAGCTTCTTAATTTCTTTACACTCAACTCTGAACAAGACCTTTGCTTTGGTTGATATAGATGTTCTAAAAGTGTCTATAGTGTCTGCTGGACAACACGAACAAATCTAGAGCCAGAGATTTCTTGAGGCTGTGGGGAGAGTGTGTGACCACTCTTCTGGTTTTCCCCCAAAACGGATGTGTCTGAGCTCAGAAAAGCAAGCCTCAACAGTCAGTGAACATCACTTCCTCTTAGCTATCTGCTTTCTCAAAGCAGGTCACCATTTGTCATGACCCAGCGAGTGTTTTCAAACTGTGTGTTTCAGAGTGAAGGGGTCCCACAAGCCTGTCCCAGAATGTTTGGGACAGAAATAGATGGAAGTCAGTGTCTGTTGGAACAACATTAATTTTGGTTTTCTGATATATTGGGGTCCTAGAGAAGATATTGATTCAAACAAGAAAAAGCTATTAAATAAAAGCTTGGAACACAACGACAAGCCATTGGTGTTTATTAGGAGAGGGGCTTGTCCACTTCTTTGTACATTTTTGAGACTCCCGTGAGGAGGTCATCCTGCTCAATGAGCCCCGCGTTCTGCTCTTTCCTGCAGGATGACTTGCTGTCTTTGAAGGTCGTGAGTGTGCTGCATCATCTGAGCATCAAAAGGGCCATCCAGGTCCTGAGGATCAACAACTTTGAACCCAACTGTCTACGGAGGCGGCCGTCTGATGAGGTAGTGTTCGCGTTGAGGGTTACTCAGCACGCTCCTTCCACACATATGACTGTCCTGTGTGCAGTACTGAAACCCCTTTCTTTTTGGAAACGGCGGGAGGGCTGCTGGGTTCCTCAGAGCCTCACACCCAGCCTCATTTACGTCTCCGGCTTTGTTTTCCTGTATTCCTTCCCTTCCTCCCAGGGTGGTTCTACCTGGGTCATGGAAGCCAAGGGCTGTGTTTTAGTTTCCCTTCCTCCTTTTCTTGTGTGTATTTCATTTTCCTCCCTTCTTAAACCAGAGGCTTAAATATCACTATAAAGACTTCCTTTCCTAAAGCACTGCTCTAATGGTGTGTAAAAAAAAAAAGGTTGAGCCGAAACCAGTTTGGCTCAGTGGATAGAGCATCAGCCTAGGGACTCAAGGGTCCCAGGTTCGATTCCGGTCAAGGGCATGTACGTTGGTTGCAGGCACATTCCCAGTAGGAGATGTGCAGGAGGCAGCTGGTCAATGTTTCTCTCTCATCGATGTTTCTAACTCTCTATAATTCTCTATCCTTCTCTCTTCCTCTCTGTAAAAAAATCAATAAAATATATTAAAATTTAAAAAAAGCTTGAAACTTTGTGACCATCTTCTTTCAAAGAGAACTCAAATTAGCAACCACTTTTTTACCCTCTTCGTAAACATTTAGTGGGAGGACAAGAAACACCGTTCTGTGGGGCAGACTTTTGGACGGAACGTGCAGGTGGAATATGAGGAATTGCAGTCAGTGATTGAAGCTCTTGGTGTCCTCTGTCCCATAGAACAGCATCACCCCCTCAGAGGTGCAGCAGTGGACCAACCACCGGGTGATGGAGTGGCTGCGTTCCGTGGACCTGGCAGAGTATGCCCCCAATCTCAGAGGCAGTGGTGTCCACGGTGGGCTCATGGTAAAAACCTGATTTAATTTGAAATTGATTTTTTATCATTTTGTCTCCTTTAATCTAATGAGTAGAAATGTATCAGTTTACTTATTATAACCCTAAAGATGTCTAACCCAACCCTACTGCACTATTCCTAGTGAATTTGTACTTTCAACATGTGTTTCCCTTATTTTTTACTATTACATAACTCTAGGTCAGATTTAAACTCTTTTCTGCTAGATAACATCTGGCTGCTGGCTCTCATATCATGTGTTAAAACCTCTGCAAAGATACAGATTGTATTTCTGCTCACAGATGTTGCAAAGAAGTTGGCTGCCAAAAGCATCCCAAAGGTTCAGTTGGTTAGAGCATCGTCCCAATACGCCAAGGTTGCGGGTTTGATTCCTGGCCAGGCACATTTAAGAATCAACCAATGAATGCATAAATAAGTGGAACAACAAATCAATATTTCTCCAACTCTCTCTCAAATCAATTAAAAAAACGAAACAAACAAATAAAATAAAAAAAACAACACCTGTTTTCAATGATATCCCAAATGCAATACCTCAGAGAGGTAGAAGCCTTGACTCAGTCATGCCTGGATGTCAGGACCAGCTCTCCTCTCACTAGCTCGGGCAGAATAAAGAAAAGAAATGTCAGTTAAAGATGTAAGTCCATACTCAGTGAATATCACTGACTAGGTCATTGGAGATAACTAAATGAAAGAGTTTTGCAAATTATAAAGCACAGTGCAGACATGTGTGATATGCTGTGCCTTACACAATCTTTATTTTCTTACAGGTTCTAGAGCCCCGTTTTAATGTGGAAACAATGGCTCAGCTGTTGAACATCCCGCCCAGTAAGACCCTGTTGAGAAGACATTTGGCCACTCATTTCAACCTCCTGATTGGTGCTGAGGCCCAACACCAGAAGCGTGATGCCATGGAGTTACCAGATTATGTTCTTTTAACAGCCACTGCCAAAGTGAAGGTTGGTTCAAGCTCACATCATGTAATAATTGGTTATACCAAAAATGAGAGCAAAGGTTCAATTCTGTTATCCTGCTATCCCATTTTCTGAGATTTACTAAGTTTTGTGGATGGGTTGAAGATATATGTATCTTTAACACTAATCAATAAAATACAATTCTGAAGGTTTTCTTCTGGGGAATTTTTGCTAAAAATCATTTATTTTATTAGGGTTAACAATAATAAAGAACATGATGTTGGTTTCTATAATAGATACATTGCCAAGGCAGAGAGCCCATAACTTGGGCCCAAATATTGATTGCACTAGTCCTATTTTTGCTGTAGATAAATCATGTATATGAGTTGCCTTTCTCCTCATACAGATTCTGCTTGTCTGGCCTATAATTGGCCAAACTTGCAAGTTAGACAAAGGCACAGCAGCAGAGAATGGATATTCCTAGTTTGCCTAGACTTATAGATCATACGAATTTCAGACTCCTTTTTCTTCTTTTAAATGACTCCTGTGCTAACTCTTCTGCATGTTATCTCAACCAGCTTAATGTATATATAGGAAATTAGACTCTTTCACAAATATGGGTCAAGTTCTTTTTTTAAAAAATATATATTTTTATTGATTTCAGAGAGGAAAGAAGAGGGAGAGAGAAGAAAAAAACACACATCAATGATGAGAGAGAATTATTGATTGGCTACCTCCTGCATGCCCCCTACTGGGGATCAAGCAGCAACTAGGGCATGTGTCCTTGACAGGAATCGAACTGGGAACCCTTCAGTCCGCAGGCCAGTCCCTTCCACTAAGGCAAACCAGCTAGAGCTCAAGTTCTTTTTTTTTTTTAACCCCTTCTACTTGCTTGACATTCTCTCTTTATCTCCCTTCCTCCTTTAGAAGATGTGCCAGATTTGAAACCTCTGAGAGATTCTGTTCTATATAAATTCTCTGTATCAGCCAATCACCATCTACTTAATAGTTTCCATAACCACCCAGTGATGAAGATGTAGTTTCTCTTCTAAATATCATGGAAGTTTTTTCTCCCAAAGAGCAAGAATTATTTTAGCAGTCACCACCCTGTTATAGAAGCTTAACAAGCATATAAGATAATCACAGCCCCACCCAAAAAGAAAATACAATAAGGGCCATTTTCTTTTGCTGATCTTAGCCTGGAAAACCTTGTAAAATTGTACTTAGCCCTGAGGAATCTCATTTGCATTAAGCACTATTTAAGCAAAAATAAGGCTCTTTGCATATTTTGCTTTTATTGCTGTGACTACCCAGCTTGTTGGAGTGAATAAGGAGAACAAATGTAATCCTCCAAGATAATTAACAGGGATCATTGATCAGATTTGGATGCATCAGTCACAGGCTTATGATGCCTTCGTTTGTTATACAAATTTAATCATTCAGTTGCTTTTCTCTGTGTGATTAAATTATACATGTTATTAGTCCTTTTTTTTTTTTTATATGAATTTTATCTAATTTCTGGATGGTATCGTTTTCTTTCTTTTAAAGCCAAAGAAACTCACCTTCAGCAATTTTGGGAATCTGAGAAAGAAGAAACAGGAAGATGGGGAAGAATATGTTTGTCCAATGGAGTTGGGACAGGCATCAGGAAGTGTATCTAAGAAAGGACCCAAAGCTGGCCTGGACATGCGCCTGTATGACGAAGATGACTTGGACCGGTTAGAGCAGGTAAGTGCAACGTCACCTACCAATTTTCAAGTTCTCCCTGCATTCAAACACTCAATGGAAACTTCTTGTATTGTGTCTGTGAAGCAAGGAAGTTTTCTTCCAATGCTTAAGAATAAAAATAATAATAAAATAACGGTGAACACTTGCAGACTATATCCCAGGCACTTTCCTATGCACTTAACATATATTAATGTTCACAGTAACCCTAAAACATGGGGAGTATTCTCATCTTAATTTTAGAGAGAAGGACAGGGGCACAGAGAAATTAAGTAACTTACCTCAGATAGAAGAGCTGAGATTCCAACTTGTCAGGCTGGCTTCCAACCCTGCGCCTTCCCTACGTTACCCTGGCAGTTTTAAGGAAATCTGAGTATGAAAACGAGTCAGGCATGGACAGCTCATACTACTTAGCCTTTTCAGTACAAAGTCATGGGACCGAAAATTGCCCTTTAATCCGTAATCCCTTGGTGCCATTGTCAGCATCAGAGCATTCAGTCTGGGAAGTGCCATTAAAGTGTTTCTTCTGAATTCCCACATCTACTCACAGCAGCGCAAGGAGATTACCATCAGACGTATCCCATTGTTTTTATCCCGTTCAGCACAACTCGCATTATTCTTTCTCAGATGTTTGTTCACTTTGCCGCACTTTCCTTGAAATTGTCACCTTGTGGTGTGCTCTTTGCAGATGGAAGATTCCGAAGGGACAGTGAGGCAGATAGGTGCGTTCTCGGAAGGCATCAACAACCTCACGGTAAGTTGGCGAAATGAGTTTCGAATCTCGTTCTAAAAATACGTTTGCAAGTCACACCAAGGGTCTGTGCGTGGAGCGCAGTGTGTGTAACTCCCTCTCCTTGTTTCCCAGCACATGTTAAAGGAAGATGACATGTTTAAAGATTTCGCTGCCCGGTCCCCCAGCACCAGCATTACTGACGAAGACTCAAATGTTTGACCGCAGCACCTGGACGAGCATGAGGAGCCCTTGGTCTCTTTCCACTTTGTTTCTACACTCACAGTACATCCAGCAAGGAGCGGGTGGTGTATGGTTTATCAATCTGCGTCTGCTCATTTAGAAGTGGAACTGGAAAGCAGGGCATCTGTGCCTATTTTAAAGCTGCCACAGAAAGTGAGACACTGGTGAATGAGAGTATACTTGTTTCTCCTCTATTTAATGTAAAAATCTGTGATATATTCTATTTAAAGTGTTGCATCTACCGTGAGAGGACTTTACTGTAGTGTTTCCGGTCATGTTCACAGTATGGAGGGCTTGGGAGAGAGGGAACTCTCCGGTGGCTGATTCTGTCACGTCTGTGTAGCCACCGCAGCCGAGCACATGCTTTGAAAATCGGAATGTGGGATCTCTTTAAGATCCAGCGTGCCCTCTAAATGCCAGCCAGCCACGCCTCCACTTGCCTCCTCGTGTCCTGTTTTTATATATTTTTCTAAATATATGTATATATTTAGTACACAGAACATAGAACTTTTATTTTGTGACACACCTAAGGAAGATGGTAAAACAAAAAAAAAAAAATCACATTGAAAAAAATACAGTGATCCAATTTTTCATATGCCAGCTGGTTCTTGGCCAGGTCAGGATACTCTTTCTTTCTCCACAACCGAATTTTAATGATGTTGATCACTCGGACTAAATTAGTGTATATGAAACAACTCTTCATCGATAAACCCATCACATTCTCATTGTTGGTTTGTTTATTTTTTTAAGAATTTCATCCTTAATCTTGGATTCTTTTAAACTCATAAGGAAGAACTTGAGGAACGTTTACATTCTGTTAACCTGAACGCATTCAGAAGCTGCCCCAAAATTTGTAGAAATGATTTCTGAAGAAACCAAAACAAAAACCTTTACAGTATTAAGCTTCTTATTTTCCTCTTTGCTAGATTAGACCATTGTCTCAAAATACCAGCAGCCTGACTAATGTACATTGCCGAGACTACCCATGAATGGAAGAAATCCTTTTAAAAAAAAAAGTTGAATATCTGTCTGAACATTTTGTCTCAATCAGAATTTAATAACTCTGAAGCTGGAAAAGAATGCCTATCTTGTGATAATAAAATGTAGTTCATGTTTTTCCATAGCACAGGGCCCAAATATTCTTTATAAAGAGTATACAAAGCTGCAGCACAAACTGTCACTGTTTATTATTCCTTTTAGGGGTATCAGAAAAAATGTTCTATTTTTTTATTCAGTACTACATCATTACCATGATAGCCAACTGTGGTAAAGACTGGTTTTCACAAATTGGCGTAGGGGTGGGCAGTTCAGTTCAGTACCAGTGGGCTTACTTACAAACTATATTTGAATGTCATGATACGATCTTTCAATTTATCAGCAAGTTACCAAGCTTTTCGTCAAGGAGCCTATAATACTACACTACTATTTATTCATGACTAAAATAATTTGATGCTAACAATAATCTTTTGCTCCCTACCATTCATTATTTGGTAACTGTATTGGACTCTTAATGTACTTGTGTTTTATTTTAATGTGGATATATGTCACCATTTGAAAAACAAATTGGATATTCCAACCTGGTTAAAATACCAGGAGACTGTTACAGAGGCCAAATATTCTTTATTCGGGACATTGTAGCATAACTGATGTTGTGTGGTGAGGTTAAAAGTTTTTTGATGATATATATTTTATTTACAAAGTATTATACACTGCTGATATCACCATAAGAAAAGAAATAAAGTCAGCTGATACTTGCCTCATATTTTTAGTGTCTGTTAATTTGTTTCCCTTTGTTCAGTATAACCAGTAGGCTTTATTTTTGATATAAAGAACAATAACAAACTCCTGACAGTTCACAAACTCCCATAAAATACTTTGTGTGGGGTTCATAGCATGTGCCAACAGGTAGAAATATGAGACGTTTGTTTGAGAAATGCTTTTGTGGAAGGAAGCACAAGCCATTGAGCTAGGAGGTGAGGAGTCATGGCAGAGAGGATCCTGGAAAAGCAAAAGGAAATGGCTCACCTTCAGATTTGAAGAAGTTAGTTGTAGAACCCAGCTGGCATGGCTCAGTGGTTGAGCATCAACCTATGAACCAAGTAGTAATGGTTAGATTCCCAGTCAGGGTACTTGCCTGGGTTGCAGGCTCCATCCCCAGTGGGTGGTGTGCAGGAGGCAGTTGATCAATGATTCTCTCTCGTCATTGATGTTTCTCTCTCTCCCTCTTCTTTCCTCTCTGAAACCTATAAAAAAAATTTTTAATGAACATTTAAAAAGAAGTTAGTTGTAGAAAGTATATAGTTCTTTAAGGAATTAAATGATATTTTTAATTGAACTGAAATTTGGAAAGATCTTGGAAAAAATGACCAAATAGGAAAAGTAGGGTGACTATAACCAGAGAAGAAGAGATGCTTTTTGTGAAAGTTAGTATCTCTCACTTAGTAATCCGGCAGGAATCTGCATGAATAAAACACACCCAGTTGGCAAACAGGGAGAGCTATTTGTTTAGTTGTGTGCATATATGCTTAGCTACACCAAATAAGCTGCGGAGTTAGAAAACTGGGACCACATTCACAGATACGACTTCACTGCAGGACATTCACTCGGAGAAAGAAGTCATTCAGAACAAAGGCCACATGTTTGGTATCTGGAAGCGGTATTGATTGGGTGCAGAGGAAATGGGGCAGAAACAGTCCCAACAGCCGTCTCCCAAGGACAGCCAAGAGGTTCTCAGCGTCTGTGAGGTGTTCAGTGGAGCTATCGCGCATGCCGCTCAGAAACTGGAGGAGTTCCTTGGATTTGAAGACCCTCTGAGCAATCTGAGCCCGGCTCCAGACACTCTGAATGAGATCTTCTTAATCCACTTCGTCACTTTCTGCCAAGAAAAGGGCGTGGATGAGTGGCTCACCACCACCAAGATGACCAAGCACCAAGCCTTCCTGTTTGGGGCCGATTGGATTTGGACCTTTTGGGGATCTGATAAGCAGATAAGGCTCCAGCTGGCGGTACAGACTCTGCCTATGTCTTCTCTTCCTCCTGTTGCGTCTAAGCCTTGTGAGTCCTCCAATCCAGAATCCAGGGCAGAGTCTTCCCGGAAGAGCAGATTTGAAAAGCTAGACGAATTCTGTAGCTTGATAGGAGAGGATTGTCTGGGCCTGTTTCTCATCTTTGGGGTGCCAGGAAAACCTAAAGACATCAGAGGGGTTGTCCTGGACAGCGTCAAAAGGGAGATGGCCAGGGGCCGTTTGCCAGGAGGGAAGGCTGTGGCACAATTTGTTCTGCAAACGAAAGACTGTGTCTCCGTTAGGGAGCTGCTTGGAAACTGTCTGAGTAAGAAAGATGGGCTGCGAGAGGTGGGTAAGGCATATATTAGTGTCCTCTGAATTGGGTTTGTGTGATGAGACTGGCCTGTGAGATGAAAAGGAAAAGATATTTTCTCCTAGTAAGCAAGCTCTTCCACTTGCATCATCCCAGCATGTAATTCCCCTTCCCTCTCCCACATTGAATGAAATGATCACCTGGACAAAACATATTAGTGTCATGATTATGGATGGAGATTTCCATGTTGTTGGGAAAACTGACAATTGAGATTACTCTTTCATTTATTTACTCAATAATAAAAATGGGAGGAGAGAACAATAAAGTCACCCTTAACGTTTGATTTGAAAAAAAAAAAAGTGTTTGATATTACAAGTCTAGCTCTTGAAAGTGTAAAAGTGACTTTACTGCTGTGGGTGAGAGATGGGTAGGGTGAGGTGGTGCATAGGACTATAGAACAGGTTGAATGACATTTACAGCACCCGTCTCAATTCAGGACTACTAAGTGAAATCTCAAACTGCTTTCTTCCTCTGACCCTTGCCCTTACTCCCATGTCACTTCAAACTGCTTCTTCTGTGTAGTTTTTTTCTTTTTTTCATCAGAATATGTTGTATGCATTTTCTAAAACACACACACACACACACACACACACACACACACACATCTAAAGCAAAAGCTGTATCCGGATTCAGCTAGGGTGCAGGTCTACCCTGGGTTATCACATCGGCTTCCCATCAGGGGAATACAGTGGAGGTGTATTCCATGTGCTCTGGCAATGTCCTCCTGGGGCGATCAAAAAGGGGACATGTTGGCATAGACAGCAAAATCATCCTCTTTCCAGAGAGCCAGGTTGATCATATTGGAATATATGGCATCCGCATGGCAGGAAAGCGCCAAAGATTTGTGGAGAAAGTTGGTCTGGTGCCTCAGTTGTTTCTTAAAAAATCGCGCCTCCGTTTCTTCAGGGCCTTGGATGAGGGCCACTACTCCAATGAAGCCACAAACAGCCATGGCTGCTGTGCCAAAGCTGCTAAGTTCCTCAGGTGTAGTCTCTGGCCTGAGGGTGCTGATGTCCTCCCCACAGAGCAATGGTGTGGGGATGTCCAGGGAGGCATTGCTGGCTCTGGAATCTGACCCTCTGGTGGGATTCACTTTGGGATCTGCTTGAGTATTACCTTCTCTTGTGATTTGAACACAGTAATTCATATAACAATCACTTGTACTAATGCTAAACATTTACTTAGCCTTTGCAGTAAGGATAATGTATACACATATAAAAACCATCTTTGCTTCAAATCCTGGGTGGGAGGAAAAATAGTTTTCCCCTACTCCTCTAGATGGTAGAAGCAAAGAGTGCTTAGAAGTGTAAATGGAAGATAGATTCATTTACACTTGATTGCTAAATGCCTATGTTAGACCATGTTCTATGACCTGACAATCAGCAGTAAAAAGAACCATATCCTAGTTGGGAGTAGTTTCCCTCTTAATGGTGAAAGACAGAAAATAAAAATACAAACATATGTTTAAAATGTATATTTAATAAATATAATGGGTGCTGTAAAGAGAAATAAAGCACAGGTAAGATGAGAGAGTGAAGGAGGTGCTATTTTATTAATATATGATGTAGTTAAGCCTCAATGAATAGGGCCAAGTAGAAAACTGGATTAAGAGGGAGCTCATCAGTGCAAGTATCTGGAAAAGTGTTGTAGGCACAGGGAACTGCAAAAGGCCTGAAAAGGGCGTGTATTTGATATATTTGAGGCATAGCAGAGGAGGCTGGTGCGGATGAGCAGAATGAGCCACGGGAAAAGTAATAGGAGATGAGGTCGGGGAAGTAGCCAGCAAACACATCAAGCAGATCAGACTGGTAAGACTAGATTTTATTCTGAGTGATATGGGGAAACAAATGCCTTGCTCTCACCCTTTAAATGCCTCACTTAATTGCTGGATAGAGACTACTAGAATGTAGAGAAGAAAAAGTGAAAGAAGCTTCCAGAAGGACAGGTAGGAAGCTATGAAAGGAAACCAGTTGATAGAGAAAAGGGTGGCCTGGACCGAAGTGATAGAGGAGGAAGAATGAAGAGGTCAGATTTAGAACTAGTTGAAGGTTAAAAACAAACAGCTGATGATTGGATGGGGAGTATGAAATATATCACAGAATGTTGTATTTCCAAACATCTTAAATATTATGAATATATGCAAAGGTGAAACTATATTTGCCTTTGATGTTTCTTCATTCCAGGAAACCAAAAGATCAAGAAAGGCATGTAAGCCCTCTCTGCCTTTAGTAAGAGGAGACATCTCTTGAAGTTGTTAAACAATTCTTCCTACTTTGTTCCTAGAAGGTATAATACCCAGTTAATGTTACCTTGGTATATAGTGACCCCTGTCTGCAGCAATGTTGTGTAGAATAAGCTATCAAGACATTGGTGTAGCATAGGAAAAAGAGTATTCAACTTGGACTCAGATGTGGGTTTGAGTCTCAGTTCTCTCAAGAGCAAAGTCTACCCGCTTAACTCTTTGAGTTTTTTCCCTGTAAAATGGGAATTACTTTAACTAATTCAAAGAAGACAATGCTTGTGACATTCTCTATACTAAAGTATAAGCTTACCAAGATTTTGAAGTCTAGGACTAGTTGTAAGTCTTCATGTTACAGTCAGCTGGGTGATATAAATAAAAGACTCACCATATTTTTTTTAAAATTAAAAATGTGAAGATTTTGCTGATTTAAAAAAAAATAGAGCTTTATGTGTGTGTGTGTGTGTGTGTGTGTGTGTGTGTGTGTGTCTGTGTGTCTGTGAAACTTGGGAGATCTGGCCGGGCCAAGACATCGAATCTCATTGTCCTCCCAGTACGTCAACCCTCTCCTGAAGGTCCTCAATAAAATAGATTGGTCCTGCCTGAAAAAATAAAAATAAAAATAAATAAGTAATACTGTATTCTTTTATTTAAAAATCTCCATTCTTATATAAAAATTAAAGTACAGAAGTGTGGAAAGCTGTCTTCAGGAGTCTCACCCCCGCCATAGCCACTCCCTCTTAGTTTGCTCTTTATCCATCCAGAACCTGTACTGTATATTTAAAATATTTTATACAAATGGAAGAATTTGATCTATAAATGCATTTTAACATTAAAAACTTAGGTATCGTGGACCATTTCCCACGCTAATAGATTTGTATCCACATGGTTCTTTTTAAGGCTGACATCAGTACTTCTAAAGTCTGTCTGCATATTAGAGTTACTTGGGGAACTTAAAACAATAAAACACCAATGCTCAAAACACACCTAGAACAATTGATCAGCATCTCAAAAGGAGGGGCCCTAAACCATTTTTTTTAGTATCTTCTGAGGTAATTCTAATGTTCAAATAGGATTAAGACCCATATGTCTAAATAGTATCCTATATTGTATAAACCATAATATATTGAACCAGTACTGATTTCAGAGAGGAAGGGAGATGGAGAGAGAGCTAGAAGGAAACATTGATCAACCATTGAGCCATACTGGCCAGGCTAACCAATACTGTTTTTATGGATATTTAGGTCTCAAAGTACATCCACATACCTGGATATTTGCATATTGTCTATTTACTATGCTTGTGAATAGATATACTTAGTTCACTTACTTTTTATAAAGAAATTAGTTTTGATTAATAGCTCAGACAAAAAGTCATTGGATTAAGCTAGGTTTTAAGTATAATAAAAGCCCATTATTAAAAACACCTTAATATTTAAAATTGTTCTACACAAGAACTGGTTATATAATTTGTAATGCCCATGCAAAATGAAAATATGGGGTCCTTGTTCAAAAATTATTAAAAATTTCAAGATGGATAGCAGAGCATTCACCAAGCATAGGGCTCTTCTAAGTGCAAGACACATGCCTATGAAACCAGTTTTGTTTCTACAATATGTTGGGATATTTGCTCATGAAGGTTGAAGTAAAGATTTTTATCATAGTAAATGGTTGCACATTAACTTCTTTTCCAATTAAAAAGTTATATAATTCTTAGGAAATCCTTTGTACACAATAGTACTTGCTTTACTCTTTAAAAAAAATTGTATTGATTTTTAGAAAGAGAGAAAGGGAGAAGGAGGAGAGAGAGAAAAACATCAATGTGATGTGAGGGAAACATTGATTGGCTGCCTCCTGCATGCTCCTTGCCAGGGATCAAGCCCACAAGGGGGGCATGTGCCACAACCAAGATTAGAACTGGCAACTTTTTGGTGTACGAGACAATGGCCAACCAACTGAGCCACATGGCCAGAGTATGCTTTACTCTTTAAACTGCATGAACCAGTTATTATTACTGCCTGTTGACAGCATTGCAAATGATTTTTTAACATTAATAGAGAATGAAGTTTATTGTACTTGATGCCTGGGAAAACAATAAGTGTTTTTCTGGCTCCATCAACTCTAATCATATCTACCTACTTTATTCTTAGAGAAAGAGAAAACAAAAGACAGCATAGGAAGGTAAACTGAGGACCTAAGTCTCTTAACACCTTACTCAGAAATTGAGAATTCTCTGAATGCAATTTTTTTTTTGTTTCTAAATTTCTATGGTATAGGCCTTGTACTTTATTATAATAAAATATACAAACTCAAGAGAGGAAAAAGTGGCTGCTGTACTGACTCTGAGCTTAGTTCCTATGGCCACCATTTAGATTACACCTTCTGAAATATAACTCAATCACAATGGTCCTGAGGAAGATATTATTGTTTCTATTTTCCTTGAAATTGAAGCTCAGGGATGTTAGGTGAACTTGCCCAAGATCACACACACAAAAAAGCAAAGCCTGAGTTCAAACTCCATATTCATCTGACTAAAACGCCATACTTTTCATCTTAAAAATAAGAGAAGATAAGACACTATGTGAAGACAGAAGCAGAGATTGGATTGATGTGTCTACAAGCCAAGGAATGCCATTAATTGCCAACAATCATCAGAAGCTAAGAGAGAGGCATAGACAGATTCTCCCTCTGAACTTCCAGAAGGAACCACCAACCCTGCCTACACCTGGATTTTGAAGTTCTATCCTCGCCATTTCTAGGCTGTGTGAGCCTAATACAGTTAGAACAGTGAGAGTATAAATCTCTGTTGTTTTAAGTTTGTGATATTTGTTACAGCAGCTGTAAAAAAATAATACATCTAATACTTCTTCTTTGGAACAATAATGGATAGTAAGAGGCCAGAAGAGATGAGAATGGTGATTATTACAAACACTTCTCCCTGCCCTAGCTAATTTGGCTCACTGGGTAGAGCATTGGCCAGAGGACTGAAAAGTCCCAGTTGGATTCAGGTCAAGGGCCCATACCTCAGTTGCTATCTTCCTCCGGTGAGGATTAACAACACACACACACACACACACACGTCAACAAATGCTAGTCCCTATCATGCTATTCCCCCCCACTCCCACCTCAACCCCATTCCCATCACATACTGATTGATGCCCATGCGCACTGAATGCTCATAGGTAGAATACCCTAGGACACCTGCATACTTCTGTTCCACCGGTTGTATGCTTACCAAGAGTCAGTTGTGTTTGTTCCATGTTGTTCGTATTATAATTTTGTACTTTGATTAAATATTATACATACCAGCTGAAAAAAAATAGGGAATAATTTTTTTTAGTGTATTTCTTTATTGATTTCAGAGAGGAAGGAAGGAGAGAGATAGAAACATCGATAATGAGAGAGAATCATTGATTAGCTGCCTCCTGCACGCCCTCTACTGGGGATCGAACCCGCAACCCAGGCATGTGACCTTGGCCAGAATTGAACCTGGGACCCTTCAGTCCACAGGCTAATTCTCTTTTCACTGAGCCAAGCTGGCCAGGGCAAAATAGGGAATAATTTTATTAAGGATTGTATGTTAATTCATACTGGGGGTGGGGGTGACTCATGAAAAAGAATGACCATTATATTCTAAGTCCTGATGAATAGTGACTTTGTAATCCTAAACTGACCTACAAAGGAGCTAACCAAATCACTAAAAACAGTTCTATCCAATGGGGACATAATACTCATTATACGCCAATATTGTACCCAGATGTTTGTCTATATTAACTGTATTAGGCTCACACAGCCTAGAAATGGCGAAACCAAGTTTTAAAGTCAAGTATCCTTATTTTAAAAATCTTTATTGTTCAGATTATTACAGATGTCCCCCGTCTCCCCGCCTCTCCCCAATACCTCCCTTCCACCTGGTTCACATCCCATCCCAGGCCCTTGTCCCCGGCTTACCTACCCTCCCACTGTCCTCATCCAGTATCCTTTTAACTATCAGATACTGCCTTCCCCTTGGAATGTGTCACTTGCACTAGCTGAATACATTCTTTAATGCAAGAACCTGTAGATAAGCAGCCATTGCAAAAGAGCAGGGCTCTAGGGTAGACCCCTGGCCCTATGAGGTCCCGCCCATACCACACCTACCCTCTGTGAGAGACATTTCTCCCATCCCTTAGGATCATTGTTTGCAATTGCCTTTGGACTGACTGCTTCGATATATTTTTTAAGCGTTTTGCTTCCTTTTCATGACTGTTTTTTCTTTTCTGTGGTGCACTTCTGACCCCGGACCTGATTTCCCAGGCCCACGTGTATGTGTTTCTGCAGCCCAGGGGCGGGGCAAAGCGGGCGAGCATGCGCGGTAGCGGCCTCAGGCCTGCCCCCTGACCAACGGGAGCGCGCTTGTCCTGCCCGCGCATGCGCGGTAGCGGCCTCAGGCCTGCCCCCTGACCAACGGGAGCGCGCTTGTCCTGCCCGCGCATGCGCAGTAGCGGCTTCAGGCCTGCCACCGGGAGCGGGGTCACGCTTGTCCTGCCCGCCTTGCGGTCCTCGCAGTCATGGCGGCCGCGTCGCTCCCCGCGTGGCTGTGTCTGCAGCCGGGGGCCAGGGCCCTGCGTGCCTTCTCCACCGCAGTGTCTCCGACCACTCTCCCCGGGAAGGCAGGCCCGCGTGAGTGTCTGCCGCGTCCCCTCCGGGCCCTGGGGGAGGTGAGAGGGGCGGAATATCCGATCCGTGAAGGCCGCCGAGGTGGAACCTGCGCCGCCCCGGGGAGGCCGGGGTGTCCCTGTCCCCGTCCCCGGGCCGGGGCTCGCCTGGTGGGAAAGCCGTGCCTGTGGGTGTGCCCGCTGCCCGGGTGTCGCCCCATTCCTAGCCGCGAGTTTCTGCGCCGTGGCCTCCGGGCGCCACCAGCCTGCCCGCCCCTCCCTCCCTCCCTCCGGGCCCCGCGCGCCTCGGTGTCCGCCCCACGGTCGCCGGCACCTGCCGCTAGTGACTGTGCTCGGTAACGTTTCCAGAGCGTGTTGAACCTCGATTTTCTCGTGGGTTAGGGAAACATATAGCTGCCCCGGGACAAACTGCGGCTCTGAGTGCCAGGCCTAGCCATGCCGCCAAACGGGATGACCTTCATTCAAACACACACCCAGGTGACCTTCACCCAGAGACGGCAGGGATGCCCGGCGCCGTTCTCGCCCCGGAGGGATCGAGGGAAAAGGACGTTTGTTAACGCAGACGGTTCAGTGCGAGGTGCCTAAGAAGAAGCGAGGATGGGGTTGTGTAGGAGCATTGGGGAGGAGCACGGGAGAAAAGCTCCGTCCTTTTACACCTGGTGCTGTCCGTGCTGCCTTCTCGAAGATCTCTGATCCTCATACTACTCACAGCCCACTCAAGGCCACCGTCTCACTTCTGCAACTACACCACTTTCCTTTACTATTTCCGCTGTTGCTCCCTACATTGAATTCTCACAAAGGCCAGAGTGAGGCATTCAAATAGCAAATCTTATCTTGCCACTACCTTATTCAGAAACCCACAGGCAGTTCTCATTGCTTTAAGATAAATGATAAATTCCTCAGTGTATCATATAGACTTAACACGTCTTTTAAAAAAATATATTTTATTGACTTTTTTACAGGGAAGAAGGGAAAGAGATAGTAAGAAAGAAACATTGATGAGGGAGAAACATCAATCAGCGGCCTCCTGCCCATCCTCTTCTAGGGATGTGAACCTGGGACCCTTCACAGGCCTATGCTCTATCCGCTGAGCCAAACCGGTTGGGGCTTACCACGTCTTTTTAATTTTTCATTCTATAAATACTTGATTCCTACTGTGTGCTAGGCGATATTCTAGATACCGGGATAGAGCAAAAGCCCTTTACCTCTTGAAGTTTATATACTTTGAGGGTAGTCAGACTATAAATAGATAAACAATGTCAGCACAATGTTAGGTAGTGATTAGTGCTTTGACGAAAAATAATTCAGGATGTTGAGGTTGATGAATTGGAGGACGAGTGACCATAGGGTCGGATAAGATAGTCTGTCTGGAAAGATCTCACCTCCTTGGGGAAGTGACAGTTGAGCAGAGCGCAGGTCCATGCTGAGATGGGGAAAGAGCATTGTTGGCACAGGCAATTGAAAGTGCAGAGGCCCAGAAGTGAGAAATATTGTAGCTTATGGGTGTGGTCAAGGAACAGAAAAAAAGGTCTGCATGGCTGGAGCTAAGTGGGCAAAGAGGAGAGTTCTAATATAAGAAAGGTAAGCAATGGCCTGATCTTGTAAAGACTTAAGGCATTTGGCTTGGCTTGTATTTTAAGTTGGGGATCACACTGGAAGAGGGCAGTGATGCTGTGTGGAGGGAAAGAGTGGAACTCGCAGACCAATTTGGAAGTTGCTGGAGTACAAATGAGATGATGGTGATTTGGATTGAGGTAATTGTGGAGTAGATAGGTTGTTGTGGTTGAATTTGGGACACATTTCGAAGGTAGAGCTAATGGAATTTATTGGTGGATATGATATGGGGCTTGAGGAGCAGTATCCAGGAAGCATGTTTGATTTTTGTCGTGAATAATTGAATGAATCGCAATACCACTTACAGGGATTGGGAAGACTGGAAGAAGAAAATCTAAAGCTCCGCCAATGATGCATTATATCTGAGATGTCTATCAAATATCTTCAGTCTCTTTTCTCAGTGCACACTCTGTTCTGCTCAGAAGTTTTAACCGTATTAAATTTGTTTACTTTGATTTTCCATCTTCTCTTTCTCTAGAACATTTTTTCTCACTTGCCGGTTCCCAGGGCTGCCTCCTGTTCATCCTTGACATTTAGCTTAAAGTCAACTTCTTCAGGGAACTTCTTCCCCAACTATTTGGTCCCCTGCTGTATGTTTCCATTAATATTTATCGTTGTTTATTTATTGAAATTACTTGTGAAATAGTTCTCTTATTTTGATAGACTCCATTTTGTGGGAATAAGAACTTTGTTTCTCTTGTTCTTTGCTGCCTTCCTAATTTCTAGTACACAGTATCACTCTAAAACTTTTGAAGGAATAAAGAAATACCACTGAGGGATGAATAAGAATTTGTTACATGAAATGAGGTGGGGAGTGGAAGGGGACAGAAGTCCAGCAGATGGGAGGGAAGCATATTCTAGGCAGAGAACATAAAGTTTAGAAAGACTAAAAGGAAGTTCCGTGTAGTTATGAGGCCTTGTGAAGGGGAATGAGGCTAGAGATGTGAAGAATGTGATGTGAGGTTCAGAGTCTGAAGAGTCTTGTGTGCTGTGCTAATCTCACAACTCTTGGTCCTTAGTTTTCTTGGCCATACACGACTTCTAGATAAGGATAATGATAGTACTTACAGTTCTTGTGAAGAGTAAGATTAAATGAGGTAATGAAAAGGATTTAGCACAGCATATAGCATGTGAAAGTGCTCAATAAATATAGCTATTATTATTTTGAATAGCAAAACAGTTATTTAGAGAGGCATAAAATAATATTTTAAAAGGTGTATATTGTTGCTGAAACCGGTTTGGCTCAGTGGTAGAGCGTTGGTCTGTGAACTGAAAGGTCCCAGGTTTGATTCCGGTCAAGGGCTTGTACATTGGCTGCGGGCCCATCCCTGGTAGGGGGTGTGCAAGAGGCAGCTGGTCGATGTTTCTCTCTCATTGACGTTTCTAGCTCGCTCTCGCTCTCGCTCTCTCTCTCTCTCTCTCTCTCTCTTCCTCTCTGTAAAAAAATCAATAAAATATATTTAAAAAAAATAAAAATAAAAGGTGTATATTGTATGTAAGTAATCTGCTTCTACAGTTATGTAATTTATTAGAAATGGCTATGATTTTTGTTATTATAGCATTGGCAGTTCTAATAATAGAAAAGGGAAAATTTAATGATTTTCTTTTTGTTATTGTTGTTGGTAGGAAAACCAGAATAATTCCAAATATGAGCAGGTATACTTAAAATTAAAACCTTTCAAACCATTTATCTTTAAAGACACAAAATACTTATTTCTAACTAGATATTTTAACTTGGGGAAGTGAGTTTATTTGACTATGAACTTTAGAATTAATTGAAAGTTTTTCTTCATATGATGATTTCATATTATAATAACTAGAATTTTCTTAACTATTTCTGACATTTCATTTTCATTAAGATGATTTTAGTCTCTGAGTTTACAGAAAATGGATTATTGATTCTTTGTTACGGAATACTTTAAATTGTATTCAGATCATGGGAACACGATCAGTTGAGTAAATTTATGTTATAAAATTATCTGTAACTATTGTGTTGTCTTTTAGGTACAACAGAAAGAACATCCAGATTGGAAAGGCCATCAAGAAGAAAGGTGAACGATTAACATACTCTAATATATACTATTTTAATGGTTTCTGAAGTTCTAAAGTGAGGAAGACATTCACGTTGAGGCAGGAGGGTACATCCCAAGAAAGGTTCATAAGGGGATGTTCACTTGGTGACTACCACAGTCTTGACTCTAGTCTTGGTCAGGTCTTTGTCAGTACCCTGAGAATGGATCATCTTTGCGAGACGGACTCTCCCACATATTCCCAGGAAATAGGTACCTAAGCCAGAATTTAGAATTATTTTTGACGATGCTTTTAATAGTCATGTAACCTGGGATATGTGCATGAATATTACTATTTTGTTCTCACTCTGTGGGCATCTCTGTGGAGGAATCTAAATTATAAAGTTACCTGGCATGGAGTCAAAACACAGGCATGTTAATTGGACATTAAATGGCATCAAATTATAATTGTCTAATGTAGTCATTTTCATAGGAATATTACTAGCTTCAGGACATGCTACACTAGTATTGCTCAGGTGGATATTGCCAAATTTTGCCTCTTTAAACCATGTGCTGGTCATTCCCTTAAATTGAGTATATTATAAACTAGAGGCCCAGTGCATGAAATCCGTACATGAGTAGGGTCCCTAGTGCCTGCCTGCTGGGGCCTCTCTTCGTTTGCATGGCTCCCCCTGGTGGTCTGCACACGTCAGAGAGAGAGAGAGAGAGAGAGAGAGAGAGAGAGAGAGAGAGAGAGAGAGAGAGAGAGATTGTGATTGACTAAGCTATCATGTAGTTATTCCCTGGGCCTACAAGGTATGTAATTTCTTATTATGTGTTTATTCATTTAGTTTCATCTTAATTTACTTATTTCCAAGTTCTCGATGTCACCTCATAATGACCTCCATAAAAGGAGTTTTAAAAATTATTTCAAAATATATTGTTATTCACCTCCTTCATAAATAAAATGTAAAACCTTTGCTGTAAGTCTTTGTAAATAAGTAAGATAGATACACTTTTAGTGATGGAAGTCTTATTAAAGGGGATAGCTCTGTTGCCCCAGAGAGTTTGAGAAAACAGTACAGAAATATTTAGGTAGATTTGGTATTTTTCATTTGAACAGCAGCAACTTTGTGGGAGGTCAGATTTTACCTATGTTCAATTCTGCTAGTTTTTCTCTTAATTGCATGCTTTCTTTTGCTTTAAAATTTAAAATATTTAAAATACTAAACTATTTTATGTTTCTTAGGCACTACCTCCTAGGACAGAGAAAATGGCTGTTGACCAGGACTGGCCTAGTGTCTACCCTGTTGCAGCACCATTTAAGCCCTCTGCAGTACCTCTTCCTGTTCGAATGGGTTACCCAGTAAAAATGGGGGTGCCCATGGCAAAGGAGGGAAATCTAGAACTTTTAAAGGTAAGATAAGTTACTGATTCTTTGGCTAAGACCTGTGTTCAAATAAACAGTGATCCTCCTCCCACTGCCCTTACACCTCTTATACTTCCAAGGTTTGGTGTATAGCAGCTTCTTGTGTGTTTTTTTTTAAATATGTTTTTATTGATTTTAAAGAGAAAGGAGGGAGAGGGAGAGAGAGATTGAAGCATTGATGAGAGAGAAACTTCAGCCTCCCACTGGGGATCAAGCCCACAACTTGGGCAATGTGCCCTGATCAGGAATCAAACCAGTAACCTCTTGGTGTATGGGTCAACTCTCAACCACTGAGCCATACCAGCTGGACTTGTGTTTGATTTAAAAAATTTTCTCAGGTAATAATGAATGCTATATTTTGATTATCTGTGTGTGTGGGGGGGGGGGGGGGGGGGGGGGGGAGAAACACCTCAAAAGAATCCTAGGCATTTAAGAATGTAACTGCCCTAGCTGGTTTGGTTCTGTGGATAGTGTCAGCCCACAGATTGAAGGATCCTGGGTTCAATTCCAGTCAAGGGTGTTTTCCTCAGTTGCTGGCTACAGGCTGGATCCGTGGCCCCAGGTTGGGGTGGGTACAGGAGGCGACCAATAGATGTATCTCTCTCACATCAATGATTTTCTCTTTGTGTCTCTCCCCCTTCCTTCCATTCCCTCTAAAAAGCAATGGGAAAATGTCCTCAGGTGAGGATTAAAAAAAAAGAGGAAGAAGAATGCCATTAATTGGTTCTATGGTTTCCCTTTGGCTTTTTCTTTTCTACTAGGGCCCAGTGCACGAAACTCATGCATAGGGGAGAGGTCCCTCAGCCTGCCTGCACCCTCTCCGATCTAGGACCCGTTGGAGGATGTCTGACTGCTCGTTTAGGCCCGATCCCCTGGGCCTGAACTGGCAGTGGACATCCCTCTCGCAATCCAGGACCACTGGCTCCTAACCACTTGCCTGCCTGCCTCTGCTTGCCTGATCGCTCCTAACTGCTCTCCCCTGCCAACCTGATCACCCCTAACCGCCTCTGCCTTAGCCTCTGCCACTGTGGCTTTGACCAGAAGACGTCTGGTCTAATTAGCATATTACCCTTTTATAGTATAGATTGTATATTTTCTGTATTGTACCTTTCAAATGGAACTAAGAAAAGTGAAATAATGTAATTTGAGATTGAGAATGAGGGGGGATGAAGGTTTTACTTTTAATAGAGAGATTTTTAAACTTTCTGTTCAAAAAAGTATAATATTATTTAATATTATTGTTACTGTCCTTAAACTTTATTGCTTGAAGCAAAATAGGTCATATTAAATGCCTCCACAGTGTTTATAAATGAAGTTTTTAAAGAAAATATAAATATGCTAAGTCTGGGAATGCATATCTTAGATGGTTTCCTTTTACATGCCATGGAATTATCATCAACAAACTTTATCATTAAATGAGAGTCTTTTTGGAAAAAAAAATTTTTTTTGCTGAAAGATGATGGTAAAAAATGAAATGGTAATATGGAGAAGGGGTTATCTTCTGCTGAAGGCAGAGGTAAATGAAATTTGGAAATGGGAATGTTTTAAGAAAACAAACATTGCAGAAACAAATGTTTCCTTCTAGTGAAGGAGAAGTGAACTTAGTTTAAAGAAAAGTCTTCAGAAAATAATCATTGCTGAGAGAGGGTAGCAATATGTTTGTAATATTGCTACTGATTGTGAATGGCATTTTAATAAACATAGGAATCCAAACATTTAATGTATGCCATCCCTTTTAAGAATCACCTGTAGCCCTAACTGGTTTGGCTCAGTGGATAGAGCATTGACTTGTGGACTGAAGGGTCCCAAATTTAATTCTGGTCAAGGGCATATCCCCATTAGGGGATGTGCAGGAGGCAGTTGATTGATTTTTCTCTCTCATCGATGTTTCTAACTCTATCCTCTCCCTTCCTCTCTGCAAAAAAATCAATAAAAAATTTTTAAAAAATCACCTGTATACTTACTTCATCCAGTGAAGTGGTTCATTTCTAGTCAATGCCATTAGATAAGTTTATTAACTGAGTTAATATATGCAAAGTGCATAGAACAGTACATATATAAATGTTATGTAAGCATTAGCTGTTATTTTTTCCTTTTATGATTTTAAGATTATATATATTTTTGGTTCAGAAATACAAGTATAGAAAAATTTCATTTACTATTTTCTCTTGATTAAAATAAACATTTTCTGATCAATACTTAAGATTCTTTGCAAAATGTTTGGAATAACTTTCTGCTTGTTCAAATCTTTCTTTCCAAATGAGTCTAATTAACTAAAATTTCTCTTAAGTTGCTTAACATTATTCAAGAAATATATAGTAAATGTAATTATTTATTTGAAGGAATTAAATCTCTGACTTTTCCTGAACTTCTAATTGGCCCTGTGAATGATTAGGTGGGCTCTTAATAGATCATCATATAGTATATATTACCAACTTCATTAAATTGTTCAGTTAAGGTTTGCTAGCTTCATTCATTCATTCAGTTCTAAAATGTCTATTAAGTTCAAACTGGAAAATGTATCACAGAGCTATGTAATCCTGGGGAATTAGGATGATTAAATAATGATCCGTGCCCTTTCAGTTCTATAAGGGAAATGTGTACACCTGTAGATTCATGGCAGGAAGAATACTATATAAATGATATTAATTTTTTCCACTGTTGTCATTTTAAAATACTTGGTACTGAATCATATTTCAAGGAATTTCCTTTTTGTTATTTGTTGATCTTCACCTGAGGATATTTTTTCCATTGATTTTTAGAGAGTGGAAGGGAGAGGGAGAGTTAGAGAGAGAGAACCATCATTGTAAGACACATCTGTTGGTTCTCTTGCACATGCCCTGACCTGGGCCAGGGATTGGACCTGCAGCGGAGGTACGTGCCCTTGACCAGAATTGAACCTGAGATCCTTCAACCCACAGGCCAACACTAACCACTGAGCAAAACTGGCTAACGCAGAAATTTATTTCTTGAATTCACAACACCTGTGACAATTAATATTATAAGAAACAACCTCATTTTATATATGATAAGTCTTGTTGAGCTTGTAATTTAATTGTATGAGCACATTGTCTTTTTTCATGGTTTTAAGACAGTTGGCTAATTTGTCCTTTAAATTTCTCTACTTTAGATCCCCAATTTTTTGCATTTGACTCCTGTAGCAATTAAAAAGCATTGTGAAGCTCTTAAAGGTAAGTGGTTATTTTGTAACATAATTGTAACATAACACAAAATTAATGTTACATATTTGTAACATAACACAAAATTAAGAATCTCATTTCTAATGATAAAGGGGTTGATTCATCAAGAGTATACAATGTTTATAAATATTTTTGCACCCAACATTGGCACACCTAAATATATAAAGCAATATTAACAGAACTAAAGGGAGAAATAAACAGCAATACAGTAATAGTAAGGAATTTCACTACCCTACTTTCAATAATAGATAAGTCATCCAGACAGAAGAAAATAAGGAAATGTTGGACTACACATTAGATCAGGTGGACATAACATTTATGGAACACGCTATTCAACAGCAGCTGAATATACTTTCTCCTCAAATGCACATGGAAATTCTCCAGAATAGAGAGAATAGATCATTTTAGGCCACAAAACAAGTCTTAATAACTTAAGAAGACTGAAATCATTAAGCAATTTCTCTGACCATTGTGGTATGAAACTAGAAATCAATTACAAGAAGAAAACTGGAAAATTCACCATTACCTGGCGATTAAACAAAATGCCCTGAGCAAACAGTGGGTCAAAGAAGAAATCAAAAGAGAAATGACAAAATATCTTAAGATAAATGAAAATGGAAACACAGCATACCAAGCCTTATGAGATTTAACAAAAGCAGACCTAACGGAAATTTATAGCAATAAATGCCTAGATTAAGAAACAAGAAAGATCTCAAATAACCTAATTTTACACATTAAGGAACTAGAAAAAGAAAGACAACTAAGCCCAAAGTTAGTAGAAGAAAGGAAATAGCAAAGATCAGAGTGGAAAGAAGTGAAATAGAGACTAAAAATGACAATAGAAAAGATAAATGAAACTAAAGCTGGTTTTTTGAAAGGATAAACAAAATACACAAGCCATAAGCTAGACTCACCAAAAACAAAAGAGAAAAGACTCAAATAAAATAAACTTATAAATGAAAGTGGAAACATTTTAACTGATAACATAGAACTACAAAGGATCATAAAAGACTACTGTGAATAATTAATTATACACCAACAAATTGGAAAATGTAGAAGAAATGAATACCTAGAAACATTTAAACTATCGTGAGTGAACCATGATGAATTAGAAAGTCTGAACAGACTGATTACTAGTAGGAAGATTGAATCAAATCAAAACCCTTCCAGCAAAGAAAACTCCAGAACCCGATAGCTTTATTGGTGAATTCTAAACATTTAAACAAGAATTAATACCAATTCTCAAACTCTTCCAAAATATAGAAGCAATATTAACAGATATTTCAAATCTATTTTATAAGGCCAGCATTAACCTGAATCCAAAGCCAGACAAGAACTCTGCAAGAAAGAAAATTACAAACCAATATCTGATGAATATAGATGCAGAAGTCCTCAACAAAATAGTAGCACACTGAATTCAATAGTACATTAAAAGGATCATACACCATAATTTAGTCGGATTTATTCCAGGGATGGAGAGATGGTTCAGCATTTGCAAATCAATGCAATAACACCACATTAACAAAACAAAGGATAAAACTTATATAATTATTTCAATAGATGTAAGAAAAACATTTGATTAAATTCAACATCCTTTGATGAGAAAAATTCTCAACAAACTACCTCAACATAGTGAAGGCACAACTAATATTATACTCTGAGTAAAAAACTGAAAGCATTTCTTCTAAGGTCAGGACAATACAAGGACAAGTCACTTTTATTCAACATTGAAATTTTAGCCAGAACATATAAATAAGAAAAAGAAAGATATCCGAATCATAAAAGAAGTAAAGTTGTCTCTAATTGTAGATTACATGATAGTGTATATAGAAAACCCTAAAGACTTCACCCAAAAACTATTAGAAGTCATAAATTCAGTAAGTCACAGGATACAAAATCAATTGTATTTCTATATACTAACAATAAACTCTCAGAGAGATAAATTAAGAAAATCTCATTTACATAAAAAAGAATAAAATACTTAGGAATAAGTTTAATCAAGGAAGTGAAAGATCTATGCATCAAGATGAAAGAAACTAATGAAGATACAAATAAATGGGTAGGTAGTCTGTGCTCGTGGATTGGAAGAATTAATATTGTTAAAATGCCCATACTGCCTCTATAGATTCAGTAAAATTCCTATAAAAATTCCAATGGCATTTTTCATAGAAATAGAAATAAACAATACTAAAATTTGTGTGGAACCATAAAAGAACCTGCACAACCAAAGCAACCTTAAGAACAATGATTTCAAATTGTATTACAAAGTGGTCATAATTAAAACAATATGTTTGTTACTGGTATAAAAAAACAGATCATTGGAACAGAATGAAGAACCCAAAAATAAACCCACTCATGTATGGTCAATTAATTTTTATGACAAAGGGACCAAGAATATACAATGGGAAAAGGATAGTCTCTTCAATAAATGATGTTACGAAAACTGGGTAGCTACATGCAAAGGAAAATCAACTCAAAATGAATTGAAGACTTGAATATAACAACTGAACTATCTTCCACATGCATGGAGCTAAGGACAAAACTTTTTTTTTTTGCTCATGATTTTATGTATGCTCTTATAATAAGTACATATTCCAATTTAATTTCTGATCTCATTTTCATTGGACTGTATCTAGAATAAGCAAATTTGAATTGTTTTAGATTCACTACTATTAGTGATTGAATGTATAGTTTAATTTAAGAGTTAGTACCTTTGTGCCCTAACTGGTTTGGCTCAGTGGATAGAGCATCAGCCTAAGGATTGAAGGGCCCCTGGTTAGATTGCAGTGAAGAGCTCATGCCTGGGTTGCGGGCTGGATCTGCAGTAGGAGGTGTGCATGAGGTAGCCGATAAATGATTCTCTCTCATCGTAGATGTTGCTTTCTTCCCTCTCACTTCCTCTCTAAAATCATTGAAAATATATATATTTTTAAGAAGGTATTAGGAAAAAGAGATAAAGAGGTCTTGAAAAGTAGGAATAATTATCTTACTCTTGAAGTGAGAAAAGAAAAAAAATCTCTTCTATCTCTTTTCATTTATATAGTGTTCTGTTTTGGGACATTAGGGTGATTTTCAGTCCCTTTAGGTTATATGTTTTTGTATCTGTTGGTGCCTGTTTATTTGCGTGGGGCTTGCTGAGGCAGGGCCAAACATGGCAAGGATCTCCCTTTTCCGTGTCCAGCATGGAGAGAGAGATGAATGAACTGGTCCTAAGTGGAGGCGGCCAGGGATTTAGAAATAAAGAAAGACGACACAGAGATAGATTTAAAGCTGGGAGGTGGGTGGGCTGCCATTCTGTCTGCTGGAGAGGCAGGAAGACAACTCCGACCCCTCAGCGCACTTACTTTATATCCCCAATACCAGAAAGTAACACCAAAACTTAGGATCAAAGGAACTTATTTGCATTCTTACGTAGGCCCTAGCATTCCTATTGCTTGTCTGAATTTACATATCTAGACCCGCCCCTGCCGACACTTGGGCTTGATATGAAGGCCAGGCTGATCACACTTTCTGCCATCTTGGGGAAATGTGTATCCCAGCCTAGGCTCTGCCAGTTGTCTCGGACTCTGCTGACAATTTAAAGGAAAATGCGCCTTCCCAGGCAGCCCTCTACAGGCATTACAGTGACACAAATTTGTGCTCATTGAAACAAATCATTTATCACTTTTTTAATCCTTTGTAAGTCTAGGTGACAAATGCATTGCACTGATAAATTGCGTTTTTAAAAACATTATTTTTAAGTATGCGTTTGTAATTTTGATCGTTGTAATGAGATAGTTCTAAAGTGCTTTATAGTTTTTAAATGTAAGGCTTCCGTACAGCACATTCAGAAGAGTAGCATTATATTATATTTTACAGTGCTTTTGAATGTTTTAATCTTTCCTTAATTTTGCCTTTATACTTCTGCCAGTTTCTGGATGTAGATTATATCTTCTAAATAACTCAAAGGCTTTTCAAATATTTCTTCTCAGTTTTCTTTCAAAGTAGGTCAGTTTAGATTTTATATCTAACTTGCAGATGGAAAATCTGAAGTACAGGAAAGTTAGGTAATTTACCAAAATTTTAATAATCAGTGGCAGAAGTTAAGTAAAAAACCAAGGTTTTCTGAAGTCTAGTCATTACTCTACCTATCAGATGAATAAAGGCTAATAGAGGCCTATTAGGTACTTTCCAGTTGGCTGCATTCTTTTAAACATGTAATCAGGCCATTTAATAGAAAGGCTGTAATTATCATCTGGTGATTGAAATGACTTATTCAGAGTTTTAAAAAAAGATTCAGTACAAACTCAGTAACTCATAAAATTCCCCAAACTAGTCTCTCTCATTAAGTACTTGCTAGGCAGTGTTGCATCTTATAGTGTAAGATGTTGGAATTAGTCCATGATAGGAATGAAATTACCTTAGTAATCTTATTTTTGTTTAAATGTCAAATTGTTCTTTTTTTTTTAATCCTCACCTGAGGATATTTTTTCATTGATTTTTAGAGTGGAAGGGAGAGGGAGAGACAGAGAGAAACACCAATGGTAAAGAGACATCAATTGTTGCCTCCAGCATGCCCCCCACTAGGGCCGAGAGCCTGCAATCAAGGTATGTGCCCTTGACTGGAATCAAACCTGGGCCCTTCAGTCTGTAGGCTGACACTCCACTGAGCCAAACCGGCTAGGGCTCAAATTGTTCTTAATTGCAAAGATATTCTCTTTCCCTTTCAGGTGTCTGAGTATTGATCTTTCTTAAACAGAGTGTTTAGAGAATGGTATGAGCTGTATATTCTTATTTGTTAACATATAGTTAGTCCCAGATCTTGGAAAGTCTCTCTAACCCAAAATGACATTTTGCTGACTCTGCTATTAAAGCTTAAAAAGGAGCTAAATAAAATACTTACTCTAAGAATACTGTGAGCTTGAGGAAAGTGTTGTGGCAAAGTACCTTTCACTGTTCCTTAGACCATCGTCTAGAAGAGCTCCCATGTGTGCCTATGATTGTGACCACTCTCTCTTGCAGTCTGCTTTTCTGGAGAAAGCAGGGATCTCTGAGGTCTAGTAGGTTTGACCTATGGAACCAACTACTTTTAGCTATCCTTAGAATGAGGCTGTTTAAGGAATGAGGTTGCCATTGAGGGGAACCTGATAGTGCCTGGAGTTTTCATCCCAAGCGTGAGCCTTCCCTCTATCTCCTAACTCCGTGGTCAGCAAACTGCGGCTCTGGAGCCACTTGTGGCTCTTTGGCCCCTTGAATGTGGCTCTTCCACAAAATACCACGGCCTGGGTGAGTCTGTTTTGAAGAAGTGGCATTAGAAGAAGTTTAAGTTTAAAAAATTTGGCTCCCAAAAGAAATTTCAATCGTTGTACTGTTGATATTTGGCCCTATTGACTAATGAGTTTGCCGACCACTACCTAACTTAATAGGAATAAGGCAAAATGAAATCCACTACCTACTTGTGGAGTCCCTCATTACTGAAAGCTATGAGAAGCTGGGAGCTATTTCCTTTCCTTCTAAGGTTGTTTTGTTTTTTTCCTCCTCAGTTGAGGCCTGAGTTTATATCTCTGTATTGTGGAGATAGATAGTGAGTCATGTTCCCACTGCTTAAAATTTCTTACTGTGACCCAGGTCTCAGACCAATTCTACCTCCTCTCTAGTCTAGATGTCTAAACTGAAAATGAGGACAAGTCTGTACCTCTTAACATTTAGTCATAGTGGCTCAGAAATCACAAAAAAGAAACATGAATTACCATAAGGACCCATTTAAGGATGACCTAGGCTTTTGGACCTGTTTCATCTTGAGGCCCTATTCAACTCTATATCTGAAAGACTGTTGATCATATCTCGGTTTTCTCTTAGAGCTTTTTCAGAGCTTCTTTTAATTCCCCTCAGCTATCTTTAGAAATCTTCATTTGGAATTGAATAATAATATCTATTACCTTTTCAAAAACAGTATTGCTCTGGGCCCTCTGAACTGTATGGTGTTAAGTTGGTAGGATGAATTAAAACAGGTATGTTCAAAGCTGTAAAAAAGCTTCCATCAAGTCACAGTTCCCTTTTAACTGAACAAACTGCTCCCCACCAAACCTGAACTATTTAATCATTCTCTTAATTAAATTCGCTAATACGATTTACCTAAGAAGAAAAGGGATGAGAGTTGATGATACATCTATTAAGTCCAGAGTAGAATTTGTCCTTCCATTTCCTGTAAACTGAGAGTGATCTCGCTCAGTAATTTGGTTTTGTCTGGTAGCATGCATTATAATGAGAATTTACTTGCAAAATTATAATTTAATTTTTTTAATTCTCAGATTTCTGCACTGAGTGGCCAGCTGCACTAGACAGTGATGAAAAATGTGAGAAGCATTTTCCAATTGAAATTGACACAGCTGATTATGTTTCAGCAGGACCATCTATTCGAAACCCCAAAGCACGAGTAGTAACCTTAAGGGTAAGAGATGGTTAAAATTGATACATATTTATTATAGAAAATTTAAATAATATAATATTGTTTTGAAATATAAAATAAAATTACCTGTAATTCCACTACTTATAAATAACCACTATTGACTGTGAGAGCTCAATTTAGCATATGTGCAACCTTCCTTTTTGTATATTAATGGGATGATATGTATTTTTCATTTAGTAATATGAATTCAAAATTGCCCAAAGATATTAAAATTTATTTTATATTATATTTAACTAGAGGCCTGGTGCACGAAAATTCATGCACTTGGGGGTCCCTCAGCCCAGCCTGCACCCTCTTGCAGTCCGGGAGTCCTGCTCCAGGAGCAGGCCCTAAGCTGCAGTCTGTCCTTCCTCTGCAGGAGGCGACTTATTTCACTGTACCCACTGACTGCTGGGGCTCAGTGTGGTATCCTTCATGGTATCATGGAGTTCAAGGCATGACTTAAGCAACATTGTGAAGGTAATCAAATACTATAAAATATTATTTAGAGATACTCAAGTTTTTAAATTCAGGGAAAGATGGTACATATTTCTTGATATTTTAAAAGTAGTTCAGAATTAAAACTAACTTAATATTAGTATAGGACTTTACTTAAAAAGTGCTTTCTTTGCCCTAGTTGGTTTTGCTCAGTGAATAGAGTGTTGGAAAAATGTAGGCTCGATTCCCAGTAGGGGGCATGCAGGAGGCAGCTAATCAATGATTCTCTCTCATAATTGATGCGTCTATCTCTCCCTTTCCCTTCCTCTCTGAAATCAATAAAAATATATTCTTTAAAAAAGTGCTTTCTTTTATTTAATCTGACTTATTCCTAACAAAAATTCTGGATCCTTTCTGTTTTATAAATGAAGAAACAGGAAAATCAGATGAATTGTTTAAAGTTAGTTAGCCAATAAGTCGCAAATCTAAAAATCAAACACCAGTTCTTGTCTTTTGTGTAATACCAGAGTTCTTTAACTAACTGCACTATTCTTATAAATAGAAAAACTATCTTGCATACTTAGGCATTGGTCAATTAATATAGCTCTTTTAAATATGAGCATTTGAAGAAGCATACAAATGTAATAGCTACAGCCTCCTATATTAAAGGTCAACATTATTTTGGTTGTAATGTTAATAGTACAATATTGATTCTTTAAAGTATAGCAACTTGGAAAAAGAAAGGCCTAAAGATTCTTTTAAATTTTGGAAAAAAGAATAATGACAGATGCCACTCAACTTCAAAATCAGAGCATTATCCAGGTTAGACTCCAGTTTTGCAGTGCCTTTGAGTGCTAGCAGGTGGCGTGAGTGCATCACACAGCTGTGCCAGAAATGTTCATGAGTTTCTAGCAAAAACTCTATATAATTTTTGAACATTAAAATGTTAATGTAAACAAGTTTTAAAGCAGTTGTTACAATAATGACCAACATTGCTGCCATTTTTTGACTAATATGAAAAGCTTAAATTTTATAAATGCTACATTTTATTATTAAACATGATTTCATTGAAGAGAGTTTTAAAAGGGGAAAAAAATCTCTACATTCTCACTATCCTAATGTAAAAACCATTCATTTCTTTCTATAGTATCTATTCATATGTGCATATATTTTCATAAGTATCATAATGTAGGCCTATTTTATGGTTTTCTTAGAAATCTCCATTTTTTAATAATCAGCATAAAATTGCTTATTTTACCAATCAAGCTGATAACCAGGTTGTTGATACATATTCTTTCCAGGGGACTATGAAAATTCACATTGTCATCAACATATAACCATTCTATTGGATTGATATTTAATAATCAGTATTCTTTTAAGACTGCATTTGCATTTATTTGTTTTCTGTTTTCTCTAGTTTAAATAAACATTCACAGTGCTTATAAAAACATACTCTCTCCAGTTTTCACTTATGTATTCATTCAGCAAATATGTGTTGCATGCTTTTTAAGTGGTAGGCCATTGCCAAGAACAAGACAGACATCATTCTTACCCTCAAGAGTTTGCAGTCTAGTGGGAAAAATGGAAAAATAAATACACTTTTTTGCTGTGGTGTCCTGAGGGAAGTGTAGGGTTATGGAAGTTAGAGAAAAGAAATAGATGGAATTTTAAAATCTTATTTATTATTTAGCCTTTTTTCTTCTAAATACAGTTATGACTCTTTCTTATTCTTAGTGTTCTCCATGAAAAAATAATTTGTAGTTTACCCTATTTAACTGTATTCTAGTGTCTAACTTATTCTCCTTGATCAAGCCTGTTCATCTCTAGATAATACCTTCAGCCATGCCATAATTTTGCAAATTAATGGGTGTATTCATTTAATTTATCATTTCCCAAAATATGTTTTAAGGAAGACTAATTCCATGATCTATCCCTTAAAAAGTAGCATCTGAGGTCAAATAAATGTGGGAATCTACCTAATAAAAGAGTATCATGCTAATTGACTGTACTCAAGACACCCATCAGCCAAACAGGAGTAAGTATGTAAATTAAACCAACAAAGATGGTGGGTTAATTTGCATATCCAGGAGCTGAGTGGCTGGGGGCAGTGCTGGATGCCATGGCAACAGCACAGGCCTTCCACACCACCCCAGAGCTCTGGGCAGCATGGGAAGGCAGAAAGGTGGCTCCAGGCCAGAACAGGAAGGCGGTGCCGGCAATCAGGAGAAGGAAGGCTCTTTCTTGCATGAATCTTTGTGCATCTGGCCTCTAGTCATTACATAACAACCCTGCATTTTGAAATTTCAGAATGTTTATTAGCATATTACCTCTAAGAAATCCTGCTGTAGGGAATCCAATCTAACTCAACATTTCTTGAATGTATTCAATAGACAGTCTTTTTATAGAAATAATTCTTAGAAGCCTGTGGGGCTAGTATTGTTATTTTGAGAAATAATGAGCTATGTCATTTCAAATGTTTTGATCCTTTGCTCCCTTCATGAGAGATCTGTAATTTTTAAAATAAATGCTCCTAAACTAGTTGGAATGATAGGGGGTCTCATAATTGTATGATAGAAATTCTTCATGTTTTATCAATTTATTCCTATATTTCAACTTTACTAATGCTAATTCAGTTGAATTCTATTACCCTGTTTCCCCGAAAATAAGACAGTGTCTTATATTAATTTTTGCTCCCAAAGATGTGCTAGTGCTTATTTTCAGGGGATGTCTTATTTTTCCATGAAGAAGAATACGGTACACATTTATTGTTAAATGGAAATAAAGGAAATTTATTACCTGTATACGGTACGGTAGTACGGTAGCTGTCAACACAAACCAGACAAACTGTGAATCCTACAGTATCAAGAATTTACTCATTTATTCAATGACAATCATGTCACCATCTTCTGGAACATCATCATAACAATCCAATTCCTGAATTTCCTGGTGAATTTCTTGTGACTCCATTTCTTTCAGAATCAGTGGACCAAATCTCTCATGTTTAGCCTAGGGGGGCCTTATTTTTGGGGGGATGCCTTATATTTCATTCAGAAGGAAACCTGTAAGTAGGTCTTATTTTCGGAGGATGTCTTATTTTCGGGGAAACACTGTATTTAATGCTACTCATAAGCAACCTAATTTTATTTATTTAAGAGACATGCCATTGATTTTTTTCAAGAAAGGTACTAATGCCCAGAACTTTCAAAGACCATCAAACAGTTTGCTCCCCCTTTTTCTTCCATGAGTAAGATCAGGCTTCATAATGCATGCTGTTGCTAACGCATGTAGAAAGGAGTTTGAAAAGGGTTCCTTTTGCTCATTTTAATGTTAATTTAAATAATTTTAATACTGCTTTTTCATTAAACTGTAATAAGTATATGAAATAATCTTTTTCAAATAAATTTTTTCTTGTATTTTTAAGGTTAAACTTTCCAGTTTGAATTTAGATGATCATGCAAAGAAGAAACTTATTAAACTTGTAGGAGAGCGATACTGCAAGACCACAGATGTGCTTACCATCAAAACAGATAGGTAAAAGAAAGAAAAGTTCAGCCCATCCGCCCTGTGTTGCTTTATTGTTCTTCCATACCCTGGCAGTCCTTCTTAAAGAAATTACATTGAAAATAAGGATAGTCTTTTATATCAATTTATATTAGCTTTGTTAGGTCAAAAGAAGTTGTCTAGTCTATATTTTTAATGTCCTCACACTAGCCTGCTATTACTGTGTTATCTTTATATACATGGAGAGGCTTGCCTGGTGAGTTAAATTATTTGTTGTGATTTTTAACCTTGATTTTAATACATCCATGTATATAATACTCAGAGAAGAGGTTAAAGAAAACAAAAGTATAATTTGTTAGCAATTAATGCTTAAGAAGGTTTTTATAAAGTCAAAGTATATAAAAATCTCATAGTTCACAATTAAAATTATTAAATTAACTAGAAATTTAATTTATCAAGGTACTTGTGTAAATAGAAGAATTTAGTGCTATCATAGAATTCATTAAAATGAAATTTATCTTATATAAATGTATAAATTAAATCACTTGAAGAAAAGAAAGATTATTGTTATGATTTTATTAAATGGTAACTTTAATTCTAGAATTATACTTTGGCTGTTTATAAATTATGTCAAAATATAAAAGACCTGCTTTTAGAGAAAGTAATTGGGCAGCTATCTTCTCCCCCCTTCCTGTCAGCTTCAGAGCATTTGGAAGTGTCATTATCACTTAGGTCTTATATCCTGCTTGGGGGTGGGAAGTACCTGACACATATTGAGAGGGCAGCAGTGTGGAGGTGGAAGTAGTGAATTACATAGATTATTCTTATTCTGAGAACAATTTTTATAAAGCAGATAAGGAATATCTGAATGTAAGTTATTTTTTTATATATTGATATATTGATATATTTTGTGTGCTGAATTTTAAGATTTTTCACTTCCTCCCTCTCTCTCTTTTGAAGGTGCCCTTTAAAGAGGCAGAATTATGATTATGCAATGTATCTGCTAACAGTTTTATACCATGAGTCTTGGGTAAGTGATTGTGTGAATGTTTAGTCATTTTGTCTGTAAATTAGGTGATACTTTCAAAACTGTGTGGCAACTACTTAATTGTGTGTGTTTTTTAAAAATATATATATTTTTATTGAGTTCAGAGAGAAAGGAAGAGGGAGAAGATAGAAACATCAGTGATAAGAGAAAATCATTGATTGGCTGTCTCCTCCATGCCACCTCCTGGAGAGTGAGCCTGCAATCCAGGCATGTACCCTTGACTGGAATCAAACCCAGAACCCTTCAGTCCACAGGGATGAAGGAAGCTTTTTAAAACTACAGATGCTTGGCCCCTATAAAATCAAAATCTCTAGCAGTGAGGCTTGGGCTCGTTTCATTTTAGACTCCACAGTTGATTTTGATGTTGAGCTCTGATTGTGAATAAGTTTTCTAGTTTTTGAGTGTTGCTAATGAAGAAACTGATTAAAAGGTTGGTATATCTCTTTTAAGATTTTTTTTTAAAAAAAAACCACATATCTAGTATTAGAGCTGAGGGTGTGGATGGAAATATAATTGAGAGGTCTAGAAAATGGAGACAAACATGTGACAGAAAATATATTTTTGACTTGATGTGGTAGTCTATGGCAACTGTTCTAGATTCCTGAATGGGAAAACGATACAGTGAGGGCGACACTTCCCATGTGTCTTTGCCTTCAGACAAAATTTCCTTTTACTTCTCATGTTTAAGAGCCTACCACGTGCTCAAAGGCTTTTAGGAAAGTTTGTGTTCTTTCCCACCCCGGGGCTGAAGTCATGAACTATAGAGCATTATTATACTCTTTTCTTCCCTTAACTTCTCCCCTGATGCCTAGTCACTAGGTCTTCTCAATGTTAGCGTTTAAATATCTGTTAAACTATTTTCTCCTCTTCATCTCTACTGCTACTACCCCGGTATGGATCTTCATTTTTTACCCAAAAAACTGCAATAGCCTTATTGATTTTCCTGTCTCATCCATCTTCCATGTTGCTGTTAAAGTGATTGTTCTAAAAAACAAGTCTGTTGTGTCATATTTCTTTATAACATGCTTCAGTGATTCCCCTTTACCTAGGATTAAATGTAAACTCCTCAACCTGTCTGTTCACAGTCATTGCTACCTCATTATCAGCTACTCAGGATATGTGGGTTATATATCTTATACCTCAGCCATACAAGCATAATGTGTTCTTTCATAACTTTGCATATGCTGTTCTCTTTGCTTATACTCTTTTATTTTTTTCAAAATATCAGCCTTATAAATTCATATGAATCCTTTAATACATCTCAGATGTTACCTCTCAGTTGTTTCCTGTCCATCCTTTTCTACCCCTCCCTCCTTCAGTTACTTTTATGGTTATTGTCTGTGTGCATGTCTGCCTAACTCCATCAGACTTAGACATCAGTAAGGACAAGGACTGTACATTTTATTCATCTTCCTATTTCTAGCATCTAGTTCTGTCGGGCATAGCAACAATCAATAAAATTTTAAAAAACTGATTTCAATTGAATTGAACTTCTTGACATATTAAATAAAAATTTAGCTGTGGTAACTGAAATAATTAACAATAACTTTTTATTCATTATGCATATGTATCTATTTTTTAAAATTATTTTCAAATAATTTAGGGAATTTTTAATGGTCAAACTGTTTTCCCTCATATAGCACAATGTCTTTCTTGTAATCATGAGAAGTGGAATATTACTGTGATTCATGTTCTAGGCAAAGGGAATTGTAAATAGATGTTAGAAGGTGACAAATGTGTGTTTTTAGTGGAACAGATATTTCTTTGCTTTCTGTTAGAATACACTGACCAGGGCATGAATTAGCTATTATTATACAATATGTTGTTCTTTGTATTGAATTTATGCTTGCAAGGGAAAGAAAGAAATAGGTTCAAATTAAATTATTCTTTTGTTCTTTTTATATCCTTTTTACCATGTCTCTGTGTTCCCTGGAACATGTTGTTCTGCCACCAACAAGCAGTGTGATTTGGGGCACATTGTGTAGTTGCCCTGGGCTCCAGCTTCCTGCTCTGTAAAACAGATGGGATAACAGTATTACCTCATAGGATTGCTGGGAGAGTTCAAGGAGTTAATATATGAAAGGTGCTTAGAATAGCAAGTACTTTAATAGTTCTTCACATTCACCCCATGCCACTTTCCTTCTCGGGCCTGAATTCAGTTCCCTGAATGTACTGAGCTCTTCCGTCCTCTAGGCCTTTATTGACTTTTTCTTTCACTGGGATCATAATCTTCATCTCACTGGCCTCTACTCAACTCCAAGTCTCCTCCTAGACTGGCAGTTCCAGGCCAGCGCAGTGCCTGGCACAGTAGTTGTACAATCAGTATTTACCAAGTGAATTAAAGTGAAAGAATCGAGCTGGCTGTGGAAAAGAGAACAGGATCTGCAGAATGTATAGTGCTTCCTCTAGGGCAGTGGTCGGCAAACTCATTAGTCAACAAAGCCAAATATCAATGGTACAACGATTGAAATTTCTTTTGAGAGCCAAATTTTTTAAACTTAAACTATATAGGTAGTTTCTACATTGTTTTGCCAAGGTGTGTTAGAAAAGTTTCCCACTACATTGTTATTAACTTAATTAGGATGCATGGTATTTTGTGGAAGAGCCACACTCAAGGGGCCAAAGAGCCGCATGTGGCTCGCAAGCGGTTTGCTGACCACGGGTCTAGGGTGACTGTAGTCAAAGCAGGTTCTCTCACTATAGGAGGGAAGAAAAGAGAGACTATACGCTATATGGGTATGTATGTATGTGTATAACATCCACCGTTACAAATAAAATGGTGAAATTATAAATATTCAGTGGTTGAAGTATTAAAATAGGTATCAAATTCTGCCTGAATGATCAGCTAGAGCAGTGGTTCTCAACCTTCCTAATGCTGCGACCCTTTAATACAGTTCCTCATGTTGTGGTGACCTCCAACCATAAAATTATTATTATTATTATTTTTTAAATATATTTTATTGATTTTTTACAGAGAGGAAGGGAGAGAGATAGAGAGCTAGAAACATCAATGAGAGAGAAACATTGACCAGCTGCCTCTTGCACACCCGCAACCGGGGATGTGCCCGCAACCAACGTACATGCCCTTGACCGGAATCGAACCCGGGACCTTTCAGTCCGCAGACTGACGCTCCACCGCTGAGCCAAACCGGTTTCGGCCATAAAATTATTTTTGTTGCTACTTCATAACTGTAATTTTGCTACTGTTAATGAATCGAAATGTAAATATCTGTGCTTTCTAATGGTCTTAGGTGACCCACAGGTTGAGAACCGCTGCTGTAGAGCCTAAGACCATTGGAAAACAGATATTTATATTACTATTCATTAACAGTAGCAAAATTACAGTTATGAAGTAGCAACAAAAATAATTTTAGGTTGGGAATCACCACAACATGAGGAACTGCATTAAAGGGTCATGGCATTAGGAAGGTTGAGAACCACTGGGCTAGAGCTTACAGTGGTATTTTTATTGTCCCCCAGTATTTGACTATGCTATTGTTTACGCTTTAAAATTAATATACTTAAAAAAACAAACAAACAAAAAAAAAACCTCTTAAACAACTGCCCACTGTGAATCCTGGGATTATTTTAGAAGCTAAAATTTTGACTGAATTATTATACATCATAAATAAAATTTAATCATAGCAGTATTTTTACAATGGAGTTAGAAGTACATGCACTGTGTGTCACCATTACTGATTGGTTGCCTTGAGGTGGTAGAATTATAAGTTATTTCTTTCTGTTACTTTTCAGTAATTTCCATCTTTTCTGTGGAAGCTGTATATGGAACTGCAGCCTGCTGATAGTATATCTGAAATCAGTTCCAGATAATTATCCCTTTAGCATTAACCCCTGTTTTTAGAGGTCCTTACTGTAACAATGAATATTTGCTTAAAGACATTGACTTTAAAGAAAAATATGTGTGTTTTTTTAAAGGAAACTTCCAGAAGGGCCATTTAAAGTCACATAAATGTAAAAATCTTATTTCAAAATTATTAATTATGACATTTTGGAGATATCACTTATTTAGAACTAAAATTGAGCCATTTTAACTTTAATTTTTAAAAAATATATCTTATTGATTTTTCACAGAGATGAAGAGAGAGAAACATCTATGAGAGAGAATCATCGATCAGCTGCCTTTTGCATACCCCCTACTGGGGATGTGCCCACAACCAAGGAACATGCCCTGCCCGGAATCGAACCCAGGACCTTTCAGTCCGCAGGCCGACGCTCTATCCACTGAGCCAAACTGGTCCGGCTTAACTTGAATATTTTTAACTGAATGTGTCATGTTTCTAGAAATGTCTGCGCTCGCTCGCTCGCTCTCTCTCTCTTTCTCTCTCTCTCTCGTTAATCCTCACCCAAGGATATTTTTTTTCCATTGATTTTATTTTATTAATTTTTTTACTTGGTTGAATTTTGTATTTTAACAGTATCCAGTGAAATTATCCTTTAAAAGTAAAAGGAGAGCCCTTACCAGTTTGGCTCAGTGGATAGAGCATCAACCCTCTAACTGAAGGGTCCCAGGTTGGATTCTGGTCAAGGGTACATACTTTAGTTGCAGGCCAATCCCTGTGTGATGTGTCTCTCTTACATCTCTTTTTCTCTCGGTTTTTCCATTGAGTGGATGGAAGGGGAAGGGAGGGAGGTAGAGAGAAAGAAACATTGATGTCAGGAAGACACATCGATTAGTTGCCTCCCACACTCTCCCTGATCGGGATTGGGAATCAAACCTGCAACCAAAAGGTAAGTCTGCTTAACCAGGAATCAAATCCGAGATCTTTCCATGTAGAAGCTGGTGCTCTAACCATTTAGCCATGTTGGTCAGGGCTGTCTGCTATGTTTTAGTCTAAATCAGTTACATCTCATTGTTTCCCACATTTTGTCCTTTTCCTCTTTTCCCCAGTCTGTACCTTCTCCCAAGTGATGCACTCTATCTTGTATACACTGTCAAGTCCAAACTCTTATCATCAGGCCTCTCTCCTGAGCACCATGTTAGTTGAAATCCCCTGTTGTGAGCCATGGAAACTCACTCAAGCTGGCTTAAGCAGAAAAGATACAATTGCAAGGATCCCACAAAATCTCAGAAATGGGCCTGTTTTTATTCTGTGGGCTCTTGCTCTACAGACAGCTGCTTCTTTTTTTTTTTTTTTTTTTTTTTTTTTTTTTTTTTTTTTTTTTTTTTTTTTTTGTCTGAAGACTGATTTCCTCTCCTCCTCCAGTCTATATTGTCAGAAAGAGTGATCTTCACTATTTCACAATCTTATAGGACTAGTCATCCTGGGAAGAGGGAAGGCCGAGGTGAGGAAGAGGGGAGCAAAGGAATAAAACTAAAAACAAAACTAAGCTAAATTTAATTCTCTCTTTGGATTCAAACTCCAAAGGAAGGGCTCTGCTTCAGTCAGGCATTGTCCAATAACTGTGGCCAGATGGGCAAGATGATACTAAGACAACAGCTGTCAGGCAAATAATCTGCATGTAGGAAGTGCTAATTGATAGAGTGAATGAATGAATGAATGAATGAATGTGCTGATCTAGGTTAGGCTCTTGTGAGTCAAAATACCACAATAATGTTTTTGTGGTTATGACTTTTTATATAGTCCCTTTTTTAAAAAGAAAAATACTATATTATGGATAAAATGACAAAATCTGAAACTTCCTTCAAAATAATTCAGTGAAGCATGATAAGGAAACAGTGCTTTTTTTAATGCTTTTATAGAGAGAAGCATCTAAAACAAGATTGGCTATGAGTTGATTGTTGAAACTGGATGATAGGTGCATAAGGTTCACAGTGCTGTTGTCTTTACTTTTGTATTTGTTTGAAAATTTCTATAATAGAGTTTTTAATCACAAAAACAGAATTGTATTTAGTAAAAAGCCTCATAAATGATTAGCTTATTAATTTAATTAATTTTGTTCCAGTGACCACATTATCACATTTGAATAATGCGGTTTTTGTTTTAGCTAGCTCTGTTCTTTATTTCATCTGAAGGGTGATTTCAGCAGACACCCAGTTTGAACAAGCCAATAAATGTGCCTTTTACCTAAAACGTTTGGGTATGAATTAGTTTTTAGCTAAGTGCCTAGAGACGTTGAGCTTCTCCTAGTACTCCCCGGTATATAGTAGGCTCTCAGTGTTTTTTTGAAAGGGTGTCTCTTAGCAGTCACAAACCAAAAGGGAGCTTTGTCTATTGAGCTGTTTTCTTAATATTTATTTAAGAAATCTTGTTTTTTTGTTTTTTGCTATATACATTTCCATCATTTGAATTTTGCTGATTGTATCACCATAGTATAATTTTTGAGATAAATGAAGGAGGAGGGTACTTGTGATTGTTCCAGGCTCACCTAGCCACCTAAGTCTAAGGGAATCAATATTATGGCATTTCACATCTCTAACACACCTTGGCAAACCAATGTATTATAGAAACGTATATACCAAATGTCAGGAGGTTATAAATAAAATATTGGAAATTATTATTATTTTGGTTACCCCTTGTTTAAGCACCCGTTTAAATTTATTAAGAAAGTCTTGATAAATTAGGTGAAACAGTTTTTAAACCATAAGTATTCTTTTTTAACTTATTAATCTATTAATCTCCTATTGTCAACTTATTAATTACTTGATTAAAAATAAAATTCTCTGAACACCTTATAGCAGTCAAGAATGAGATAGAGGAACTATTTTACTTAATGCTTTATAAAATATATTTGACTTCTTAAATATGCTTCACTTGTAAATTACAATTATGAAGAAACCATGACATTGTCTTGAAATGTTTAAAGCATTTCTAAGGGTAGATAGACCTGTTAGAGCATTTTTACAAAGTGGTTGACATTTATTTCTTCCTCAAATATTATAGTTAAATTTAGGTGGGGCAAGATAATTTTTTTCAGTTTTTTTTTTATACACAAAATCAAAATTCGCTGTTAGAAATTATTTGCCATAGTTTTGTGTGGGCAGTGCACACCAAGAAAAATTTTACATTATTTCTGTTCCCTTCAGGCAAGCCTAAAGCCTCATTACCAGATAAGAAGGTGGCATAGAGTTGATTCTCAACCAGATTTTTGTATAACATAAGTTGAGACCTCATCCTCAGCCATAGATTCAGTGCAGAGAGGTGGGCAGACAGTATAGGGAGCTGTGAGTACAGATTCTCTATATTGACTAAAGAATTTGGTGATCAGAGGAGACAACCAGTTTTGGCTGTTTACCTCATTCTTGCTGCTTGGAGAATGAGGTAAACAGTTTAACATTTTAGGAGACCTGTCTGGCCGAAACTGGTTTGGTTCAGTGGATAGAGCGTCAGCCTGCTGACTGAAAGGTCCCGGTTTCGATTCCGGTCAGGGACATGTACCTTGGTTGCAGGCACATTCCCAGTAGAGGGTGTGCAAGAGGTAGCTGATTGACGTCTCTCATCGATGTTTCTAACTATCCCTCTCTTTTCCTCTCTGTAAAAAATCAATAAAATATATATTTTTTTAAAAAGAGACCTGTCTGCTCAGGCGGGGGTCTTTTTAAAGAAGAGTTTTCAGAAATAAACCTACCTCTCTTTTAATACTTTTAAATGTTAAAACTTTGGGGGTTAACACCTTAAAGTTGTAAGGATAATAAATGATTTTATAATAGCCTATAACTCAGAATCTTACCTGTTAATTTGTAAAAAATTAGGTTGGTATTCAGCACTTCTTTGAAGCAGAGCATATTACTTATTAGCTGCATTGCTTGCTTTTTCACAGAATGTTACATCTTCATTTAAATTATAAGATGAATTGTATTACCATGAAACCTACCAGTGTTCCCTCAATAGCATGGTAATAATTTTTGTAAGAAAAAACAACCAGTGGTAACAAAAATTATTTCCATTGTAGGAACAGAAAAGAAAGATAATACCAAAACAAAATTCCAGAATATATGAAGTCATTATGACTGAAAATCGTGTATTACACACGTACTTTATATTTTTAATTTTATTATAATAATTGGTCTTTCCTGTTATCCCCACAGGCATGTTACAAAGATAAATACAGTCTCCACTCTCATTATTTTTAACCACAGAAATGTAAACTCTTGATGTGTTAGTGTTTAGGGACTAGAAAGCTGGAAAAAAAAAAAAAAGAGGGGAGTTTTCTGTATCTTTTGGAAAACAGTATTATGTTATAAGTGGAATTAGAACTAGTGAGTTCTATGTGAAAACGGAGTGTCCACATAGCAGTGTGCAGTCCTGAAGCTGTTGGTGCAGGCGGAGAGTGGTGCTGGATAAAGGGGGAAATCAGATGTACGTACAGAGTATTCACATTTTGCCAACTTCTATTCCACTATAAACCCCAATCTTTTCTTTGGATAATATTTCTCAAAATTCAGAACTCATTCTTTTCTTTCAGAAAACTGAGGACTGGGAGAAAAATATCACTGAAGCAGACATGCAAGAGTATATATGGACAAATAGCTCCTCAGAAAAAAATATCCTGGAAACACTTCTTCAAATTAAAGCTGCAGAGAAAAACCTGGAAGTAACTAAAGAAGAGCTCCTTGGCACTAAAGAGATTGAAGATTACAAAAAGTGCGTTGTTAGTCTTAAGAACGAAGGGGACAGTGAATATACTCTTTCTCAATACAAAGAGTCAGTGAAGAGACTATTAAATTTAACATGAATTATGTAGAAAAACATGCTTGGTTTATTTTATGATTGATTTGTAATTATCTAATTTGATATAAAGTTGAAAATGTTAAAAAATATTGTTTTACTTCTGAGTTAAAAATTATTCCGCTCATGCTAATGCACAAAGGCAATGAATATTCACAAATTTTCTTATACTCTGGGGCAATTAGACTCATTAGATCTAGATTTCTTCTAGTTCTAACGTGTTTTGATTTTACTTCTATTATAATAACTTTAGAATTTAAATATATATAATAGATTTATTTTGTCACCTGCTACATTGTTTCCCTACACAGTAGCACTTACTGGATGCTTCTGAATTGTAACTGTGGTTATTTCAGAAATGAGGTCCAGGACCGGCCTCCACTGCAGGTCAGTGTTTTGTTTACATAACTGCTGTCCACCCAAAGCATTTTTGCAGATGTCAGTTCTGATTAGAAGCAGGTCCTTGGGAATATTTTCTAACCTCACAAGTTGGTTCCATCCCTCTATTTTGGGGTCACCTTATATTGATTCATTTCTGTTTAGCATCTTATTTTCTATTTCCTGGGCCTCATTTCTCTGAACCCAACTTGCAAATGGAGATTAACTGGTATTCGTGCTTGATTCCCCCAGTGAGAGCTTCCACAGCTCAGGAAAGAGATGAGGCTTAAGGAGTATAAGTGGAGTAAACGAAAGAGGGAGCACTGCCCTAAGAAGCATTCTCTTCCACTTAGCTGTCAACTCAGGATTTTTAAGTATATCTGGAGGTCATTTCTTAGCACCTCCAAAGTTATCCACAAGTGATCAATTTAAAATCAAAATAAAGGCATTATGGAGTTTCTTTACCTAAGACTTGTTTTAGAGATCAGAATTAAAGGACATAAATGAAAGCCAAAAGGAATTTTAAAACAGTTGCCTAAAAGATGTGTATAAAATGAAGGTATGATTTGGTATTAGCACGTCCAAGAGTTGGTATGTTAGAAAGGACATCAATATGACTTTGAGTACGAAAAGGAGAGAGAGGTATGTTGTATTTCATTGGATGAAAATACTGAATGAAAAGCAAAGTAGATAAAACTGAATTTTTAGATCAGGTTTGAAGCATACATGAGTGTATTGAAATGTTCTATTTTTAGAGACTCAGAGTTAGGAAAACTTAGCTGCAGAAATAGGATTGAAGAAGGAACATGTGAAGAGGTGGTAGATTAGGATCATCAGTCCTGTAGTAATAGTACAGTGCAGATATCAGCAGGGGCAGTAATCTTACCTAATAATAGACAAATATGTAAATTGACCATACTTCCATCACTCCCATAGCAATCAGAGTGAGCATGCAAATTAACCCAACAAAGATGGAAGTTAATTTGCATGTGTACCTGGGTCTTGGGAACATATTCGGCACCCAGGTTACTCCAAGCAAGCCATCGGAGGGGCAAGGGCCGAGCCTGCGATGGGAGGGAAGGGGGGGAAAAATATCAATGGAAACATATCCTCAGGTGAGGATTAAAAAAAGAAATGTCATATCCTATGAAAGACACATCTTGAAAATTCCTAAAGAAAGTTGTCATTTTTCATGATGAAGGGACTAGAGTCCAGGTTGATAAAAATAACTTGATGACTGGCAGTGGCTGCAGCAGCGAAGTGATGGGGCTGGCACTTTCCCCTGATTAGCCCAGTTGCCCCCATTGGGAGCAGGCCTAAGCCATCAGTAGGACAACTCCTGAGGGCTCCCAGCATGTGAGAGGGGGCAGGCTGGGCTGAGGGACCTCTCCCTAGTGCACGAATTTCATGCACCAGGCCCCTAGTGATTTATAATTTAAAAAAAAAGCATAATATTCTAATTAGACCAGACATCCTTCAAGCCGCTTCGAGGGAAGCCTGGGTTCCAGTTTCCTGCAGGAGGCCAGAGGGAAGCAAGCCTGGGTCTCAGGTGCCAGAGGGAAGCCAGTGTGGCAGCTTGCAAAGGGAAGGCCTACTCTTGCATGAATTTTGTGCAATGGGCTTCTAATGTGTAATAAAGAGTTTGACCTTTCCTGAAGGTCTGGCCTCTCCCTGTAGCTTCTGGGAGGTAATCTATGCCTTACCTCATAGAAGTGTCTCTGTTTAAAGCTGAGCTGCTCACAATGAATTTTAGGGTGGGGCTGGCCACACCTGATAGCTTTGGCAAGTCAGAAAAACTTATCATGTTATTTTGGGTGGGTGCTTTGAGTCATCTGGTAAATCAGTGCACCTGGCAACTGAGATCAACCACAGGTAATCAGTCAATCATACCTATGCAATGGAGCCTCAATAAAAACTAAAACAAGACTTGGGCAAGCTTTCCTGGTTGGCAATACTTTGGACATGTCAGATACTGGAATGGGGAGAGGGGTCCATTCTGCCTCCAGGGGTAGAGGACACCAGAAGCTGTGAGTTGTTTTTTTTTTATGGTTTGCTTTTGTTTTTAAATTATTGTTTAAGGTATTACATGAGTCTTCTTCCCTCACTACCTCTCCCCTGCCACCTCCTCCCCCAAGCACAAGCCCTCCCCACTACTGTCTGTGTTCATTGGTTTTGCTCATGTGCATGCATACAAGTCCTTTGGTTGATCTCTCATCCCCTCACCCCCTGCCTTCCCTCATAGATTGTACAGTCTGTTCAATGCTTCTGTGTATCTGGTTTTATTTTTGTTCCTATGTTGCTTATTCCACAAATGAGTGAGGTCATGTGACATTTATCTTTCTCTGGCTTATTTCGCTTAGCATAATGCTCTCCATCTCCATCCATGTTGTTGCAAATGGTAAGAACTCCTTTTTTATCGAAGCGTAGTTTTCTATTGTGTACGTGTACCACACTTTTCTAATCCACTCGCCTGCTGATGGGCACTTAGGATATTTCCAAATCTTAGCTATTGTAAATTGTGCTACTATGAACATAAGGGTGCATATATCCTTTCTGATTGGTGTTTCTGTTTTCTTGGGATACATTCCTAGAAGTGGGATTACTAGGTCAAATGGCAGTTCCATTTTTAATTTTTTGAGGAAATGCCATACCGTTCTCCACAGTGCCTGCACCAGTCTGCATTCCCACCAGCAGTGCAAAAAGGTTCCTTTTTCTCCGCATCCTCTCCAGCACTTGATTTGTTGATGATAATCATTCTGACAGGTTTGAGATGATACCTCATTGTTTTGATTTGCATCTCTTGGATGATTAGTGATTGAGCATGTTTTCATATGTCGCTCGGCCTTCAGTATGTCTTTTTGAAAATTGTCTATTTAGGTCCTTTGTCTATTTTTTGATTGGATTATTTATCTTCCTTTTGTTGTATGAGTTCCCTGTAAATTTTGGAGATTAAACCCTTATCGGAGATAACCTTGGCAAATATGTTGTTTTGTTGATGGCTTCTTTAGCTTTTTATTTTGATGTAGTCCCATTTGTTTATTTTCTCCCTAGTTTCCATTGCCCTACGAGCAGTATCAGTAAAGATATTGCTATGACATGTGTCTGCTATTTTGCTGCCTATGGAGTCTTCTAAGATTTTTATGATTTCCCATCTTACTTTAAGTCCTTTATTTGTTTTGAATTTATTTTTGTGTATGGTATAGTTTCATTTTTTTTGCAAGTATCTGTCCAATTTTCCCAACACCATTTATTGAAGAGTCTGTCTTGACTCCATTGTATGTTCTTGCCTCTTTTACTAAATATTAATTGAGCATAATGACTTTGGTTGATCTCTAGGGAAGCTGTGAGTTTTGATCCTTTCTGGACTTCATTTTATGAGCTTCTCCCTTAGCTGATTTTAATCTGTATATTTGCCCTGTAATAAACCACAATTGTGAGTATGACAGCTCTCATTGAGTTCTGTGAATTCTATTAAGTTATTGAACCTGAGGGTGGTTTGGGAACCCCTTCCCTATGCGGAATTTAGAGTTGGTGTCAGAAGTGAGGGTGGTCTTGTACAGGACTGTGACCTTTAACCTTTGCAGTTTGGCTAACTGACCTGAAGGCTCTTGGACTGAGGCTTGACCCTAAGATGGCAAACTCTTAGAGCTGTAAAATTAATACAAAGCTGCCTCTAAAGGTAACAGCTGAAATACCTAGTGTTATGCTTTGTATCTGAGTAAACTATACAATAAGGGATGTAAACTAGAATTCCCAAGCTTTATTCAACAGAAGTTAATGTAAAACTCAAAAGATCTCCATGCCATAATTATTGAAAGGCATGTTATCTTTAGAAAATGAAGATGGATTAGGATTGAGAAGAATGGAGCATAGAAAACTGTAAAAATCAGGAAGCATTTACTCAAACCAATTTAAGATTTTATTAATGTGCAACAATAATTTGACGTTGATGGTAGACAAATAAGATATAACAGTATTTTTTTCTCCCTGTATCCCATGCTTGTTAGGAAAATGGAGGCTTTTAGTCTAACAGTGATTTCAAGCATGGACTTTTTGGGAACAGATTTTCTGTTAAGTCCTGACTACACTATTTACCAGCTGTGTGACTTTAGGCAAAATACTTAGTCTCTTTTCTCCTCAGTTTCCTCATCTGTGTAATGGGATAACATTAGTATAATGGTTAATAATAGTATACCCAACTTAGAATTATGAGGATTCAGGTAGTTAATACATGTATAGCTTTTAGAGCCAGATCTCTCACACAATGCTAAATAACTGCAGACGTCAGAATTTTAGAAAACTGACAAAGAATACACTATTCAAAAAAAAAGTAAATCATAAAAAAGCAGTTCTATTAATCAAGCATTAGCGTGGTTTTTTGTTTTTTTTTTTTAGACATTGGTAGTGGAGGGCACATCCTATGCAATTACTTTTTAAACAAACTGCCCTTGTCTTACAGAAAACTAAAAATGATACTCTTGAAATCTTATAATCTCTTACAACTTTTACTATTAGGAGTTCTCCCTCAGAATGTTATATTTTTTCCCTTTGCCTGGATCCTGACTTTCTCTGTCCTGGTTTATACTGGCTCTGCTTCTTTCGACAGCATCCTGATATCAGGATGACTAAACAGCAGCAAAGAAAGAGGACAGAGGTACAAAGGGTCACAGGAACCAGCCATGTCTTTGAAATCACAGATGTCCCATCCGGTATCTTGTCTTCATTCTCAGATGTGTGGTTCCTGCTGTTGTACCCTTTGGTTTTGTTCAGGAACTGCTTGCTGCTGTTGAGTCGGGATGGAATGGGTATATGAGAAAGTTTTGTGTCTATGGGCACAAAGAAAGGAGAAATAGTCTTGTTATCTGGATTGCTGATGAAATTAGCACTGCGTGACACCTTATTTATTTTTGTGGCAATGGAACCATTCAGGGACATGAATCTTGCCCAAGAATCTGTGGTTAATTCCTCAGAATACCTGGTACTGGTTGCGTTAACCAACTCTTGATGTGTGGTTAATGATGGAGCTTCTATTGATGGTAGCATTTGATTTATCATGGTGGTTTGTTGTTTATCTAAATTTGTAGCTTTTAGATTTCTTAGTTTGTCCCATCTATCAGATGAAGAACGGGTATTTAGATATGTGGGAGGTGGTTGTCCAAAAACCAGCAAATCTGGATCTATACCTGAAAGATAAATAAGGCATTATTCATGTTATTTTTATTTTAAAAGAAAGGACCATATTCCTGGCTGGTATGGCTTAGTGGTTGAGCTTCAACCCAGGAAGCAAGAGGTGACCAGTTTGATTCCCTATGAGGGCACATGCCTAGTTGCTGGCTCGATCACAGCAGGGGTGTGTGCAGGAGGCAGCTGATGGATGATATTCCTCTCGCATCGATGTTTCTATCTCCCTCCTTTTCCCTCCTCTTTCTGTAAAA